CGAATAACACTCACAGTCAACTGAATCGCTGGATAAGATGCCACACTACAGAAAGATGTCAAACGTTTTATAACGAGGGTTGGTGACAGTCTCAGATTGACAGGCAGTTTCATCGGACGTTATAAATACGACGAGCGACAAGATAACCACAGTAAAATGGTCTTTGGATCTTTCTTCTAAGGCAAATGAGGTTAGAGCATTGGAAATGTGTACCCATGTGCATTTTCCGGCGTCATATGGGTTGAATTATATTAAAGTATGTGTGTGACTCGCGATTGGAATGTTGACCGCGAAAGGTCAAATGACTGTATTTTAACGGACTTTGAAAAGCTTTAGTATCGCTCTCAATCATTTGCCCAAAGAAATTTTTACAGTAATATTTAGAACATCTTTTCGTTATTATATCGCCCAAAGCTTAATCCATTTGAAGGTTTAGCACATGTTGAAAATTAACTTTGCTCACAAAGTACTTTTACTGAAGAGAAATGTATGCTTTCGAAATTAAATTATTTTACACGCAAAGAGGAACGCAGTGTATACAAAAATCGTTTTGTGAGGTCTTATGAGGTTGAAAAAGAAGATTTGAGAGTTCAAAAGACGAGATTGTGATTCATTTTTGAATGCGAAGCCCTCAAACTTGTGCAATAATTTGCTTCTAAAAATGTCGATTTTAACGGAATTTTGTTATTTGTATTTTCTCTGAAATAAAAAGATATTTTGCCAAAAAAAGTATCCAGTGATTTTAGTTATAGTCTAGCCTATCTAATATTAAAATAAGAAAGAAATCGAATTTTTCACTCTTGCCGCGAAATTTAGAATTTGTCTGATTTTTACAGACAAGCGCTCTTAAGATTTTTGTTTTAAATCTCATGTTTCTGAGAGAGCTGACAGGACAGAGAGACTGGAGTGATGAAAATCTTGCATTTGGAATAGAATCTTTTGAGTTATTTGTTTACGCAAGGGAACAGTGCATTGAATGCAGTAGATCCTGGCAAGAAGCACCGCAGGTTGTAAAAGGTGTGATTCACCAGAGCTCGGATCACTCGGAGTTCTGGAAAATTTTGGCGATCAAGGCAACTGACAAAGGTACCCGTGAGCTATCGGTGCAATTTCTTGGCGATGATTTTTGGGTAAAGGGTTAAATCTCTTCTCGTCCTGGAAAAGATGGCGTTTGGGCAAGACGTCTATGGACAAATAGTTGAATATATTTGCAATATCTATTTACTAGGAGATTATAAATAGTTTGTAATCTCTTGCTTCTTACTGAAATTGAACCAGAGTAAAAATAATAATTTCCAAACGTTCAATATCTAAACTGTATCACGATACGATTACATGCGAAATTCTCCAATACATAATGTCTCCAATATATAATGTCATCAGCTTCACCGCCACAGTTTCATACGAGTTGTTGTTCTTATTGTACAACATTTTCAACGACCTGAGTCACAAAAAATTCAAAATTTTTCCCTCCGAGTAGTGATAAATCTCTTTGAAAAAATATTTTCCGTTCGTCTGTAGATTTTTACGGAGTTTTGATTTAACACATGGCTACCTCTTCAATTTAAAAAAAAATCAAACCTGAATAACAATACAAATTCCCAAAAGTTTTATGGTTTAACTGTTAATTGATACGTTAAGTCACCTAATAAACTTACAGTGTATTTAGGAACCTCAAGCAAACTACAGAGGGCTACGAGGACGTGGCAATACAAAAAATTAAACGGGCAAAACAATAGCTTAGCGCGTGCATTTTAGAACTTTGTACATTTCTAAGCCGTCCTCTGTATGACCACAACGTGAAATAACCAAAGTTTGCATGGTCTGAGAACAGAACCGATGTGGCAAATGATTTCAGTTTCCATTTGGAACTCAATGCGGTAAGGGACGGTAAACACATCCAGTCTTTTGCAAAATTCTAACTACAACATAAATTAATTTTTTAATCGACACCTTCTTTGGCGTTTCCGTCCTAACTGCAGGGCGTGAAATTAATTTTTTTCAGATAGCCACTTGGCTCCTAAATTCTTCAAAGTGGTAGCCAATTCAAAAAAAGTTGGTCGCCTTTTTCAAAGACAAACAAAACCTTTTGTTACGCTGTCAGCTTTTTAGATAGACCCTCCAAAATTAAGGGCCTGTTCACATGGAGGTAGGGGAACCCAGGTAGGTGAGGTAACCCGCCTAGCCGTGGTCGAAAAATAAAACGCATTTACATGCAATCTTACAACCCCGGGGTGCTGGGGTGAGGTTTCTTGAGGTTGTTGTTGCGCTTGCAATTAAGGAGTTTGAGTAGAGGCGTCCCAAGCTCACATCTCGAAAAAGACGAAAGATTAATTCTCGGACACATGTATTTATTTATGAAAGCGTCACGAGTTGTGTTACGCGGTGTTTGGTTTTGCGAGAAACCCTTGACTTAATACGTTATAGAGAATAGTTTGGGAAACCAATTATGGTCGATTTACAAGGCTAAATATTGCGAAATGTGAACATTTTACACTCCTTGTGTGTCCGTTGCGGTTTCTGGTGATTTCTGTCATGAGACAGCTAGGAAATGTACAAAGTTTTAAAACATACATGTTTCGCTTTTGAGCTTTTTACCATGAATGCGACCCCGGCTAGGCGGGTTACCCCACCTTGACACGTTTACATGGCAAATTGTCACCCCGGCTGACAGGGTTACCCTACCTGGCAAACCGGGCAACCCGCCTAGGCGGGTCACCTCACCTATCATGTAAACGTGATCAAAATAAAATAAGAAATCGTATGGACAGGCGGGTTACCCCACCTAGGCGGGTTACCTCACCTACCTGGGGTCCCCCACCTCCATGTATACAGGCCCTAAGTTAGGGAAAGGATCTTTAACGTGCTACAAAGTGGACACTAGGATGGATGACATACAACGTTCAAGCTCACCTAAATTCAAGATGGTGTCTAGTTATCGATCGAGGCGCATGTGCTGCCACTGGAAACAAAGTTAACGAGGAAGTTTGCCGCGGATTTATCTGTATCTTTGCAAATCTTTTTAATTCAATATATCTCTTGGCAGGGTTATGATGAAACAATCTAATCCGGTGGCGCCAATTTGGCGACTAATCTTCAGGATTTGGTTGCTAAAGTGAAAAATTTAGTCGCATTGGCGCCTGTATTAGGCACAATTTCACGCCCTTAGGGGGTGAGGGTGGGGGCTGCACGTTGATGACACAAGGTCATACATCGGGAGCGCAAATTGATGTGTAAGTAGACGATGAATGCAATGCAAAATACAGATACTTCTTTGTAGTGATATAAATTTGTTGACGAGAACAGAAATACAGAGAAATTGTTTACTAGCACCAAACATGTCAGAGCTTGTGTCTTTGCAATCAAAACGTTTAAAAGTTCCAAGTCCGTAAGCTCCCCATTTGAACTTTTTATGACAAACTAACTAAAAAAATCGCACATCACATAACCTTTATGTGCAGTATTTAAATGTAATTAAAACCACTCGTACTTTTTAAAAGTTTCCAGAGCATTGTGGAGACCTAGATTAGAAATCAAGTCATATTTGGTAGCGGAGCATTATTACACGTGCTTTTCAAACAAATTATATATTTTCCCATTCTGATAGGCTCCGGCCTCTCTAATATACGATATACGTCATCCTTTGGTGAAATACAACCCCCAACGGAAATCTTCCCACATCTACCATGGAAACTGGTTTAAGATACTACCACTGTGATCATGGAGGATGATGAAAGGAAAATGAAGGAGACATATATTCTCACATATTCCATCGGGAAAGACATCCAGGTTTATCTTAGAATTTTGCAACATTAAACTGAAGAGAAAATCTGGTAGAAAAAGAAAGAGAAACAACCAGGACGACAAGTATAAATATTTTATTTCTCAGGCCCTGTATACAAACAACTTCAACAGCGGAAGCATAAGGAATAAGAGTTTGAATGAGTTGTTTCTTGATCGGAATAGATTTCATTTTTGAGTGTAATTCACGCCTTTTCCACGCTTTGACCACATCTAAGAAAGGCCCCGTGGCCCAACGGATAAGGCGAATCTGGAGATTCCAGGTTCAAATCCTGGCGGGGTCGCTGTTATTTTGAGTAAACAAACTTTGTATCCAATGGATTTCTTTTATTTTTTTAAGTCACCTTTCACCAAGTTATGAGGCCAGATACCACTTATGGGGCGTAGTTATGTTTGCTACCGTAGCATTATTGCATTTGCTATCAAAAAGTACTGAATGTTTATCGAATATTCTCCGGCTTCTCTGATATAGGTCATCCTTTAGTAAAATGCAACCACTCCCAGTTGAGTTATGATGCTTGTCACATTTTTTTGTTTTCCCAAGTAATAAGAAGTCAACTTAAATTAAACCTCAACACAAGTGAAAACTAAAGCATTCCTGGTTATTTTCTCCTGTAGATGCAGCACTCACCCATGATATCAGCTCGGAAAGTGTGCTTTGTTACTGATGTGCATTGCTGAATTGCAAGAAGGTAGCGTATTAGTTTCGTCGTGATATGCCAAGGAATCAGCTACCTGGCAAGTATTTCAAGATTCTGATTTTTTTCATCACTTTAATGATTACATGCAGGCAGGATTGGTAGACTCAAAGTTCGGTCACCAACTTAACAAAACTAGGACAAAATTACAGAGACAAGATACCCATTGGTTAAACGTATTCATAAGTGAAAACATAGTCACTGTCACATAGCATGCCATTTAGAGCGCTTTGCAATGGAAATTCGTGAAACCAAAACCAAAGTTATCCAGGCGGCCAATCAGACGAAAGGAGAAAACCTTTAAGAGTCAATAAGAACTTAAAATAAAAGCAATCAAACGGCCTAAAAGGCGGGAAAAAAAAGCGGACGACCATTTCGTGATTGGTTTTAGTTTTGCGTCTGATTGGTTGAGAGAATGGTGGCAGTTCTCAGGACCAATCACAAAGCGATGTCGGATTACTTTCGACACCCAACTTTAAAGGTAAATACTATTGCTTTGATACATCGTCGAAGTACAATCATGATACGCTAGCTATCCAGTTGGTGCTGAAAACCAATTACGTTCTACAATATGATATCGATTTGATTACAGACGAGGACATTATGTTAAACCCAAAGGTAACCCTTTCTGCGCATGTCCTTTCTTATCACAGCGACAGTGTATAGACGTGCTGATTGTTATTGGAGTAAAAATTGCCGAACTCAGAGGACCAAACCACTTCATGTAAGGTAAGGCTCTAGCTAGCAATAGTCATGCTAAGTTATGCCCTCATTTCAGTGTCTGGTTGGAGGAAAAAGTGTTGATATTCAGCGTCCTCTGTATTCTTTTTGTTTTCAGTCGCTTCAATCACATTTGTGAATAGACAAGATTTATATAGCTGAGATTATATCCATCAGCAAGAAGTTTGCCCAACAGTTTGCCGGTACCTATCATAATGCAAACATATCCCGACATACTTTTTCAAACTGATATTATCTTCGAAACTATACACCTCATTTGCATCTCATGTTTATTTGAATAAAAACGAGACAAACAACTCTGACAAATTTGGTTAGCACTCACCAAATAATTATCAAATATGACAATGTTACATACTTATTTACAAAAGCTTTAAGAAATGAGGTTCTGAAAATTGAAATCTTTATACCTTTACACATAGTTGTTTGATTTATTTTCTTACAAAAGTTTTCAAATGACGATGAAATATAACTAACTCAAAGTAACAAACGACGCCCAGCTTTGAAGTTATTGAACAATTAAAAAGATAAAAGACTGTGTCGCCCACATTGACGATGATCTGTTGAATAAAAAAGAGAATCCGAGTCAATGTTACGATTTTAAGTCAAACAAAAGAAAAGGTAGTACTACAGTTAACACAATGCTAATTATTGACAGATTTATTTTTGGCATTTGATTTACTGAACAGCACTACACCTACTTCCGTATATTGTCTTACTGGCCAACACCTTACGAAGTCTTACGACAATGTTTGAACTCAGGGAGCTTATAACAGGCATTTTACAGGTTACTATTTTTTTCCCATTGGAAACAGTGCTTGCCAGAACAGGATCTAATGGGTGATGGTAAGAATATGGACTCCCCAGACAGTTAAAAAAAGATTGGGCGAGGAAGTACCAAAGCTGAGAAGTACATTGACAGTTCTAATTGTCTAACTGGTTCGTCACTAAAACTAAATATGTGCAATCGTATTTCACAAGTTTTCTTATTCATACCTTTAGGTGGCTCAGTGGAGGCCTTTAAATTTGATCTGACATTCTTTATGGCCTCAAGATCATTCGCTTTGACTGGAACGTTTGTAACTTCAAGACATCCAGCGTTTCCCAATAGAGTGTCAAACCATGATGGTTGAAGGTCAAAATAATCTTTGCCTAGATAAAAGATTAATCAATTTTTGTTTTGGTTATGATGGCAATGCTCAGAATTTCGTTTAAGCATAAAGATAGCTGGGAGTTTTAGCTTACCAAACCAAAGTGAGTTAAATTGAGCGAGACACTTTTCTAAACCGACGCATAAACCGTGATCTTGAGCAAGGAAGCAAGCTAACTCTTTTTAATTAAATTACCTCCTCCGAAAAAGGGTTGATCTGACTGGATAAGTCACAAGTCTTTAATGCAGAAGAAATCGTCACAGTTTGAGCTTAAACAAAGTTGGAAGCAGGGATGTGTGTTCGTTTTGTAACGCCTCTAGCTATCTTGGAAAAAAAGTTCACCTTTATACCAGACGGGTTTGTCACTTTCAGAATACACTACTTCGTATAGATGTGGACTATCACTTATATAGAATGGTATTTTACAATTTTTCATCTTCATACCTTTAGCTGGCTCAGCTATGGAGGCCTTTGAATTTGATTTAGCATTCTTCATGGCTTCAAGATCTTTTCCTTTAACTGGAACGTTTTCAACTTGAAGACATCCAGCGTTTTGGGATAGAGTGTCAAACCATGACGGTTGAAGGTCAAAATAATCTTTGCCTAGATAAAAGATAAATTAAGTTTTGTTTTATGATTGCAATGTAGAGAATTTCGTTTCCACATAAAGATACCTAAGATTTTAGCTTACCGAACCAAAAGTGAATTAATTTCAGCGAAACACTTTTTCTAAACCGCCGCAAAAACCGTGACCTTGAGCACTCGATAAAAGAACAAACTAACTCTTCAATTAAAGCTACCTCCTCTGAAAAATGATTGATCTGAGTGGAAGTTGGGGAAGTTGGAAGCAGGGATATGTGTTCGTTTTTACCCCTTTAGCTTTCTTGGAAAATAAGTTCACCATAATACCAGAAGAATCTGTGTTATTTTTGTATGATGTAACACCTCATGAAGTTACTCACTGAATTTGAGTCATGCGAGTACATTGCAAAAGTACTAAAGCTGAAGGGTACATTGACAATTCTAATTGGCTTAATAGGTTCTTCACGCTCAGAAGACAGTACTTCGCACAGATGTGGACTATCACCTATGTAGAATCGTATTTTAAAGTTTCCATCTACATACCTTTCTTCATGGCTTCAAGATCTTTTGCTTTAAGTGGAACGTTTTCAACTTGAAGACATCCAACGTTTTTTGCTAAAGTGTCAAACCATGACGGTTGAAGGTCAAAATAATCTTTGCCTAGATGAAAGATGATTAAAAAATCAAAGCTGATATATGGAATAACATGTTATCAATTCTGAGTATCTAACTGTTTTGTGACTCGTAAGACTACACTGCTTTCGCGCAGGTGTACACTGTAAAGGAATGGTAATTTACAAGTTTCCTTCTTCATACCTTTAGCTTGCTCAGTGAAGGCCCTTGAAGAGGATTTAACATTCCTTATGGTTTCAAGATCTTTTGCGCTAACTGGAAAGTTTTCAACTTTGAAACATCCACCGTTGTTGGATGCAGTGTCAAACCATGATTGTTGAAGGTCAAAGTAAGCTTTGCCTAGTTTAGAAAAAAAGAGAAGCAGAAATAAAAATAAAAGTGCATGGAAGAACTGTTAATGAAATCAAAATATTTATTTTTAGTGAAAGATGATGCAAACACCTCTTTCCTCTCCAAAAACAAGGCAGTCGTATCAACCGCGTTGTCACCACTCAGTTGATGCGACGCCATCCCAATTTACAAACTCACCATTAAATATTTGTGGTTTGCTCTGGGACTCTTCTGCTTCTGTTTTATTCTTCTGGAAGGTAAAATTAAGGCCCCCCTCGAGCTCGGCAATGTTGTACCTCGCCTCTTGCAGCTTTTCGTCTATTGATGCCATTTGCTTAACAAAATCAGATTGAGTTATTTGCCCATTTTGTTTTAGCTGGGACAGTTTTCCCTTGAGATCAGCAATGTCTTTGTCTGTCCCAAAGAGAGTTTGTTTAAGAAAGGCGATCTCCTTCTCTTTAGCTGTTAAAAAACAAATGAATATTTTAAGTACTTAGAATATTAGATTGAATAAATTCAAGGTTTGACTGATAAGGTAAACCGGGAAGACACGAAAAACGGAACTATTTATGACGGAACGAGAAGCAGTAGGTTGGGGGGAAGGGGGTAAACGACTTATTATCAGTGGAGCATCGGAAACTCTTAGAAAAATGGCTCCCTAGTCCGCGCGCACTTTTCTTTTCATGCATGCGTGACCGCATAAAACTAACCGTTAATCTCAGTTTCAAGGTGGATGATCTTCTGTGTTAGTTGTTCCTTTTCTCTCGCAGACTGAAAAAAAAATTTGCCAACATATTGATTTTTTAATTAACGAAACTAGAAGAGAGCAAAAAAGCTGGGATACAAAACATCAACTTCCTATCCAGCGTGAAGATGGTGGAATGTCGAAGAGTGGCGTCATAATCTAAAAATTTCATTTGCTCGCGCTTTTTCACCTCTCCACGAAAAAAAAAATTTCAAACTCAGTTACCTGAACGCCTTTAATGCAGAAAAATTCTAGTTGCGTTGAATGTTTCTCCAATGTTGGACGGACGGACTTAAAATTGAGCTAATTTTGGAGGCAAGTCAAATCGGAACTAATTACGACCTATTCTCAAAGCTTATATATTGAATCAGATGGTTTTGCGCGTTCGCCTTTAAAATCACTTGAACTTCCTTTTTACTTGCTTCTTCGGATAACAAATTGTAACTTTTACAATAACTAAACCTACTTTTTAAGGAAAGAAAAAAGAAGTGTAATGATGAGAAACGCCCACCTCATTAGCCATAATCCGTGCCCCATGTGAGGCCTCTAAAGGCTCATGATAATTCTCATCAGAACGATTTGTGACATTGACTTCTTCATCAAATATTCTCGCAGAACAGGATTTCCTCACAGACTCTTTGTCACCTGAGTTGTTTTTGTTCATTTTGTAACTGATGTCTTCATTCAAAGCATTCGATAAACTAGAAAAATGCATTCTCTTTCACGGTGCTATAGCATGAACTGAGCTCTTAGTGCGAAACAAAGTTTCGATTTGTTTATGACTAGTTGCATGGTAACGTGTTTATGCCGTCACTTTGTGGCATCACGCCGGATTTGAAGTATTAAGTCTGGGCACTAGAATTTTGTTGAAGCCAACCATAGTTGGCCATTACAGTGCTTTTATAATGTTAAATCGATAATGGATAACACGTGAAATATCAGCGGACAACGATGTACATAGAACCCTTCACAGTAGAATAATTCATGTCATTGAGCGGGTTTCCTTCTTCCAAAGGAAAATGTGCGAACATTAAGTACGTTGTTTAAAGAACGCTTACTCCGTGTCCAGATTGCGAGCGATCACGAATGTGAAAATACCGAAAACAAAATAACTCTTCAGGACTTTAGGGGTGATGGCTTTTACTGCGAACGGTTTTAACGGTAACGTGTCACGGTTAACTTTTACTACGACTAACGGTTAAAAATTCGTCAATTTTATACGTCTAACCGCTAATTTTCTTTGCCGTTTTACTTCGACTGAGTGCCTTCCAATAAACTCCCCTCAAATTTAAGCCGAAATGTTAAATAAGCAACCGGGCGCCTATTCGAGGAAATAGGGTAACTGATTTAGTTTGAGCAGAAGCTCAGAAATTACCTTTGCATAAAACGAAAAGAATGCTGATATTTGTAGAAAGGAACAAATTCACGAGCGAAAACGAAATACGTGTTTCATCCTATGCTAGGGCCTGTTAACATAGAGGTGAGGGACCCCAGACAGGTGATGTAACCCGCCTAGCCGTGGTAGAAAAATGGCCCGCGTTTACATACAATCTCACAACCCCGGGTTGCCGGGGTGAAGTTTCTCGAGGTTGTAGTCGCGCTTGCATTTAGTGAGCTAAGATGTCACTAAATGGCGACGTGAGGTAAAACGGTGCCGTTTATTTTTAAACGTTTATCAATTTTCATTTATTTTCCTCTAAGGTTTTCCCCAAAAGTCGACTTGTTAACCGTTTCTGGCGGTACGATGTTTTCACAGTGGCATAAAAAAATCATTTAACACTGCCGGGGCTAATAGATTAGAAGATTCTAATTGACTGAGAGCTAAAATGGGATTATGGTTTAGTCTTTCTCTTCGACGTAGGTAAATTTTTCTGAAAGTGAATTGAATATTTCTTCGGAGCGATTAAGCCTCCTGTACACCTGCAGGGGAATTGCCGCTTTCTTCAGTAGGGTTCTATGCTTTGACACTCATCTGTCTCAAGAAAGGCCCCGTGGCCCAGGTTCGAGTCCTGGTGGGGTCGCTGTTGTTTTGGTGAAATAATCTTTGTATCTTCTGAATTTCCTTCATCCTTTTAATTGCTTTCATGAAGTCGTTAGGCTGAATAAGAAATTAAGTTATGTTTGGTAGAAGAACATCGCTACACGAGCTTTTCAAACAAGTTATTTGTTTTTGCATTCTGATTCCGGCTTCGAATTCTATAATATACGACATAAGTCATCCTTTGGTGAAATAGTACCTCCACCGGAAATCCTTCCGTATCTACCATGGAAATTGGTTTAATTTATCACTGATCATTAATAATTTCTGTTCTCCTCAATGAAGAGTCAAATCAATGTGATTATGTAGGATGATGAAAAGAAAATGAAGGAGACATACTCTCACATATTCCAGAGGGAAAGACGTGATCCAGGGTTTATCTTAGAATTTTGCAATATCAAATAAAAGTCGAGCTTGTTGTCAGTGTTTACAAAAGTATTTTACTTTTTTTTTACGGTTAAATCATGCTCTGCTTCTTTCATCCTTGTGCAAAGAATCGAGAGAAAATCTGGTAGAAAAAGAAAGAGAAACAACCAGAACGACAAATATAAATATTTTATTTCTCAGGCCTTGTATACAAACAACTTCAACATCAAAAGCATAAGGAGTAAGAGTTTAATGAATGAGTTGTTTCTTGATGGGAGTAGATTTAATTTTTTTGTGTAATTCACGCCTTTTCCACGCTTTGACCAGTTTTATTAAGAAAAGCCCCGTGACCCAACGGATAAGGCATCTGACTACGAATCAGGAGGTTCAAATCCTGGCGGGGTCGCTGTTATTTTGAGTTAATAATCCAATGGATTTCTTTTATCATTTAAATCGCCTTTCACCAAATTATGAGGCCAGATACCACATGTGGGTGCGTAGTTATGTTTGCTACCGTAGCATTGCTGCATTTGCTATCAAAAAGTATTGAATGTTTATCGAATATTCTCCAGCTTCTATGATGTAAGTCACCTTCAGTAAAATGCAGCCAGCCCCGGTTGAGCTATGATGCTTCTCACATTTGCTCGTTTTCCCAATGGAATTGGAAGTCAACTTAACTTAAACCTCAACACAAGTGAAAACTAAAGCATTCCTGCTTATTTTCTCCTGTAGATGCAGCAAGCCATGATATCAGCTCGGAAAGTGTGCTTTGTTACTGATGTGCATTGCTGAATTGCAAGGAGCTAGCGTATTAGTTTCGTCGTGATATGCCAAGGGATCAGCTACCAGGAAAGTATTTCAAGATTCTGGTTTTTTTATCACTTTAATGATTACATGCAGGCAGGATTGGTAGACTCAGAGTTGGGTCACCAACTTAACAAAACTATGACAAAATTACAGATACAAGATACCCATTAGTTAAACGTATTCATAAGTGAAAACATGATAAAAATGGACGCCGTCACATAGTATGCGATTTAGAGCGCTTTGCGATGGAAAGTCGTAAAACCAAAACCAAAGTTATCCTGGCAGCCAATCAGACGAAAGGAGAAAACCTTTAAGAGCCAATGAGAACTTAAAATAAAAGCAATCAAACGGCCTAAAGGGCGGGGAAAACGCGGACGACCATTTCGTGATTGGTTTTAGTTTTGCGTCTGATTGGTTGAGAGAATGGTGGAAGTTCTCAGGACCAATCACAAAGCGATGTCGGATTACTTTCGACACCCAACTTTATAATGGTAATTGAACTAAATGGAGTGCAATTTGGGCTGAAATCATGCGTGATTTTAAAATCGAACGAGCGTGCAGCGTGAGATCGATTTGAAATCACAAGTATGATTTCAGACCAAAGTTGCACAACACGAGGTTCAATTACCACTTTATTACATCCATTTTGAAATCGCCCAAATACAGGACTTGGTCAGGTCGAATATTTTATTAATGTATTACTGAGCCGGTCTGAAATTAAATTCATCCATTTTGGGGGGAAGTAACAGTTTTGGAAAAAAAAGTTGCAAAATTTGCCACATGATACTCTTTGTCTTTCATTTTCCTGCAATTTGATTGATTACTTTAAACGAGCCTTGACATCTGATTGGTTGTTTCGAGTGATTTCAAAATGGGTGTAATAAAAAGGTAAATACTATCGCTTTAATACATCGTCGAAGTACAATCATGATACGTTAGCTGTCCAGTTGGTGCTGAAAACCAATTACGTTCTACAATTTGATATCGATTTGATTACAGATGAGGACATTATGTTAAACCCAAAGGTAACCATTTGTGCGCATGTCCTTTCTTATCACAGCGACAGTGTATAGACGTGCTGATTGTTATTGGAGTAAACATTGCCGAACTCAGAGGACCAAACCACTTCATGCAAGGTAAGGCTCTAGCTAGCAATAGTCATGCTAAGTTATGCTCTCATTTCAGTGTCTGGTTGGAGGAAAAAGTGTTGATATTTAGCGTACTCTGTGTTCTTTTTGTTTTCAGTCGCTTCAATCACATTTGTGAACAGACAAGATTTACATAGCTGAGATTATCTCCATTAGCAAGAAGTTTGCCCAACAGTTTGCCGGTACCTATCTTAATGCAAACATATCCCGGCATACTTTTTCAAACTGATATTATCTTCAAAAGTATATACTTCATTTGCATCTCATGTTTATTTGAATAAAAACGAGACAAACAACTCTGACAAATTTGGTCAGCACTCACCAAATAATTATCAAATATGACAATGCTGCATACATATTTACAAAAACTTTAAGAAATGACGTTTTGAAAGTTGAACGCTTTATACCTTCACACATTGTTGTTTGATTTATTTTCTTACAAAAGTTTTCAAATGACGATGAAATATAACGAACTCAGAGTAATAAAAAACGCCCGGCTTTGAAGTTATGAAACAATTAAAAAGATAAAAGACTGTGTCGCCCACATTGAAGATGATCTGTTGAGTAATGAGAATCCGAGTCAATGTCACGATTTTAAGTCAAACGAAAGAAAAGGTAGTACTACAGTTAACACAATGCTAAATTATTGACAGGTTTATTTTTGGCATTTGATTTACTGAACAGCACTACACTTACTTCCGTATATTGTCTTACTGGCTAACACCTTACGAGGTCTTACGACAATGTTTGAACTCAGGGAGCTTATAACAGGCATTTTACAGTTTACTATTTTTTTCCCACTGGAAACAGTGCTTGACAGAACAGGATCTAATGGGTGATGGTAAGAATATGGACTCCCCAGACAGTTAAAAAAAGATTGGGCGAGGACTTTGCGAAAGTACCAAAGCTGAGGGGTACATTGACAGTTCTAGTTGTCGAACTGGTTTGTCACTAAAACTAAATATGTGCAATCGTATTTTACAAGTTTTCTTAGTCATACCTTTAGCTAGCTCGGTGCAGGCCTTTAAATTCGATCTGACATTCTTCATGGCTTCAAGATCATTTGCTTTGACTGGAACGTTTATAACTTCAAGACATCCAGCGTTTTCTACTAGAGTGTCAAACCATGATGGTTGAAGGTCAAAATAATCTTTGCCTAGATAAAAGATAAATCAATTTTTGTTTTAGTTATGATGGCAGTGCTGAGAATTTCGTTTAAGCATAAAGATACCTGGGATTTTAAACTTACCAAACCATAGTGAGTTAAATGGAGCGAGACACTTTTCTAAACCGCCGCATAAACCGTGATCTTGAGCAAGGAAGCAAGCTGACTCTTTTTAATTAAGTTACCTCCTCCGAAAAAGGGTTGATCTGACTGGATAAGTCACAAGTCTTTAATGCAGAAGAAATCGTCACAGTTTGAGCTTAAACAAAGTTGAAAGCAGGGATGTGTGTTCGTTTTGTAACGCCTCTAGCTATCTTGGAAAAGAAGTTCACCTTAATACCAGACGGGTTTGTCACTTTCAGAATACACTACTTCGTATAGATGTGGACTATCACTTATATAGAATGGTATTTTACAATTTTTCATCTTCATACCTTTAGCTGGCTCAGCTATGGAGGCCTTTGAATTTGATTTAGCATTCTTCATGGCTTCAAGATCTTTTCCTTTAACTGGAACGTTTTCAACTTGAAGACATCCAGCGTTTTGGGATAGAGTGTCAAACCATGACGGTTGAAGGTCAAAATAATCTTTGCCTAGATAAAAGATAAATTAAGTTTTGTTTTATGATTGCAATGTAAAGAATTTCGTTTCCACATAAAGATACCTAAGATTTTAGCTTACCGAACCAAAAGTGAATTAATTTCAGCGAAACCCTTTTTCTGAACCGCCGCAAAAACCGTGACCTTGAGCACTCGATAAAAGAACAAGCTAAGTCTTTTAATTAAAGCTACCTCCTCTGAAAAATGATTGATCTGAGTGGGTAAGTCACGAGTCTTGAATGTAGCAGAAATCATCACAGTTTGAGCTTGAACAAAGTTGGAAGCATGGATATGCGTTCGTTTTTACGCCTTAAGCTTTCTTGGAAAATAAGTTCAGCATAATACCAGAGGAATCTGTGTTATTTTTGTATGATGTAACACCTCATGAAGTTGCTCACTGAATTAGAGTCAGGCGAGTGCATTGCAAAAGTACTAAAGCTGAAGGGTACATTGACAATTCTAATTGGCTTAATAGGTTCTTCACGCTCAGAAGACAGTACTTCGCACAGATGTGGACTATCACCTATGTGGAATCGTATTTTAAAGTTTCCTTCTACATACCTTTCTTCATGGCTTCAAGATCTTTTGCTTTAAGTGGAACGTTTTCAACCAGAAGACATCCAACGTTTTTTGATAAAGTGTCAAACCATGATGGTTGAAGGTCCAAATAACCTTTGCCTAAATGAAAGATGATTAAAAAATCAAAGCCGATAGATGGAAGAACAATTCTGAGTATCTAACTGTTTTCTGACTCTTAAGACCGCACTGCTTTCGCGCAGGTGTGGACTGTAGAGGAATGGTAATTTACAAGTTTCCTTCTTCATACCTTTAGCTTGCTCAGTGAAGGCCCTTGAAGCGGATTTGACATTCCTTATGGTTTCAAGATCTTTTACTCTAACTGGAAAGTTTTCAACTTTGAAACATCCACCGTTGTTGGATGCAGTGTCAAACCATGCTTGTTGAAGGTCAAAGTAAGCTTTGCCTAGTTTAGAAGAAAAAAAAAAAAGAAGCAGAAATAAAAATAAAAGTGCATGGAAGAACAGCTAATGAAATAGACATATTTATGTTTAGTGAAAGATGATGCAGACCGCTCTTTCCTCTCCAACTACGTCCCATAACACTTCCCTGGAACACAAAATGAGTTCATAAAAAACAAGGCAGTCGTATCAACCGCGTTGTCACCACTCAGTTGATACGACGCCATCCCAATTTACATACTCACCATTAAATATTTGTGGTTTGCTCCGGGACTCTTCTACTTCCGTTTTATTCTTCTGGATAGTAAAATTAAAGCCCCCCTCGAGCTCGGCAATGTTCTTCCTTACATCCTGTAGCTTTTTGTCTATTGATGCCATTTGCTTAACAAAATAAGATTGAGTTCTTTGCACAGTTTGTTTTAGCTGGGACAGTTTTCCTTTGAGATCAGCAATGTCTTTGTTTCTCCCAAAGAGAGTTTGTTTAAGAAAGGCGATCTCCTTCTCTTTAGCTGTTAAAAAACAAATGAATATTTTAAGTACTTAGAAAAATAGATTGAACAAATTTTAGGTTTGAGTGATAAGGTAAACTGGGAAAACACAAAAAACGGAACTATTTATGACGGAACGAGAAGCAGTAGGGAGGGGGTAGGGGGTAAACGACTTATTATCAGTGGAGCATCGGTAACTCCTTGTAATCCGCGCGCACTTTTCTTTTCATGCATGCGTGACCACATAAAACTAACCGTTAATCTCTGTTTCAAGGTAGATGATCTTCTGTGTTAGTTGTTCCTTTTCTCTCGCAGACTGAAAAAAATTTGCCAACATATTGATTTCTTAATTAACGAAATTAGAAGAGAGCAAAAAAGCTGGGATACAAAGCACTATCAACTTTTTTATCCAGCTTGAAGATGGTGGAATGTCGAAGAGTGGCGTCATAATCTAAACATTTCATTTGCGCGCGCTTTTTCATCTCTCCACGAAGAAAAAAAATTTCAAACTCATTTACCTGAACGCCTTAAATGCAGAAAAGTTCTAGTTGCATTGAATGTTTCTCTAATGTTGGACGGACTTAAAATTGAGCTAATTTTGGAGGAACCGTTTTACAAGTCAAATCGGAACTAATTACGACCTATTTTCAAAGCTTATATATTGAATCAGGTAGTCTTGCGCGTTTGCCTTTAAAATCACATAAACTTCCTTTTTTCTTGCCCCTTCGGATAACAAATTGTAACTTTTACAATAACTAAACTTACTTTTTTAACGAAAGAAAAAAGAAGTGTAATGATGAGAAACGCCCACCTCATTAGCCATGATCCGTGCCCCGTGTGAGGCCTGTAAAGGCTCATGATAATTTTCAGCAGAACGATTTGTGACATTGACTTCTTCATCAAATATTCTCGCAGAACAGGATTTCCTCACAGACTCTTTGTCACCTGAGTTGTTTTTGTTCATTTTGTAACTGATGTCTTCATTCAAAGCATTCGATAAACTAGAAAAATGCATTCTCTTTCACGGTGCTATAGCATGAACTGAGCTCTTAGTGCGAAACAAAGTTTCGATTTGTTTATGACTAGTTGCATGGTAACGTGTTTATGCCGTCACTTTGTGGAATCACGCCGGATTTGAAGTATTAAGTCTGGGCACTAGAATTTTGTTGAAGCCAACCATAGTTGGCCATTATAACGTTTTTATAATGTTAAATCGATAATGGATAACACGTGAAATATCAGCGGACAACGATGTACATAGAACCCTTTACAGCAGAATAATTGATGTCATTGAGCGGGTTTCCATCGTCCAAAGGAAAATGTGCGAACATTTAGTACATTGTTCAAAGAATTCTTACTCCTTGTCCAGAGTGCCAGCGATCACGAAGGTGAAAATACCGAAAACAAAATAACTCCAAAAGACTTTAGGGGTGATGGCTTTTACGACTAACGGTTTTAACGGTAATGTTTTACGATTAACTTTTAATACGACTAACGGTTAAAAATAACCTCCCCTCAAATTTAAGCCGAAATGTTAAATAAGCATCCGGGCGCCCATTCGAGGAAATAGGGTAACTGATTAAGTTTGAGCAGAAACTCAGAAATTACTCTTTGCATAAAACGAAAAGAATGCTGATATTTGTAGAAAGAAGCAAATTCACAAGCGAAAACGAAATACGTGTTTTATCCTATGCTAGGGCCTGTTAACATGGAGGTGAGGGACCCCAGATAGGTAATGTAACCCGCCTAGCCGTGGTAGAAAAATGGCCCGCGTTTACATAAATCTCACAACCCCGGGTTGCCGGGGTGAAGTTTCTCGAGGTTGTAGTCACGCTTGCATTTAGTGAGTTTAGATGTCACTTAATAGCGAAGTGAGGTTAAACGGTGCCGTTTATTTTTAAACGTTTATCAATTTTCATTTATTTTTCTCTAAGGGTTTCTATTTGAATGAGAGCTAAAATAGGATTATGGTTTAGTCTTCCTCTTCGACATGGGTGAATTGTTCTGAAAGTGAATTGAATATTTCTTCGGAGCTATTAAGCCTCCTGTACACCTGCAGGAGAATTGCCGCTTTGCTTTGACACTCATCTGTCTCAAGAAAGGCCCCGTGGCCCAATGGATAAGGCATCTGACTTCGAATCAGGAGATTCCAGGTTCGAGTCCTGGCGGGGTCGCTGTTGTTTTGGTGAAATTATTTTTGTATCTTCTGAATTTCTTTCATCCTTTTAATTGCTTTCATGAAGTTATTAGTCTGGATAAGAAATTAAGTTATGTTTGGTTGAAGAACATCGCTACACGTGCTTTCAAACAAGTTATTTGTTTTTGCATTCTGATTCCGGCTTCGAATTCTATAATATACGACATAAGTCATCCTTTGGTGAAATAGTACCTCCACCGGAAATCCTTCCGTATCTACCATGGAAATTGGTTTAATTTATCACTGATCATTAATAATTTCTGTTCTCCTCAATGAAGAGTCAAATCAATGTGATTATGTAGGATGATGAAAAGAAAATGAAGGAGACATACTCTCACATATTCCAGAGGGAAAGACGTGATCCAGTGTTTATCTTAGAATTTTGCAATATCAAACAAAAGTCGAGATTGTTGTCAGTGTTTACAGAAGTATTTTACTCTTTTTCTAAGGTTAAATCAAGCTCTGCTTATTTCATCCTTGTGCAAAGAATCGAGAGAAAATCTGGTAGAAAAAAAAAGAGAGAAACGAATAGAACGAAAAATATAAATATTTTATTTCTCAGGTCTTGTATACATTACAACAGCAAAAGCAAGAGCAATAAGAATTTATTGAATGAGTTCTTTGTTGATTGGGATAGAGTTCATTTATGAGCATAATTCACAGTTTATTCTGTGCTTAGAGCATTCTTTCATGCAGAAAGGCCCCGTGGCCCAACGGATAAGGCATCTGACTACGAATCAGGGGATTCCAGGTTCGAATCCTGGCGGGGTCGCTGTTATTTTGATTCTTTTATCATTTTAATTGCCTTTCACCAAATACCACAGGTGAGGCATAGTTAAGTTTGCTGGAGTAGAATTACTGCATTTGCTTTTAAAAAGAATTGAACGTTTATCTAATATTCTCCGGCTTCCATAATACAAGTCATCCTTTCGTGAAATGCAACCCCTCCCGGTGGAGTTATTATGCTTGTCACATTTGCTTGTTTTCCCAGTCTTCATTGCGGACTCTGGGGAAAAGTATGACCCGGCATTTCAAACAGCTGGAGCGAAAAGATTTTTGGTTCAAATCTCATGTTTCTGAGAAAGCTGACAGGACAGAGAGACTGGAGTGAGGAAAATCTTGCTTTTGGGATAGAATCTTTTGAGTAATTTGTTTACGCAAGGGAACGGTGCTTTGAATGCAGTAGATCCTGGCAAGAAGCACCGCAGGTTGTAAAAGGTGTGATTCGTCAGTGCCCAGATTTCTCGGAGTTCTGAAAAATTTTGGCGATCAAGGCAACTGAAAAGACGGCGTTTGGGCAAGACGTCTATGGACAAATAGTTGAATATATTTGTAATATCTAAGTACTAAGAGATTTTATAAGGGCCTATTTACACGGTACGACTTTGTCGCATGCGACAAGCTTACGACAGGCTTACGACACGAATTGTTTCGTGTAAATCAAACCTACAACTCGCTTACGACTCTTAAGTCATGTCGTAGGCCTGTCGTAAGCTTGTCGCACGCGACAAAGTCGTGCCGTGTAAATAGGCCTTAACATAGCTAGTAAATTTGTCTAATCAAATTCAATTGCGCGAGCGTGCTTCTTAGTCCTTTTGTGCCTCATGACGTCAGCAAACATATCCCTCGAGAAAAAAATTTTCCATCGGGTTGAAAATGTTATAAAACAATTGGTTCATACGTCAGCTGTGCGTTCATCGAGATATGAAGCACTTGGGAAGTTTAGAGAGCACTCAAGAAGCCAGAGTTGCTCTCGGCTACGCCTCTAGCAACTCTAACGCATCTTTCGTGCTCTCCAAACTTCCCGCGTGCTTCATATCTCGATGAACGCACGCTGACGTATGAACCAATTGTTAAATAAATACTTTGTAATCTCTTGCTTCTTACTGAAATTTAACCAGAATAAAAATAATAATTTCCAAACGTTCAACTGTATCACGATTCGATAACATGCGAAATTCTCTAACATTTAATGTCACCAGCTTCACCGCTACAGTTTCATACGAATTGTTGTTCTTATTCTACAATATTTTCAACGACTTGAATCACAAAAAATTTAAAATTTTCCCTCCGAGTAGTGATAAATCTCTTAGTAAAAACATTTTTCGTTCGTTTGTAGATTTTTACAGAGTTTTAATTCAACACATAGCTACCTCTTCAATTTTGAATATCAAACCAGAATAACAATACAAATTCCCCAAAGTTTTATGGTTCAACTGTAATTTGATGCGTCAAGTTACTTAATAAACTTACAGTGTATTTAGGAACCTCAAGCAAACCAAGAGGGCTACGAGGACGTGCCAGTACAAAAGATTTAATGAGCAAAACAATAGCTTAGCGCGTGCATTTTAGAACTTCGTGCATTTCTAAGCCATCCTCTGCATAACCACAACGCGAAATAAGCAAATTATTTCAGTTTCCATTCGGAACTCAATGCGGTGAGAGACGGTAAACACATCCAGCCATTTTCAAAATTCTAACTGAAAACATAAATTCATTTTTTAATCGACATCTTCTTCGGCGTTTCCGTGCTAACTGCTTCAGGTCTCTCTTTTCTGTAATCACTTCTTTTGTTATCCTCTAAGTTACAGAAATGTAAAAATTATTGGTCTCATTGCACAATTATTTCACGATTTGAATCACAAAAAAAACTTCACTTTTTCTTCCAGTTAACATCAGAGATAAACTCTTGGAAAAAAATACTTTTTTCTGTTTGTAGAAAATCATAGAATTTCTAGATAAACACATAGCTACGTGTTCTATATCTACACTGAAGGGAACCTTGTTCGGAAAATTACGTCGCACATCTAAGCTGTTACGCGAGATGAACTCGGAACTGGTCAAAAATGTAGCTAGGAATGTGAGCCTCGACAACCTGAATAACAGAGGGGTTTGAAAACAAATCATTAGTAATATAGTGCTGAACGAAAAACAGAAATGCGTTTTATTACAAAGGAGTCAAGTGCGAGTTCCAAAAGAAATCTCTCACAGGGGAATGGAAGAAAATAAAGATAATTCGGATATTAGTCCACAATGGTCGTTACGAGTAAGAGCATGGTCTTTCCATTTTGGAAATGGCAGACGTGCATCGCACAACCATAAGGTTATGGTTGCTCGGTGGGGGGGGAGGCTGCACGTTGATAACACATGTTCATCAGGAGCGCACATTGATATGTAAGTAGAAGACCAATTTTCATCAGAGGCATAGAAACTCAAGTAGTCTACTTTTTTGTTCTAACAAGAATCGGATATCACCTATCATTATCTATAATCTATCACTGAACTAACGCCCAGAATGGAATCTATTTCTTAGTAGAAGCTTCAAGGCTTGACGCTTCTGTCACGGTTATAAGCCAATAAGAGGGCATACATGTTTTGTTATGCTGTAAAGGAAAGAACTTCAACAAGGAGCGTTCAAACAATATTTCACATCTACGGAAAAACAGTTAATATCTTTGCACCGACAACAAATGCCGAAACGTCAGCTTTTCCAGTTTACATCTGGTAACGATGCAGCACCACACTTTCTTCATAAACTTAATACTTTCTAATGGAGCTGTATTTTTAACATCAAATCTAATAACAACAGCTTACCTTCCTTGGAAGTTCACTGTACGCCAAAAAGTCTTCAAGGAAAACCAGCAGGTTTACAACTTCTGCTGGGATCTCTTGGCTTCTTACACTAAATCAAACACACAGAATAAGAAATCATCAAGTATTAAAGAGCGACTCGTAAAGTATACTCCAAAGATCACAATAATTTTTATCTCCGTAAGACCCTCAGTATGTAAAGTACAGAGTATTCAATATTCACCTGTCCTTTAATATCTTTCAGCTCATTTAAGCGGATCATTGTCAGTGTCTGAGCAACTGCACAACTATCCCTCTCGTAACCCAACTGATCAAATTAGACTGTAATGTAGCAAACATTTCTTGTTTTTGAATCAAAATTTGGACCCCTTCCCCGATCAAAAGTTCCTTGATCCGCTCCCACTCCACCCCAACAATCCGACTTCATGGTCGAATGTTACGTATTGGCCCAATCCCTAAAAACTAGTAATATCGTGAGTCTTTCATATCACTCAAGCGATCCGCCCTTTTAAGATGCCCTTAAAAAGTGTACTTACTTTGTAGCCGTCGCCTCTATAAGGGACCTTACATATTGTCCACAGCACGACAAGAATTGTTCCGTGTACTCGGAATGGAACTGCTTCAGAACTGTAATCATTCCTACTACAAATGGTGCGCTGTCGATCTGATCAGTCGGTCGCTTGGCCACCATTGTTCCTGGTGCATCAGACGACAAACGAAATGTATTAGCTAAGGATGATTAGTTTGAGCAACATTATTTTCTGAAGTGCTTTCCGATTGAGAGTTGTTTAACCAAACTTTAACCCATTTAACTCCCACGATCTGATTGTCAATTCTCCCCTCTAGCTGCTTCACATTTCCTTGCAAATAAGTTCCAAGAAGTTGGTGCTAGATCATGAGACCTTCTACCTGATAGGTTGGAGTATTCTCATTAACCTGTTTACAGGATAATGTATGGATATTATAGGGAGAAGTTAAATGTTAATCACCTCTGGGAGTTAAACGGTAGATACCTCCGAAAGCCAATGAAAACTCAGCTTTTCATGTACCCCGCTTGAAGCGCAGAAAACGCGACCAACCAATTTACAACCGATTTTAATTTTACTCTTAGCCTTAGTAATTCGCAGGTACTATCTAAATGTAATAACAAAAGAGCTATCGTCTTACCGACGCTCTTGACATAGACCAGCTTTGGCATCTGTGCAATCACGCACAAAAAATTCAGTAGTGCAAAATACGGATACTTCTTTGTAGTGATATAAATCTGTTGATAAGAACAGAAATATCTCTTAAATGCCCAATGACCTTTTACAAAATCTAAAAAACTCTACGTTCGTTAAATAACCTTGGCCAAAATGTTGGGACAGTTTGTTTGTTCTCGTTTTTGCGTGCAAGCAAAACCATAGTCTAAGCACTGGACTTCACGAATGTTATGCTTCTTGCATACAACCAGGAATGTAGGTACTTAACAAAGGAAAGTAACAGCTAAATAACTGTATAAAATAAAATTGAAGAGACTGACCTTTGTGAGTGGGTTATGAATACCAGCCCACTCAAGATATGACGTCAACTCAAACATAAGAGGATTCTCTTCCTTGGGATATGGTCGAGTGGGGTCCTGGTAATGAGCTTCAACATCGCGTAGCAGTGCACTGTACATAATGATTTTAATAACAAACAGTTTAAGTTCCACGCCAACTCCGAGAAGATAAAGTATCAAAAGTGACGAGCTGTAAGTAATACCAGGTTTGAAGACAGCAGATATCTGATAACAGCGCTGAGATAAAAATAACGAAACCTTCCATATACGATTAGGAAGTTACTTTGCGACTCGACAAACTTCTGATAATGAGAAACTGCGTAATAGCACTAAACATATCAGAGCTTGTGTCTTTGCAGTCAAATTTAGAATCACCAAGACATGAAGGAATCTGCTCTGAAACGTTCAAGGTTCCAAATCCATAAGCTTCCCATTAGTGTTTTATGACAAACAAAGCATAGAGAGAAAAAATCGCATATCACATAGCCATTGTGAAGAGTATTTCAATGGATTGGGGAAACATTACATTACTGTAAGAATCAAAATCACTCATACTTGTTAAAAGTTTCCAGAGCATTGTGGAGAACTTTTGAGTCAAACTTGCAGGAACAGTTCAGCTCATTTGAGATTTGTCTTCTTATGAGCTGCATTTGGCCGACCTAAAGGATAAAAAAAAAAGAAGAAAACAGTGGGTGATGATCAAAGACAGCAGAAAGAGCCGATTTTGTTTACCAATCGTAAAGCGTTATGCAACAAAACTAAAGCGATACCGGATTACATTACACGATCAGTTGAAAATTACTCTAACCCCTAAGTGCACTTCACGAAGTAAAACCAACGGTAAAAACGAGATTCCTCATTTTCTTAACCGAGAACACCCACATTCCATGAAGCCACAGAGCTCTTATTGCAGGGCGTGAAATTAACTTTTTTTTCTGATAGCCACTTGGCTCCTAAATTCTTCGAAGTGGTAGCCAATTCAAAAAAAGTTGGTCGCCATTTTGAAAGACAAACAAAATCTTTCTTTACGCTGTCAGCGTTCTAGATAGGCCTCCAAAATTAAGTTAGGGAAAAGATCTTTAACGTGCTACAAAGTGGACACTAGGATGGATGATATACAACGTTCAGGCTCATCTAAATCCAAGATGGCGTCTAGTTATCGATCGAGATGCATGTGCTACGTTTTGGAAACAAACTTAACGAGGAAATTTGCCGCGGAGTTATCTTTGCAAATTTTTTGAATTCTCTATATCTCTTGGTAAGGTTATAATGAAACGTTCTAGTCGCCAATTTGGCGACTAACTTTCAGGATTTGGTCGCCAAAGTGAAAAATTTAGTCGCATTGGCGCCTGTATTAGGCGCAATTTCACGCCCTGTATTGTAATAAATTGACTGAAATATCGAAAGAATCGGTTTACCTTCATGATTGCTTCACTATACTGAGTCCACAGACGAGCCAACTTTTGAGTAACTGGAGGATATACTCTGTATGGTGATGCTGTGGGGAAAGAATGTGAAATAAATAAATAAATAATTAAATAAAAATAAATAAATAAATACTCCTACTCCTGCATGCCACCGAAGCTACGTCAGTTTGGCTGCATCTTGAAAATTTAAGCCTAAATGTTTTTACGGTCGTTTCTGGAATCCATGTCGTTGGCCTCTCCAACTTTGAACATCATTGTTCCTTCTTCATTTATCATTGCATCCTATCCATGTTTTATAGTATATACTAGCATTCAATCACAAACACTGCAATCTGATTGGCTTCGCTAATCGCTCTCTGTTCCGTAAAAGATAGTAAATGATCCCCTAACAGTGTGTGTAAACAAAATGAAATATGGCAAAAACATGAGCCTGTCTCGTTGTTACGTTTTGGACGACTAGCGGATTTATACTAAAGCAATTAGATTATTTCCTCTCGATTTCTGCGCGTGATAGTTGGTTCGGGCCGCGCCACGCTACGCAATAGAAATATAGACCTCATAATCTAATGGTTACGTAATCTCCTTCCAGTTGAAGGAAACGTTGCAACACGTGACCGAAAAAGTAGTGGAATATGTCTTTTAACTTAATCACTTTACAATCACAAAGAAATGCGGGGTTTCAAAGGGGTAGATTAAGGTTACAACACAACACATACAAACCGATGAGACTTTTGACGGGAGTAAGTTGTTTGGAAAGTCCCTGCAAAGTGTCTGTCACGAGTTTGTCTTTCAGCGCTCCTCTCAGCAATGCTTGGAATTTCTACCAAAAAAAAAAAAAAAGCATTGCTCGTAATGAAACAGCAAAAATCAGTTTAAATATTCCTAAAGGCGAGGCTACGTTTAACGATGTTCTCGAAAGATGAAGCTCCACCGCGAAGAGGTTTTTTTCTTTCATGTTATGTAAGGTTAGTACACGAAGAAAATATCTTGGCCTGTTTTACCTCTTGCATATTAAGTCTCTATTTTGCTAATGCACATTTTTTTGTAGGGGGGTTCACTGTCCTGCCTAACGTTCTCGACCATTAGTAAAATCAAATAACATACAACTGTCAAACCTGTAGTTCCTTGACTATCATAAACGACAGTAGTTTGTCCAATCCCGTCAGTCCAAACGAGCCAACCGCCTGTTGAAGTTGCTTTAGGATCAGTAAGTTCATAACCTCTTGCTTGGTTCTGTTGTCGTACCAGGCTCCCATTTGGTCGATGTAACACGTAGTCCTGACAAAGTAAGTATCCTTAAGTACTAAAGATCGAAATAGCAATTCCCTTCTAACTCAGTGCTGCACATTTTCTTGTGCAATTGGGTTTCCATAGCAGCCGGTTAGCAGGTAGATCAACCCGCTTGTGATATGTTGATAAGTTGGGGGGGGGTGGTAAGTTTCTAAAGAAACTGTGGTGCTGCTTCGGTGGAAGAGTATATCAGGGTAATGTAGTGGTATCAACTGAGTTGATAAAGTAGACTTTCACAGCCGACTTTTCGAGCGTTAGCCCTTCGTCAGAACGTCAGCTTTGAAACTCTTTACGGAGGCTACTTTACGTTATCAACTCAGTTCATAATACTAAATTACCCTGTTATACCCGAGTTAGGGTTACTGGCATCTTATTTTGTCCTTAATACCGAATACCCCCCTTTGCAGAGTACAGACCCATCTCTGACTGGCATACTCGTGTTTCACATGCTCACTACCACTGACCATCTATTTTCACCGAAGTTACCTCGAACGGAAAACCACTAAGTGCATGCGCCGCTACCTAAATCTACTTCAGTCTTTACCGTGCATCATTCATCTCTCAAATAAATATATCACAACTAAACAGATCACTAACTTAGTGTCTGTTATTCTGAGTATCTCCCTCGCCAGTCGTCCAATGAAATTGACAGACTCGTCCACAGGAGGAAACTTCGGTATGGGAATCGTGGTTGATTGATAAACAGACTGCCAGTCGTGGACCTGAAGAGACGAACAGACAAATAACCATTTAGATGGGTTTATGACCGCACAGTTACTATCTCAGAGTATCCTTTACAACCCCAACATCAGTATGCAAATTCTCCATACTGTTCCCTATATATTCCCTAAGGTGCTGATGAGGAAAATTTGTTTCATAATCCAGAGCTTCTTTGGTTGGTGATCATTTCCCTTATTCTCATGACCTTGATGTGTGATTCAGGGAAGATATTGTGAGGAGAAATTAGATGCTAGTCACTCTTATGTGGCCAAAGGGGCCGGGGTTCCAGAGAAAAGTTCATTCCACTTGGCAGCCAGTAAGAAACAAGAACACTTTAACATGGCCTCAAATCTTTCTTCATAAGTAAGAACCATTTCTACTGTAGAAAACCTTACTGGCACATCCAATTTTCGGAAACCAAGGATAATAAGATTGTTAAAGTTAACCTGCTTGAATCATGGACTAAAAGGTGTTTCGCGAACTTTAGCAAATCAAAAATCATTAACTCATTCTCTCCTCACAAACTAGCTGAACTATTTGGAAATATAGCTCACAGCAGATACTATAATAAACTTCTGTAACCCTAAAACTCATCTCTCCTGAACTACCTTCGTTTTACCACTGCTATTGAGACTTTTTTTTTTCATAAGATTTCAAGCTCTAACCTTTTCTCTGAGAAAGCTATTGCATTCCTGTTCCACGTTGTAGTTGATGATTCTGGAAACTTCCTCTTGCCAGATTTTCAGACCATAAATGTTAATGTAATCTTGAATGTATTCAAAGGAACGCCGGAATCCGTCCATTCTTCCTCCAAGTTCCCTTAGCCTCAAGCCAAGTTCCGATTGCTGTCAGAATTAACACAATGCCTTTCATCTTGAACTTAAGAGCAGATAATTATTGAATATCGAAACTGAGTCAGGATTACTTTAGTTTTGCTCTACTTCGCTCAGTCGCGCACCAATTGCTAAACCAATCAGATGCGAGACTTAAACCAATCACGACTTTGTCACCGGTGTTTTCCCGCGCTTGCGAAAGTGAACTCTGATTTCACTCTAACATTAGCACGCTCTTAAAATTAACATATGCATAAATATTCCCCATACGGTTCTCCTCACATTTACTGTGCTACTGACAAGGAGACTTTGTCTAATAATCAAGAGCTTCTTGAGTTGCTGATCATTTCTTTTATTCTCGTGAACTAAATGTGTGGTTCAGGCTGGAACTGTAGGGAGAAATAAGATGTTAGTCACTCTTCACGCCAAAAGGGTTAGGATCATTCTGTAATTTACCTTAGCCCTTGGATTAAACGTGAGAACAATGTGGAGAGCAGACGCCACCTGTCTGACCAACTCTTTCCTAATCCCATCCTCTAGAAGCTGCTTTGGGTCAATCTGAAAACAGTGAAAATGTTGCCTTTAACTTCTGTAAGAGGGGTATGGCACTCTTCATTAAAGGCCAACCCTGTCTAGCACGTTGGGAAGATAAAATTAGGAAATTGTTTCAAAATGGCTAGATGGGGAACTTGTGATGGTTATACATACGAAATAGTATTATGCTACTTGGTTAAATCATAGAATGATTTTCAGTTGAGTGTCGCAGTAATCCTGATTGGCCTAATATCAGCGCGTGCCACTCTCTTAACCAATCAATTTCAAAACTAGAATCAACAGTGACCTGGTCACTCGCGTTTTCCCGCGCTTCGAGTAGTTTGCTTGTTTTTTACTTGGAGTTCTCATTGTCTTCTTAAAATATTTTCCTTTATTCTGAATTTCGTCGCAATTACTCTGGTTTTGGTTTCTTAAAACTCAACTAAAAAGTCCTCTGCAATGCTATCCACCAGTACTTACCTTAATAATTCCGACCAAAGTTGTCTTCATCATCAAAATCCCTTCCGTGAACACGGAAATAGCATGTGTCAACTTCGCTATCTAAAAAAAACCACACATTGGTTTAATTACGATGTTGCTCTGAAAGAAGGGGAGACATTGCTAAATGGGTAATATATTTGTATTAAATGGTTCTTTCTGATATAAGTCTTTTATGATCACTGAAACATACCTGGTATCTCTCATCCAATTGCGCATACTCTCTCAATTTATCCTTTTCCAACCTGGTTGGAACCTTGTAAGACACAACGTCAGAAAAATATTGTTAGCGTATGATGAAGATGATGATGATTTTTTTTCGCCTTTTTTTTTTTTAAGGTAGCGTGAAGTTATGTTATGAGCCACAGGGTTAAATAATGTCTTTTTACTCTCTTGAAAAAATTAAAAAAAAAAGGGCATCGTTGACAAACCAACCTCCTTCACGCTGCTGATCTGGAGTTGAATGATTCTTGCAAGAAGACCAAACATTGTCTCTGGAATAATCTGTAAAACCTGGAGATATGATAGTTTGGTCATTAAATGTGCACATCTAATGTTGTTTCACTTTGTGCCAACTCAGCTCAGAAAAAAAAATTGCAAATAGAAGAGGAATGTTCACCATAATGCCCAAAAGTGATGAATACTTGGAAAAATCTGAAAGTTACTCCAATCTCACAAGTTGAGATGTAACTAAAAACCTTTTTTGCAGAAGCAAGAAAAATGTAAACGAGATAAATCCACTAAGAGAGAGCACTGTCTGAGATCCTACAGAGCATATGCATTTTACTAATCCACAATTTATCATGAGCACATCAGCATAATTACCTTTCTCACATAAGCCACCAATTCACCGGAGTAGTACTGGGACACACTCACTAAATCAGGACTGTTAGCCTGGCCAATGCGCACCAGAGGCAAATCCATAGCTGAGGCCATCTGTGAAAAGATTCTAAAAGTTAGTCTACTCTTGCACTAGTCAGGAGATAAGCCTTTTGTCGCTGGAGTGTAAAGATGAACAGTGTTATTTTACCTTGAGGAATGTTGCTCTTAATTTCTGAACCAAAGAAGGGTTACTCTTTATTCCTTGTTGCATGAATCCAGAGTAACTGCAATAACATCAATAACAATCTGTTTAGGAAATCAAATTGTTAAAAGTGTCTCTTAATGCTTTCACTCCTAAGATCTCATTAGTAATTCTCCTTACTGTCTGCCACACAATGGCTATGATGTAAGTTCAGATAATTTGATAGGAATCAACTTACAATCCCCAAATTGATATTTTTCTTTATTCTAATCAATTGTCTGCATGATATTGTATCGATATTGAAAGGCAAAATTAAGTCTAGGTCACTCTTGGGACTTAAAGGGGTTAAATTGTCTGATTGAGATCCTTGAACAACGGCTGAAAAAAAAAAAAAGAGCTACAAAATGATACACAAACAAAAAATGAAAAACTAAAAAATGCTCATGTGCTACATGGGCAATGAAATTTAATTGCTTTAGCACTGAATGAATCTGCATCAAGAAAAATGGTGCTTTGGGACACCCACTCGATTAGTTCTTAGAGCTATTTGTCCCAAACTCCACGCAATTAACATAGTATTTAAATATTAATTTCTTCCTTTCCTTCTTTATTTCTTAGACATCCTTGGTAACAATGAGTTTTAAATTATTTTGGTTTCTTTTTTCGTTTTCTTATTGCACTGTATTCTTTACATTGATGTTTGTAACACTACTGTGATAATTATAACCTTCTCTAAAACACTGTATTTGTGTAAGTTTATATAAAATTGAATTTAATCAAAGTGAAGAGGGAATATAAGCAACTAAGTGACACACACAAAAAAGTAGAAGTCTGTTTGTCTTACCTATCAATAATATTCCACGCATAAGATAAGTCAGCTACTAACTGAATGGTGATCAAAACCTGCAAAAGCAGAGAGAGATTACACAATTAATCATCATCATCTGATATACTTGACATGAAGCTTGGAAGCCAGGCACACACCTCTTCTTTAATATTGATTGTCCTAATCATCTGATGCAGGAACTGCCTTGTTTCCAGGAGAAATTGTCGTACTTGAAGGTTGCTCTCCAGTTGATGAAATTCTTGAACCTAAAAGAATAATAAAGATTACTCACTTGCCTATTCCAGGCTGGCACTTATTTATCTACAGGGTGGGTATTTATTTGAGGTGGGTGCTAAACCAAATAAATAAGGTATGTCAGGAAAATAGTCTAAGTATTTCTTATACATTAATGACAGCAAACCTCTTCTAATGCTTGGATAAGCTGCACCATCTTACGTCCAGCTGAGGTGGAGTCTTCATAATTTAATGAAGAAATCTGATTGGACATCTCCTTGAACCAAGCTTGAAGGTTTTCTAATGGACAGAAATTAAGTTTGAATGGTAGTTACTTGAGAATTTTGGACTATTTCATACTACATGTTACACAACTGTGAAGTTTTAGTTTTTGGTAAAAAGACACAAGTCATAGTTTGTACCCTTTCAAACTCACAAAATTTTCTGACTTTTAATGACGTACTAATAATACAATACCTCAAAAAAAATGCAAAAAAGATTTGTAATAAAGACACTTTTCCTTTTCCTTTTCCTTTCTCAAACTTATCATTTTTGGTAATCTTCTATAACTTTGCACAACCCACACTCATTTTACAACACGTTTGAGCCTTGGACATGATAACGTATAATATCATGACTTTCCAAGTTTTTTTCAATTTAAGCTAAAAAAAAAAACCCTGTGGGTAGTATAAATTGCACAGGTGAATGTATTCCATTCACAGATCTTAACCCTTTCACACCTATGGGTGTCTAGTATCAACCTAAATTCTCCTTACAATATCACCCCTGAATCAAATACTATGTTTATGCAATAAAAGAAATGATCACCAACTAAAGAAGCTATTGATTGTTGATAAATTCTCCCTGTCAGCACCTTAAGGAAATGTGTAGAGAACAGTATGGAGAATATGCATACTGATGTTAGGGTGTAAAGGTTTGATAGTTCATGTCTACTGAGATAATGACTGTTTTATGTCAATCACAGTTGAAGTTCATGTTACTTTACCATTCTTTTGAATTCTTGTCAATGGTTTGGTCCCAGAAAATACTTCAGAGAGCTCATCCATCCTTTCAACTCCTTCTGTTTTGTGTTTTTCCCATTGAGACTGCTTCTGTGCCAACATCTGCTTGAACATCTGATGCAATGTTAAAAATAAATATAAATAATTAAAAGTATGTTTCACCATTCATATTTTTGAAAGTAGTTCAATTTCCATTCTTCTTTGTCTTCTAATCATTATTTAACCAAAAACAAAAATTAAGATGCTATAGAAAATTTTCATTAATGGAATAAATCTGTACCACAACATTATAAATGTAATAATGGTCAATAAATAAGATTTTTAATTAGAAATGTAATAATTTTTATGATAATTAATATAAACACACACTTGAAAATCAAGCATTTGAAAATGAAGGTTGTAAAATTAATGTCCTTATTAAAGGTTGCATTCTGTGTCTGTATTTAAAACTAAGAAAGTAAAGTTCTGACCATCTGAGATACAAAGGTAAAAAGGTAAACCATAAAAATATAAATCATGATGGTGATTACAAACCTCTTTCAGTTTTAGTTCAAACTGAGCAGTATTCAACAGCAGCTCAAAGACAGCTCTTGGGTCATACCCTGATGCAGTTACCATCTCTCTAAGAGCACGACATCTCTTGTACACATCAAATACTGTCAAATAATTTCAACTGGTTAATTTCAATTGATTCTTACTGCTTCATAGAAAAACTTGTACTCGCTCCCTTTTAAAGTTGTGTGGATACCTTTGAGTGCCATAAACCAAAAAAAAAAGCTTGTCAAGTCATCCATAGTGGTCAGGGTAGATGACTTGTTAAGTGACAAGTTTTAAGTCACTTTCAAGTCTCTTTCTTTAGAAACTAGCTTAAAAGTCAAGTTTAGGGGACTTGTTAACCCTGATTAACATGTAACTTCTCTCTATGGTATCCATACATACTCCATCAAACAGTTAATGAGAATGCTTAAACTTATCAGCTGGAAGTTGCCATCTCCATCGTACCAAAGCCTAGTAACATATTTATAAGGAGATGAGATGCAGCTAAAGGGGATCAGATCTTGGAAGTTTAAGGGTTAAGGAAACATGTGATATATTAATCAAAGGTATTCTTTTTCCCTGAGTGACTGACTGCCAGGGAAGATAACTTGACAAAACCTTGAGGAAAACTCCCAAAAGAAATGTAAGACTAGCTTTTGTTATGGCAGTTGGCCTTTGATTGGAGGGTATTACATAATCAAACACTGTGCCCTTGAATCATGTCCTGCACTCAGGTTTTATAAGAACATGGTAATCTGTAGTCATATCAAGTGAAGGGCAAACCATGGTTTTTAGCTAAACAAGTTCCAGCTTTCTTGCTTAGTTTTGATACAATGAGTGAGAGAGGACAAGGGGGTGGTAAGCACTCTTGTAACATGGAAAGTGCCATGTTCACAACTTGTTTCTTAGAAGTTTATCACAACACTCACCTTCACAGTTATGAAGCATGAGCCACCTCAGAGTCACATTACAGTCTCTGATGCAGTTCATGAGTTTTGGGATGTGATCCAATGCATATTCTTCAACAAGAAATCCTTCTTTCAGATAATTCAACACCTACCATTGAGGATAAAAAAAAACAAATTTAAATCAGCTTTGCAAGAAAAAATGGAGAAAATCACTTAAGCACGGACTGAGCATTTTTACTTGTACAAGTACTCATATATAAGTTATGGATGTACTCATTTTTATTAGAACTGATGCTGAAGAATTGTTGTCTAATTGAGTGTCAACTACTGGAAAGTTCAGTTATATCCTCCACACCAAATCATTTCAATCCCACGCATACCCTAAAAACAACCAGGTGAAAAAAACAATAATGATGACAGAAAACAAAAAAAAATGGCTCTCAATCCTGTTTACAGTCTCTTTGAGTAGATAATTTTGGCTATCAATAATAAAACTTGATATGAATATCCAGGTTGAGGTTCAGGCTGTGTTTAAATTTCTTCCATTTGTAGTGTAAACTAACAACAAGCCACTGAACAAATATTTACCTCCCCATTCAGGGTTCTAACTTTTGTATTGTATCTGGTTGCCTGTAAAGAAAGTTGACAGTAAACACACATGTACTTCACTTCAACATTATAAGCCCCTTAAGCCCCTAAGAGTGACTAGCACCTAATTTCTCCTTTCAATATCACCCATCAGGCTGAATCACAAACTAAGGTCAACAGAAAAATGATCAACAACTAAAGATCAACAACTACTGAAGCTCTGAATCGTTAAGCTCATTTTCCTTGCCAGCACCTTAGGAAACATATAAAGAACAGTATGGAGAATATGCGAACTGATGTTAGGGTGTAAATGGTTAAGAGAGTTAATTGGAAGGAAATCGGCACTTTTAACCTTGTCTCAAATGGAGGCTAAGTGCGCGAAGGGCCCAGGTACTCCAACCAAAGTCACACCCCAAGGCACTAGAACACCTGAGTGGCCTGCCCAAACTGCAATCCAGCCATGTGCTCCCCATCCCAAGCCCCCTATGTGCACCCATCACACTAGAGCCAGATAGTTCAGTGGAGGAAAACATACATAAATAAACGAATCAATAAATAAAACAAATAAATAGAAATAAACCTCACACAATAAAACCCTGCATTTAGGGTTGGGGAGGGGGGGAGGGGAGGGAAATGCCAAGAACCGCTATCTTCAAGGATGACAATGCCACACTATAGTGCAGTGAACACAATGTGAGCACATGGCAGAACAACACATGCACTAATAAGGTATACTGCTGAACAAGGATAGCCCCAGGGGCCCATTGACCACAGTACTGCAGCAAAATGCTACAGAATGCAACAAATGCTGCATGAATGCTAACAGCCAGGCAGGAAGTAAACCAAGTGCCTGAAAACCCTCCTGACTATATTTGCTCCTAATTTTTAACTATGTTGAATTCCATTTAACTATATACACATAGATAATGTAAATATTGCAAAAAAAAAAATTTCTTACCAATGGTTTGACATTATTGGGATCAAGAGTATTGTTGAGAGCTGTCTTGGCAGCTTTGTAAGGATCCCAAGCTTCTACTAAATTGACAACAATTCCCATGTATATACTGATCACCTATAATGTTAAAAAAAGGTAAACAAACAAACAAAACATACATGTTAAATAAATATTGACTTTTTTCAAAGAAATAAAACTCAATAGCAAAAGATCAGTGTGTGGGTGAATGGATAGATAAATGAATGGATGTAGGACTAATAATGGTGGTAGGACTGAGTGGACTCCACTTTAGTCTGTAATAATAATTATAAGTGATAAACAAAATCAGACAACCGCAAAGCGGGACTCCTGTTTGTCAATCACAAGTATGATTACAGACAGAACTGGACAATAAGAAGTCCTGTTACCATTTAATCATAGCTGTTAATAATTTTTCAAAAAAACAAATACATTTAGGATTAATATCTCTAGTAGAGAAAATTTCTTAGGTGTAAGAAGCTCCTCCATTTTGGAATTTTCCAAGTTTCAGGATAAGTGGTTGTGGCTGTGGTTATTGTGATCAATTCTGTGAGTAGCTGAGTCAACCAGGTATGATCGGTTGCTTTAACTCCAATTATGGGTGTTCAATTACAGCCAACTGTCTGATTACACTTTCTGATTACAACTGTACAGAATGGTAAGTGAAAAATGAAGCAGCTAATCATATTTGAGGAAATTGTAATGGTTATGATTAGGGAAGAAACCACACATGCATTGGAAGTTCTGTGCGAGAGAGCCAACATCAGTGTAATGGTTGATTCTAACTGCACAAGACTGTTTTACTACCATTTCACAAAAAATGGTTAAATGATTTACTGTTATTGCATTGCAAGCAACCATACAATTAATCTGCAATTATCTTACCCAATTATCAGGAAAGTGTTTGTCCACAATCTCTCTCATTTTAGCCTGCTGGTTCTGCAGAATATCTGGTGCAAAAAACAAGATGACATACAACATGGAAGCCTGGGTAGCAAGGGCTGTACTGCGATGTTCTGGCAGAGGGTAAGCTGAGATCTAAAAAACAAAGAAAAGTATAAATCAAGAGTAAATAAAGTCTTTATTAAAAAAAATTGATGATATGGCACCCTTAACCTTCAAACAAACCTGATTGTAGACATCGTCAGACCGCAAACGGCCAATGAGCATATCCACAAATGAATCAGGGAGGGAGATTCGCCTTAAAAGAAAGAATGTACAAAAGTTGAGAACTTTGAAAGAGACAACTAGACACTCATGAATATGTGCTCATTTCTTGCATTATGACTAAACATTGAAATCATGCACATAGGCCAATTCCTTAAACACTGTTTAACAAAGTTCAGCACCAGTAGTTCCATGGCCTGACAACTTGTGATTATCGATAGAAAAACAAAAGAATCATGTTTTCAATGGGTTTTTTATTGTTTAATTTGCTTTTACCCTTATTGTTTTGGTTTTACACATTTTTTTGGTATCTTTCAGAAGTTGTTTAATGAATGAACCTTGAGCACTGTTTTGAAGTTCCAAGACAATTTCCTCAAACTTTCAGGAGTTGCAAAAAAATTTTTGATCTTAATGTGTGTTATATGTCATTGGATCTTGTGAATTAACTTGCATTAGGTTTAGAAATGCAAACAGTCTTGAAACAGATTTAGGATGTGAAAGCTGAGAGGATACAATATTTACCTAAAATAATCCTCTGGATATTTTAAAGGTCTCTTTGCTCCTGGAACATTGGAATATCCAGTACTTCTAAGAAGTTTACACACATCATCAAGATTTGAGTCTACATCTGCTCTCGCCGCACTGAAATGATGAAATCAGTACAAGAGGCAACATGTTATTTCACATCATGCTGAACATTAAATCTCTCATGGAGCTACTTCATACAGGACTGGTACATATCCCTGGTGAAAAACCTCACAGGATCTTTGAGGATCTTCAAGGATTGACAAAGACCTGCCAAAGATCTTTAAGGACAAGGATCTTTAAAAGATCTTTAAAGGATCTGTAAAAGATCCTCAAAGATCTTTGTAAGCAAAAACGTTTGTTAAGATCCTCAAGGATTTGATAAAGATCCTCAAAGGATATTACAAAGATCCTCATAAGGATCCTCGCAAAGTTCTTTTCAAGGATCCTTCAAGATCCTCAAGGATTTAGCAAGGATCTTTCAAAGACCCTCAAAAGATCCTTTCAAGGATCCTTTCAAGATCTTTGTAAGGATCCTTAAGGATTTAATCAGGATCTTGCAAGGATCCTAGTCAAGATCTTTGCAGGATCTTTTTGAGGATCTTTCAAGATCCTCAACGATTTAATGAGGATCTTTTAAAGACCTTCCAAAGATCCTTTCAAGGATCCTATTAAGATCTTTGCAAGGATCCTTAAGGATTTGATCAGGATCTTACAAGGATCCTACTCAAGATCTTTGCAAGATCTTTTCAAGGATCCTTCAAGATCCTCAAGGATTTAATGAGGATCTTTTAAAGACCTACAAAAGATCCTTTCAAGGATCCTGTAAAGATCTTTGCCAGGATCCTTAGGAATTTGATCAGGATCTTACAAGGATCCTTAAGTCAAGATCTTTGCAGGATCTTTTCAAGGATCCTTCAGGATCCTCAAGGATTTAATGAGGATCTTTTAAAGACCTTCAAAAGAACCTTTTAGGGATCCTGCTAAGATCTTTGCTAAGATCCTTAAGAATTTGATTAGGAGTTACAAGGATCCTAGTCAAGATCTTTGCATGATCTGTTCTACAATCCTTCAAGATCCTCAAGGAATTGAAAAGGATCTTCCAAATATCTTTAAAAGATTCATTGCAGGATTTTGTACAGCTCTTTGTAAGGGTCCTTTTTGAATTTGATGTGGATCTCAAAGGCAACTTTGTCAAGATCTCTACCACATCTCTGCATTATGAATTAGGTTCCTTTGAAATCCTCAAGTAATTTCAAACATAGCAAAATTGTAAATTGAGGGCTCACTGTTTTATAATTTAAACACAACAAGGAATTTTCGCAGAAAATTATTGTGCAATGAGTGTAATGAAGGTTACCGCATAGCAACGCCATGCTCGAGGCTTTCGGGAAACTTTGTGACTACTTATATGACAACAAATAGGGTTTTGCATTATGGGATAGGAATTTATACGCGCCGAGATTTTAAACGGTCGCATAAAAACATAAGAAGCTCGTTGTTACGGTAAATATCATCGACAATGGTCGGAACTAAAGGGAAAATGTACACAGAAATAAAAGTAAAGGAAAGACGTTTTCTGGAGTTCAGAAACAAGCGAAAAGAGAGACAGAAACAACCGAAATCGTCAATCAAACTCCAAGCAGGTCTCGCGATTGCTCTGACTCTGGGGCTGAATGAAAAGAATTCATTGGTACTTCTGGATAGAAAATGAAGATGCCATCCTCGCCTAATGATTCTTACTCTGAGCTCTTGGAGAGTGAGGATGCAAATGATGTGTTACAGGGACAAGGATACAGGCTTATCGATCTAGAGAGATTCTCCTCGACGCTCACTGAAGGACATGTTTCTGAAGAAGGTGTGAATTTACTTGGTTCTGTGTAACCAACTTAAAAAGCTCTTTTAGAGGTTGTCATATGAATTCCCGAAAACACTTATTTTGTACCTCAGGATGTATTAGTTCAATTAATCTGAAGTTTTTAGGGCTGCATCCTCTTACTGAGTTGAGTTGGATAAGGTGACAGTTTCTCTATACGCTGAGTTTTAAGTGAGATATTGTGGAATAACTCACCTAATAATCTCGGTGAACTTTGAACGGGCACTGTGCCCATAATATAAACGACTCCAAAAGTTCCTCAGCTCATCCAAAAGAACGACCCTAGTACTTTGTTTTGACACTAAAAACACTTGATTTCATGCAATCTTTGTGCAGTTATCTTTTCTCAAGTATACCTAGGTTTTTCACACCATGTGGTGGACAAATTGATCTGATGTCAAATAACAAATTAGTTTAGGGCAACATATTAGTTATATTCAGTATGTGTGATTCCTAAGCTTTCCTTTGGTATATAGGTTAATATGGTTCAGAAATATAGTCATTGAAGTACTCTTGTTTGCCTTTATTTCATGTTTACCCCCTCTGTAAGAGTAGTCTGAGTCTGGTCATAGTCTAGTCCTAGACAAGTTTAACACATATATTTTGGTCTTCTTATCTTTGAGCTGGACTGTTGCGAGATTTTTTGGAAAATGAAAATCTTAGTACTAACCTAAAGTCTGAGCAGAAATAGTGTAGAAGTAGTCCTACTAGAAGAGAATGGGTTATTCTCATTTAGCAATAAAAAAAAGTTTTATCTTCATTTTTTTATGTTTGGTTCAATTTTTCTTTTTAACTTAGTATGAGGATTTAAGTATGCTTATTTTCTTGTCAAAATTTTGAAGGTTCTATAACATTCTTGCTAAGATCTTCAACGATCTTCCATTTCCTTGCCAGGATCTTCAAGGTTCACTGACATTCTTGTCAAGATCTTTAAGGATCTTCAAATCTCTAGCAAAGATCTTTAATTTGGCTGTCAAAATCTTCAAGGATCTTTCTTTTTTATGCCAAGATCTTCAAAGATCTTTCAATTTATTGCCAAGATCTTTAAGGGTCTTTTATTTTCTTTCCAAGATCTTTAAGGATCTTCAAAATTTTAAAAAAGATCCTTGAAGATCTTGGCAAGAAAATGAGAGATCCTCCAAGATCTTAACAAGAATTTGGAAGATCCTCAAAAAATTTTCAAAGATCTTTAAAGGATCTTCAAAGTTCATGTAAAGATCTTTGAAGATCCAGACAAGATCTTCAAGGATCTTGACAGGAAAATGAAAGATCCTTAAAGATCTTGTCAAGAAAGTCAAAGATCCTCAAAGATCTTGGCAAGAAAATCAAAGATCCTTGAAGATCTTGGCAAGAAAATCAAAGATCCTTGAAGATCTTGGCAAGAAAATCAAAGATCCTTGAAGATCTTGGCAAGAAAATGAAGGATCCTTGAAGATCTTAACAAGAATTTTGAAGATCCTCATGAAGATCCTCAAGAGGATCCTCAAAGGTCCTCATGAAGATCTTGTAAGATCCTTAAAGATCCTTGAAAGATTTTCACCAGGGATGTTCATGTAAGTTTAACTTAATTAATTGCAGGAAGTAAAGCCTGGAAAAATAATTTTGCTTGAACCTGTATCTTCTACATACCAGTTTAGTACTAGTACTTAAAGCATGGCCACAAAACTTCATCTTCGGAAAGAGGTCTGTTTTTGTGAGTTGCATTAAAATTTTTCCTGCTCCTGAAAATGTGGCTCATTATTGTATAAAAGAAGTTTAGTTGGTAGTTCTCGACCCGTACCTCTTGAACAGAACATAGTTGATAATGGTAGGGCTTAACATGACTACACCCATCTTACCAGTATCTGTGATAAGACACCAACATCCTCTCTCGCACATCTCCCTCAAACTTCATGTCAATTACTAACAGCATAATCCCATAGAGATACAGACTCTCACACTGTGCCACAAATAAAAAGTACATTAGTATCCTTAAATCATCTCCTACATAAAATTTTGCTAATGCTATCATAAAATATCATGAATAGTGAAGCACCACTTGACAAAACAGAACAGAAGGCTGTGTGAAAATTAGGCCCAGTCTCAAGGCATGGTGCTGCAGTACACCCATGGCCTCAAGATCAAAAGCACACCAATACACTTTCAGCTTAAGATTGAGCGACTGAACACTAGTCTTACAATACTTCCATGCATTGCTTCTAATTTGATATCTCTAGAAATTACTTTCTCTCAGTGGGGTGTTTATACAAATCATCCATCGTCATCAAATCATCTATCATCCTATTTAACTGCAACAGAAGAGGTTAACACCTAGGGTAATTTCATTATTAATCAATAAAGAAAGAAATGACAATGTATTTTAGAAATAAAATTCTCACCATGAGCTGTTTACCATCCTCAATAAGAAGTATACTCTCTAGTGTTTGTTGTATGAATATTCCTTCATCGAGATCTTCAAGATATCTGGAGATAAAAACAATCACAAATGATAGTACTGTGAGTATTGTAAGTAATATTAATACCATTCAATAAAAGAAAAAACAAAATGACAAAAAACAACAACAAAAAAGCATGCAATCACACTGATCAAAATAATTATTATATCCCTACTCATCCAAACTGTGTCATAACAGAAAATAATGTTGATACCCCTATCACAATAACATGTGATTTACTAATAAATTCTTTTATAAGCAATAATATTACTGTATGATTCTGTTTTAAAGTGAGTTTTAACTACAAGTTTCATTTCTATTTTTCTCTGTTTCAGATGTTTTATACATTTTTACATAGAGTTAAATGGTATCACACAGTATTACATAAAGAAGTTCTAAGATATAATTGTATTTACATGATAAGCTGAATCTTACACACAATTTGATTGTTTCTTACTTATGATCTATTGGAGGACAGATGCTTCGATAATATCACAGTTAACATAACCATGGAAAACAAAAAGATTCTATGATTCTGTGGGTCAGTAAAGTAATAGATTGCAAAAGACCTCAAAATGTGATAAGAACATCAGTGAGACACGCAGCTGTCTCTCGTGTGCCACCTTTTTCATTCTTAAAAAGTTTTGCTGTCATCTCTGATCTAAACAGATGCACAGAAACACAGAAACATAGAATCTTTTTGTATGTTATTATACCACGTACAAATATTAAAGCCAAAACAGTTTCAGAAATTTCAGATCATACATGTTCAGGGGGGAAAATAAACAAGTATTGTTTTCTCAGATTGGTTTTTATTTGTGTGATCTATAAGCAGCCTTACCTGTTGAGATCAGTGATATACTTGTGGACACTTTCAAAGGCTTTATAGAATCTGGTCAAGATTTCAATGTGATTTTCTCTGAATTCTTCATCAAGATCTTGAAGGTCCTACATATAAGAGAGACATGTGAGCTCTTACATCTAGAAATTACACATGATCTAGAGGGTAAATAGTTCCATATGTTGACATAAGTGCAACATATTTTTTTCAGCAGCAATCAGTTGAAAAAAAAGGGTCAATATTTCCAATCCTGTGACTACCAAATCTTGATTTTACAACAATCTTCATGCAAAAAAAAAAAAAAAAGAATCAATCAAAGTTAAGCAAACAATCTTTAGGCAAAATCTTTCTCGCCAAATTGCTTACTAGTGAAATTTAAAAACCAAACAAGCCATCAAACATGCTCATGACTATTAAACAGGCCTCAGCCCCTAGTTAATCTGTCTCACTTGAACTTTTGTTTGCATCCATACAGGATGGTGCTGTGATGGGACAGAAGGGAGGGGATGGAAGGGGGGGGAGGGGGGGGGGAAGGATGGAAGGGGGAGGGGAACAAGTGTTTGTACAGTTACAAGTGAAATCACAATTCATATCAATCTTTCACAAGAATTTTTTTGATGAACATGACCTTTGGATTAAAAAAACTACGCAATCATGTATCCTAGCTCTTATCTCCCATACACAAATATTTATATGTGTACTTTTCTTTCGTTTCGATATATTTCCGGTTTCGAAGTACTAACCTGTAGAGGGGGTGGGTAAGATCATGTAAAATATACAGAGTGCTCTCTTTCTATCTACAGAGCAAATAACTCAGAGAAGATAACATAATGTAAAGGACACACAAAAAAATCCCAACCAACAACTGCGGAAGCGAAAGTCAGCTGTTTTCTCAGCTTACCGGCTTGGAATCAATTCTATCCTCATAGTAATCAGGTCCCTTGAAATAGGAGAAGTCTGCTAAGATCTCGCCATATTTGTCGCGATCCTCTTTGGTTTCTTGTTTAAATACAGGAGGTATAAAGTCAGAGAGGCGCAAAAGCTCGGCAACGATGGCATTTCCACGGCTAACGAGCTTTAAAACAGTTTGCCCGCAAGCGTTGTTTTCTGCAAGGAAATCCACCATCTTGTGCTGTCATCATGTGACTAAAGCCTCAATTTATTCCCATAATGCCTTAGAAATTGAGAATTTCAAAAAATGGCGGCCACGGGAAAAGGCCGACTTTCCCACTTCAGATCGAAATTGGAGGTTTGTGGTCTTTGTTTACGTTTTCTTGATTCGAAAAACAACATTTAATAAAGAAGTCTTTGATTAACAGCTTTTTCCACCGATAGAAAGTTTTATTTCTTTTGCCTAAGAGGAACTTTCATCTTCCAAAAATGTGATCTTTGCTGTTTTGGTCTTGATTCTCAGGAACTTGACTGCCCATATCTAGGTGGTGTGGAAGATTCGTGGATAGAGGAACTGTTGTTTAAACCTGGAGAACCAAGGTTGAGACTTTTGCAGTGGGCAATAGGAAAGTATGACGACAATTTCTGAATTGTTTGACCATATTTATGTTGGTTAATTATAAAGTGATACGCAGTGTGCATGTACTGTAGGTTCGACAATTAATTATGACCACGGTAAGATTTCTGCACAGCCCATACTCCACTAGGCATGCTGTTCGTGGTTAAAAATTAATGAATAAGACAATAGAATGCGGAAATCTTACCATGACCACTAAAATGGAGACTACACTGTAGTAGTATTTACACAGTACAAGCAAACTAGTACATTTATAAGGGAGGAAGATCAAAGTGTGTCACTTCTTTCATCATGCACATACAACAACCGGTGTAAAACTCTAAACATTCCATGTCTTTATGCTACAAAATACTGAAACTCACACCTATTGTAAGGCCTTTGACATAATATTATGTACACTGAAGCAACCCTAAATTATGGAAAGGTTTACTTGATAAAGGAATGGTAGTTACAAATGGGAAAGATTTTCTAATTTGTGAGGAAGAGAAGTACGTGTTCATGTCATCTATTCATCCCTTTTTTTCTCTTGTCCTTTATATCTTGTCGAATATATAAAAAAAAGCTGTTACATACTACGCCACTTTGCAGCCTTGTAAAATATCCACCTTTATTTACTGCCACTTTGGCAAATAATTGTAGATCTTTTCATTGTAAGTTTAAATATTTACAGCTGTACATGTACATGTATGTTGTGGTCTTAAAATGATTTGTGTGAGAATGATTTTAAACAAGTTGGATGTGTAATTTCTAATTTTTATAAACTCCCTTTGACTCTTAAGTGTGACCAGCATCTAATTTCTCCATGCAAAATCACCCTTGATTCTCATAAATTAAGGTCATAAGAATAAAGGAAATGATCACCAAGCAAAGAAGCTCATGATTGTTACACAAATTCTCCTTGTTAGCACCTCAGGAAAGGTATAGAGAACAGTATGGAGAATATGCATGCTGATGTTAGGGTGTGCAGAATTAAAGGACTTTGGTAAAGTACTGTGTACTTAGTACAAAGAGGAAAACAATTAAAACCAGCTTGAAATATTTTTGATAAGGAATTTCTTTTAATCAAATATGCATTTATAATTTTCATCTGACTTTGTATTTTGGTTTTGTAATGTCTTATTGTATCGGTAGATTTGATCCAGTCATATACAATATGTTGGAGAACCAGCAAAGCAAGGCTATGGGCAGAAATGACTCCAGAATGCAAAGTAAGTAAAGCTCTACATTTAAATTAATTGTTGTCTTATCCATGTACAGTGACTGAGGTGTTTTTAACATAGACATGTATCTAGTTGATTGTGATAGTGCATGTGTGTTTCAGATAGAAAAAAAAACTGGTCATAGTGCCATCGCTACTCATGCTTTTTACTGGCAATAGATTAGCCTGCAATGCAGGTGTCTTAGTAGGAAAGGTTAGAGTTACCAGCTTGCAATCATTTGTGCAGTTGGCCATGTTTGATGTTGAGTTAGAATGGATAGTGAGAAAGGGGCAGGAAAAGATGCAAACAGAGTTTCCCAAAAGTACAATGATCAAGGGCAGGTGTGATTTCTATAACCCACCCCTCCCCTCTCCTTTCTTTTGACCATCACTCACCCTGTCGGTACAAATTTCTCTCTCTTCCCAGTCTTTTGCTGCTATGAAAATCAAAGATGGCAGCTTTAATTTTCAGCAAGAAAATACGAAGCATTGCTAACCAAAATTGTACCTGCTCTACAAACAAGAGTTAGATCTTATACATTTTACAGGTGGTAATAAGAGATAACTGAATTATTGTCATTATTGATCTAATAAAATTGATTAATTTGAAAAAGCAAACATGTGATTTGTTATTCCTTTGTAGAGCTGCTGTTTGCATGTCACCTTATAGGACTCTGTAAAAGTGATGATATTGACCTTGTACAGGTAATTAAAAAAAGTTCCTCATTTATTTTCACAAGTCATATAGCAGTGATACAAAACCATCAGTAACAAAGGGTTGCTTCAGTGTGAGAAGAGGTGAGGGCCTCAATTTCCTCAATTTTTTCCACTAACAAAGGTGTTATCCAAAACTTTAGGAAATATCTGACTGGGACTACATTATTTAAAAGTGTTGTGCATGGTTTTCGATCTGTAAGCAACAACAAAAAAGGAAATTTTATGTGTTCTGGAAAATTACTTGCAGATGGAAAAATGAGAAAGGTTGTAGTTGTTATGAGACTAAATAAATATTGTAGATGTTGTTTATTAGACCCCTGGAAATACTAGAATTTTGATCTTCTGTTACTTGCTGTTCAATACAGGGTAACAAATCTAAAAACAAACAAGCAGTGTTCTGGGAAAACCTGTTAGATCTTGTTAGTATTGTTGAGTCATCAGGGAGGATTAGTCATTTTACCACCCCAGTGAGAACAGCCAGGTATGAATTTTTTATACAGAATAATGAGTGTAAATTAACCCTGCACTTCCATGAGTGACCATGAGAGAATTTCACCTCACAATATCAATACCATATCAATCAGACAAGTGATGAGAATAAAGAAAAATATCAATAAGGGAATTTTAGGTTGATCCAATACCATATTATGTGAACTAAGATCAGAAGAATGGAATGGTATATGTAGATAGAAAGGAGAATTACTAGTGAGATCCTGGGGTGAAAGTACAACCCAATTAAGCCCATCTATACTACTGTCATATCTTTAAGCAAAGATGTCCTCTTAGCACAATTTTGGACTGCTAAAGGCTCATCTTCCAGAAATCTGTGGTGCCCAGCACCTGAAGAATTTTTCAGTCAACGAAAAAATTTAGTCACCCCTTGGCACCAGTCTCTGCCTGAGCACTATCCTATCAACAAATGATAAATAAGATTTTTCATCCATTTGAATACTGAATTCATTTTTTTAAAAAAAGAAATTCTGCCCAGAGATACATGCACTTAAAATTAAGTAAAAAAATTGTATATCACCACTTCTTTTCTTAGTTTACAGTCTGGAACTCACTTTTCTTTAGAAGAGCAATTTAGAAGTGACTGCTACTTTTTTGATGGTTTATGTCGTCAAGAAGACCTTCAGAATGTCTTTAGGTCAAAAGTTCAGCTTTATCCTCCTGATTTGATGAAAACAACATCTGGACTTGAGAACAAAAAGTAGGTAACATAAACATAGCATGTGTTACTTGAAATATCGGGGTCGTGTATTTGCAACAAAACTGTCTATGAAGAAATCTTTATCTCCAACGTAGCTTTCTGTTGAACTCTCTGAAGCTCTGACACTTGAAACATCAGCTTTAGACCATATTATTATCTTGTAATACCCACCTCTCCCACTGATGCAGCACCACAGTTTCTTTGGAAATGTACCCCACTTTGTTCATGTAGAAGGCTACATGGATTCTCCCATGAAAGTAAGCAAACTGATTGCTCCTTCACATGAAAATGAGAGTTCATTTCAGATGGAAACATGATGCACTTTTTTTTTTAATAATGGTGTTGCACCTAACCTCTCCTTGATAACAGGGCTTAGGGCAACCTAGAAATTGCATGCCATATTATTTGTTGCTCATCAGGGTGTGCTGTGAGTGATGTATACACCTGTTATTAACATTCAGATAATGAGGTCACAATTTCTATAGAGCGTTTTGTTAAGATGTCAAAGTTATCATTAACCATCATGAATATTCATTTTGTTCAAGACCATTTTAAGCAACCATTCCAAAAGGTTATTCAGTCTTTCTTTAATGCATATCACATTATGTATTTAAAGATAATTATTTGTTGTTGGTTCTTTTTTTTTTTGTAATGAATAATAGAATACCTGATGAGAAGCAGTTGATATCAGTTACTGAAAAACTGGCATGTGAATTGGAAGAACAGAGCAAACAGCTGGATGAGTTGAGAGAGAGTGTATGTCAAGTTTTATGTACTGTTTTCTTACCGGTAATGACTTTTAACACTGGCAATTTACTGTACATGTATGCATCTCAAACTTAGGAATAATTTATCTATAGTTCTTGCATAATGATCAACCTGCTGCAAATTAAATTTGATTCAGAGGAAATGCCAAATACTAAATTTTTAGAATCTAGTAAATTTTAAAATTTGCTAAAAAATTGATGAGTCAATTTGAGAGAGCTTGCATTTTTACTCATCAGGCTCCATTGTGTGATGCTGATACTGTTACAGTTGAGAAAGTGAGTAAGACATTATCACTGTCACTCACAACTATGGCTCAAGTTGTGTCTGGATTTCTTCATTGCTTTGAGACTGAGATGAAGCCATGGTGTAAACGCCCAGCACCTGTCTTGTCAGGTACACAAACTCTTCTTAGCAAGTGCAGTATTCATTGTGGTGGTTTCTTGTGATTATTAATTCAGAAGTGTTTGTTGAGGGTAGTGGTATCAGCTTTTATTGAATGAGTATTGCAGAACCAAAACTAAACTAAGCTCAACAGCCAGCAAAAAAAAATTTGGATCCAATATGATTTGAACCCTCAAACAAAACAAAACAAAACAAAAAAATTGTGATAGTATTCCTTTAAGACCCCTCTAACATTTGCCTCACTCCTAACATGCGGCTTTGTACATGTAGCTCAGTTGATAGTAACACCTCACTGCTGGGAAAGCACAGTTTCCCAGATCATTGTTGATAATAGTTTATCAAACCCCTTTTCAATGCAGATTTATAAGCTAGCCCTAAGCATCCAGGCTTCTATACTTTTCTTTTGTGTCTTTTGTGGTCTAACTGACTCATACAGTAATTTCTCCTAATCACAGAGGTTGGTCCAGCATTCAGCAGAGTTCATACTCTTTTATCAAGATACACAGAGGTGAGATTAACATAGGTAAACTTTTGATATACTTGCGTGGCTTATGGTAGAAGGTCAGAGCCTGAAAATAGATAGATTCCATCTTGCCGCGTGTCTGTTCAGTAATAGATCACAGACGGCGTCAAAATATGGCATGAAAAAAAGAGTGGCGCACGAAGAACAGCCGAGTGTGTCACTGAGGTTCTTACTACATTTTGACGTCTTCTTTGTTGTATTACTGTATAGAACTACGTCAAAGTGGAAACAAAAATGTCTATTTTATGAGAAAAAAAAGCAAAATGTTTTTAGTGGTGCAGGTGTCATCTATGGGTCTGACCACCAGTAGATCATAAGGAAGAACCAATCAAACTGCGAGTATGGTTCTGATAATCATAATTTCTTTTTTTTGGGTGATTTTTTTTAGCTCATTCAAAACTTAGGAACAATCAAGAGCTCATACGGTAAATTATGCCATGACAGTAAAGACAAAATATCTACAAGACAAAAAGACGATACAGGTAAGATGCTGTTGATGGAGGCAGGCCTTCTTAGATAAGTTGCCAGAACGACGAAAAGGTATCATAAGAGCTTATATTGACGCCTGAGGTATTCCTTCCCTCTTTGCTGCTCATTATTTTCCGCACAATAATGACATCCTAAATGTATAAATGTGCAAGTGTGCCGTCATTCAGGGCCTTAGCTTCACAATATCGGTTAACCAGCGTATGTTTTGTCTTTTTCTTGCGGAGGTTTTATCTAACGTTCCTTCCCACTTTGCTGTGTCAAACAATTATTTTCCGTGCTGATACACTAATGATGCATCCCAGTAAATTTATAAATGGTTTTTGATAGTTTTAGTTTAAGAAACTCTAGATGTCCCTGAAACTTAGCCTGATCCAGACGTTCATTCAGTAAAACGGGACGGAGTAGAAAATATGCAATAGTAGCGGCAGAACGAAAGCGATGGATCCAGTTAACCAGCGTATGTTTTTCCTAGTTTATTATCTTTTTTTGCTTACTTCCGGCTGGAACAGGGTACCAAAAATCTAGTTATTACAGAAAGAAAATGTTACCTTCCTCTAACTTGTTCTCTCGAACCCTTTAATACCAAGGCAAGACATTCACACCAGCTCCACCGTACGTGATTGGCCGGAGCAAACAGTGCGCTCCTTGTCGTTGATTTTATAGCACTTGATCCAATAGAAATACGACACGTAATCAGTTCGATAGCCAATCAAAAGATTAAATCCGAGTTTTGCTTTCTTGGAATTTTTCCGTCAGCTTTGGTTCCCTGCATGTAAATATCAGTGATTTCAACCATCACTGGGAACTGAGTTCAACCGAAATTAGGAAAAACCTCAGGTCAGTATAATGAATCTTCTTTTTTACGACTTTAGGGTTAAACCCTGCAGAATTGAAAACTCTCCAGGGTTGTTTGGGTGTATTGGAAGAATCATTACAGCGACTCGAAGAAGAAGGAAAGTGACTTGTGCTGGCCGTGTTTTAAAGAAGTAATAAGAAGAAAAGAAGGTTACTTAGATTCGGATGAAGTATCGAATAGTTTTCGGATTGTTATGATGCAAAGAGAAACAGACTTTTTCCTTCGCCTCGATAATCGCTCGGTGAAAACTGATGGGAATTGCTTGAAACAAATGCTCTAAGGAATTCTTGTTTACCAGGAAGAAAGTTCTTTGTCATTCTAAGGGTAAGATTTGTGGCGGATAGTGTATATACTACATGAAAAGGATATTTAGTGGTTTGTGGTGGATGAACATAAAATGCGCTTAAATTGAAAATTGACCAAGCTTTAAAACCTAAACCTTGAAGGCCTTTTCTTCAGGCATGGATAAAATTTCCCACCTCACGGGCACGGACAACGGTCAGATGCCCGTGTGTTGTCCTGGAGGGGGGGTGTTGAAGCTTGGAATTGATCTGTGCATTAATGCATGGATCCAGAATGCGTTTGAACTGCATAGTACGAAGGTGACATTTCCCACCGAATCGACTTGCTTATTCCCTTATCAATCGCCTTGTTTACTACCGAGCCTCTAAAACAGTTTTCAGGTTATTTTTGCATCCTTCGAACGCCTTTTAGATTCTTTTCTTTAAATTCCCATTTACAGGGAAGTAGTATTGAGGAGGGTTACTTGAGCTCTGATGGAAGAAAAACAACTCCGTGTTTGTTTTTCCTTTGACATTAAGTATCTGAATATGGTCCTTAAGTCTTAAGCACAAAACATTCTTTGAAAATCACTTATTAAGGATTATTCAGTCCTGATGTTGTACAGAATTAGCTCGTATTATAAAACCTATAACCTATAACAAAAAAACTATAACCGTTTATTCTGTTGGTCAGAAACTATCACACCAGTTTTGATAAACAAAGTAACACTTGACTTCTAGAGGTGATTTACTTACTACCCTTCTGTCCAATTTTAATGTTTTACCCTGCAAACTGCTCATGAGAATGGACAATTAAGGTTTTTATCACACTTCAGTATTTTGCACGAAAGTTAATTTCATGAAGAAGGGAGAACTATAAGTCAGGGTTCAAAAACACCCTTACACATGGTCACAAAAAGGTGCAACTGATATACTTTGTCTTCTCCGCTATCGGTCTTGGACCCTGGACGAAACGGTTCACAGCTAATAAATTTAAGCTGGAGAAACTCCAGCACTCCTTGTGGAGAAGACGTATTCATACAAGAATGCCGCTATAATTCCTCCTGGTACGGGACCGACCCAGTAAACCTTGAAAGAGGGGGAGAAAAAATAAAAAAGCAAGTTTGACAAAATTAGAAGCTGCATCTGTCTTCAACGTACTTACAGTGTATCTTTTATGTTGAGCGCACAAAATGGACCCTTAAAAATTGCGCCTTTTTTTTTGCTCGAAGTTTGGCCTGTCACTCTCCTTTTGGTGAATTGTGAAGCTCACCCCTCGCTCCTAACAAGTGGAGTTTCCTTAAGTCTTACCTTTTTTCACCCTAAACAATCATCTGTACCCAATTGTTGGAAACTCGATGAACCAGTTCTGGTTAGCATCACTTTTCATGACGGTTGAGTTTGGGTCAGTGCTTAACTTACTACGAATAGCTTAACCTATTTGTTTCAAAACTGAGGCCCAAAAGTCAGTAGGGCTAAATGAGGCCGAACGAATTTAGACAGGATTAGCATAGCTTCGTAGAAGGTAGTTTTGGAACACACGATATTCTCCCTCGTTTTATCGACTTGCCGTAAGGAAAATGAGCAACTAACTTGTGCTTATAAACCAGAAGTGATGGCAGATTGTCTACTGGGGGGAATCTTATTTTGATCTCACTGGTAATAGGAAGCAGGGGTTCATTGGCTTCTCAAGACCCCTCTCGGGAAGATTGTGGGTGAAACTCGCTGACCTCAGCTGTCCGGAATACTACTATTAAGGAGACTTCACATTTAATGTGATTAATGATGGTAGTAGGACCGAGTGGAGTCCAATTCGGTCTGTAATCATACGAGTGTTTATCAAAATCGGGCGATCGCGAAGCGGGAGTCCGATTTGTTAATCACGAGTATTGATTGATGGACGATACGAAGTCCTGTTAGCAATTAATCATAACTATGACAAAATATGAGAAAGAATGTAGACATTGGTGATACGTTTTCATTAAAAAAATACTACAACAACAATAAACTTGACGAAATGCGAGACAACAGCGCGCGCACATGACGCGTTCTGTCCACTTACACCGGCATGACGTGTTAACTGTCCCTCGAGCTGTTCTATTACACTGTCCAATTACAAGCATGACGCGTACACTGTCCTATTAGTGCGCAAATCGGGCTGGTGATAACCAATCACATTCGAGAATTTTGTTATAGTTTTGATTATAAGCTGATCAAACATCCTCTCTTACCCAGTGGTCTTTCCAGAAGTTTTTAATTAGGGCAGGACCGAGAGACCTGGCGGGGTTCATGCTGCAGCCAGTGAGAGGAATCTAAGAAAGAACACGAAGTAACCAAACGTTACTCATATTGCTTCGTTCTCGAAGTGAGGAGTGTTGAGTTAACCTTAACGGAAACCGGTCAGTGTTGACAGTTGTGGCGATGGTGATAGCTTCCATGATTTTAATAATATGCTAGCATGATTCTTTTTTTTTTAATGAACTTCCCCATAAACAAGATAATGGGTCTTTTGATTTCCCTGCGTGCAATTGCAACGGCTAAAAATAAAACCAAGGTTCGTTCTGAATACCCCAAGTAAGTACTAAAAGCATGAGTTGCCGCCCTAAACGAACGATGAGCGTTGCTTTCAAATAACAACGATTTTAAAGTCAAAGTTTTAAAGGACTTTAATTCATAAAGGAAAGAACACCGAATACAAATCTTTCGTCCTCAAATGACGATCTTCAACAACAACCTCCACGTTCAAGTATGTACGCTCGTGATTCTAAAGCTCAAACAAACGAACGTGACGTCACGCAATACTCGATAGCCCCTTCAACAAGAAGTATCTGAGTCACTTCCTCTCAAAAAGAGCTTTGTCAACTTCGTTTTTGGAGTCTATCTTCGTGCGAGCTATGCACAATCTCAGCTATGCAATGCTATGTCACATGGCGAACTCGTACCCATTGTAAAAATGGAAAGAAAAAAGTTTTATTTTAAATATTTCTACACCTACCCCGCACATGTGACAGATGAACACACACACTCCTATGGACAGCGGTATGTCGTATCCTCGAAGTTCCCTGCCCGGATCAGTAGCGGCAAATATGGTAAACACCAACACAAACGTGAGAAGGAGCTCCAGTCCAAAGGCTTGGCTAGCACTAAGGTCGCTACTGATTGTGGTCGCTCCCAGTGCCCCGCGCATTTTGCCAGGTGTCAGACCATATAGAAGTGCTGCTCCTAAAATCGCTGATAGAAAGAGACAGTTCAGTTATCTACGGTACTTCCAAAACCATCTGAGTGGAAAACAGACCACATGATTTGAAAAACACTGTAACAGACATGGCTGGATGTTTGGGTGTGTCGGCAATGTCAGTGCGTTTGCTCAGCCGTTGGCTGAATGACAATTTCTTTCAGTGAAACTAAGGTATTAGCAACTGAGTTGAGAACGTAAATTGGCCACCGTAAAGAGTTTAAAAGCTAACGTTTCGAGCGTTAGCGCGTCGTCACCACGTCAGAGTGATTAGAGGAGTTGCGGGTTGTGTTTGTGTTTATATGCAGAAAATGGTGCTATGCGTTGGTGGGAACATGGTGACAAGAAAAACAAGAATAAATAAGTTGAATGAAAAGCGCTAGTTGATACCATGGAGATCAAAAGTGCCGATTTGAAACATAAATTTTTGTTCTAAAGTTTTGCGGCTTTCCAAACTGCCTAGATGTAGGGGAAGGCTGCAAACTACCATATGTTGCTTAGAATGGTAAGGTAGATTAAATTGTCTAGCGACTGGTTTAAATGCAAGTTATGCAATAGATGACGTTGGCGGAGGTGCAAGTGAAGCGAACCGTGATCTTAATGGATTTCTTTGGTTCCGACATTTCCTATGCGTTGTGAATGAAAGGAAAAGTTTTGTATCGTATTTGAAAGCTTCAGGCAGGTTGGTCATTCGCGTTTGAATGAACTTAGTGGAGGTTGCGAAAAGATGGCACAAGGCTTTGAATCGCTTTGAAGTAATTTAAAGTTTTTAAGAATGATAGATTTAACTACGTGGTTGTGAGGGTAAAATGTGAGTGACTGGAATGCGATGAGCATTTTCCTTCTGCGCCGTTTGTGGTGCTGAATGTCGATAAATTTGTAAGGCGCAGTGGTGGCCCGCTTCTACGAAAGAAACAGGATAGCCACGTTTATCGAAAAAACTGGCACACTGTTAGCGGTTTTTAGTGCTGATTGTCGATCAATTTGTTGGGCGCGGTGGTTGCCCGCTTGAACGACAGAAACAGGATAGCCACGTTTATGGAAAACTGGCACATTGCCAGCCGTTCTTAGTGCTGACTGTCGATCAATTTTTTGGGCGCGGTGGTTTGCCCACTTGAACGACAAAAACAGGATAGCCTCTTTTATCGAAAAACTGGCACATTGTTAGCCTTTTTTAGTGCTGACTGTCGATCAATTTGTTGTGCGCGGTGTTGGGAGGATAACCACGTTTATTGAATAGTGGCACAATCTCTTTTTATTTCGTGCTGTTCGTGAGTTGGGTGCTCGTTCAGTTAGTGGATGGGTCTTGTTTTGTCAGTAAATGGCTTACACGTTGGTGAAAAGAAACGTTCATCGAGTTGGTTTGTTTTTCATCGGTGAGTCGGTTGTTCGTTCGTTTGATCGGTTACTGTTTTCATTGCTCGCTTACTCGTCCCTTTGTTCCGTCTTTCGCTTCTTCGTGGAGCAATCCTTTGTTTGTTCATTCATTCGTTTGTTCATGCTTTCGGTTCTTAAAAATTTTCGGTATCCGACCTTGCCTAGTCCTTAGAAACTTCAAACATCAAAACCATTATTTACGTCACAAGATACTGGCTCGAAATTTTGACAATTTTTTCTTCCATCTTTGATTGGAAATTATCGTCTTTCTTCTGTCCTCCGAGCAATTACTGAATGTTTATCAAATAATTTGCATGATAACTTTAAACATATGAACCTTTTCCTAAATTTTGTCTTTTGGTGGCTTTATTTATTTTTTCAAACACGATTCTATTTATTCAAGCTGTTTGCAAATGTACGGAAACGGAAATTTGCCCTTTTATCATAATTCACAACATGCGTTTGTATATGACGCTATTCTGCCATCGATGAAGAAATGGGACACGTTGTTGAGCAAGATAACGAACAGAAATTCAAAGATGCCGAAATTTTAACTAATCTCATGTCAAAGTGCAGTATTGTGCTTTTTGGCACGCTCTGAATGTAAATTGTAATCTGAGGAGTTTGGCAAATTGCATACGAACGCTTCTGATTGGTGCTTTAGCGGGAGATCCATTTATAGATTGGAAAGATACCTTTTCTGTGATTTGTGAGAGCTTATGTTTTTTAGTGAGATATGTATTGTCTTTGACATGGTCGTGAATTAATTTACATTCGGCGTGGAACAGACCTGAAGTCCAAGAAACAAAGTGGCATACTCTCTCAGTGAATTTACAAGAGAACTGTGTATCCCCAACTTTCCGTGATCAAATGGAAAACATTTGTAAAACGTATCTATCACTGACGTCAAAGCATTACCGTCGAAATTGACACTAAATCGTTTTCTATTTAAGGGGAGGATGAAGAATTTAAGATGAATGATAACTGTGTTCTTCCCATATTTTCCCTAGTGTTTTGAATTCACCGTCTCCGGCTCAACGAGGTAATTAAATTGGTTTTCGCCAAAACTCAGAATCCACTGTAAGCACAATGTAAACACACGACGGAAACAGCCTATCTGATATTGAAATGTCCTAAATTACCTTTTGTTTCACCCGTCTAGCTAAACTGGAGATGAAATATGAAGTATTTAGTTCGGCAAGTAATTTTGTGCTTTTCAATCTTTCATTACTTCTCTCATTCAATAAAACCACGAAATCAATGAATCACAAAGTATGGAATTTCTTCAATTTAGAATTTTTATCTCTCTGCTTTCTATCCTTTCAAAATTCAAGGAGCCAACTCGTGAGCGATGTTTAAATCATACAACTGAAGATAAACTGAACCATAACCTCAGTCTTCATTCCATTGATAAATCGATTTGTGTTAAGTTGAGGTACTTAGGATTTTTTCATTTCTTCGAAGGAAACGTTGCCGCCATGGCTTAACCTCTTGCATTCTTTAATCTGGTTAATGACTGGAGTCTTCTATTTTTTTAAAGATATGCTCTGAAGGCCCGGCAAAACGCACGCAATATTTTACAGCATTGTTGGATCGTGTTGTGAGATGTTGTTTACAGCCCGACAAAAAGATTTGCCGAGACCAAAAGCTTTTGTGAAGCCTTGCCATAAATCAACTCCGTATGCTCAGTGACAGATTTTTCTTTCTTTCTGAAGGTTACGTATTATAATTGTTGTCTAGAACCCAGATAATTGCACGAAATCCAAATCCATTCTTTACTTCGGAAAAAGGGAAAACATGTCTTTTTTACTATAAACATTTTTTTAAATCTAAAAGACGCAAAAGGACGTTCAACATTTTGCATCAAATTTAAAGAGGGCTTCTTTGTATTCTTTTCCAGTTGCTCGTTCGTGAATCTTTTCAAGTCAAAACACTCCGACGCGGAAGTTTCAAACGGAGGCTTATCTTTTATAATTTTATTAGACAGAGCATCGCTTAGTCTTAGAAGAAGCATAGAAACCTTTTTTTTTTTTTTGATATTACTACTATCAAAAAAAAAAAAAAAAAAGCTCGTGATTTTACACGATAACTTGAAACCAAATCCGATTTTTTGGCCGGTTCTCGGTCCGTTATTTCATCCTCGGTAACTTGATTCCGTCTATAAAAGTCAGGCATGTTCTATCTGATTTAATGATGCGACGATGTACTCGCATTGAATTTGTTTTCAATCAGTCAAGAAATCTTCCTGTTTTGTCTTTGCATCACGCACAAGGAATATCCACCCAGTGCAGGTTTTCTGGTTTAGGATGCATTTAAATTATGGTGCATTGTATTTCTTTACAATTTTGCTACTCAGCTCCTTCTTCAAAGCGTTCCGTTTCTGTTCTACTTTCCAATACTATAACACTGAACATTTTGATACAAACATATACTGTTTTAACAGAATTATGATAAACACCGATGTTTTTCTTATGTATGGTCCTCACTCATTAACTCCCCATAGCTCGAATCTTTTTCAATTTTCCTTGAAGGTTCGAATTACCGAGAGCCGACTGAATTTCTAATTATCGTCAATATACCTACCTCCAAGAAATTGCGCGACTATGTAAAACACTCCTTCTAACACCGAAATCTTTTTGGTAGCCATTAGCGCAGTTGTTAGCGCGGGATTTATAAGGCCTCCCGTTAGATGTCCTGTCGCCATCACTAATGTCGCCACAGTTAGACCTGCAGTAAGCGAGACATGCAACACAACGACCGTAGCGTCCCCTTGCACGGTTAGCGTCGAGCTACTAACCGCAAAAACGAAAATTGTTGTCGCTAAGAACTCTGCCCCAACGCATGTCCAAAATTTGCGCTTACGGAGCGCGAAGTCTGTCATGGCTAATCTACTAAACGCAGTTGGCTATACAGTTTGAGTTATGTCTCAGGTTTCCCTGCGGTTAATCATTAGATTCTTCATGGTCACGTTCGGATTGGGTGTTATTTTAGTTTTTACTTTGTTTTCTATATAAATTAAATCATTCTCTTGTTTTAAACATAAACGTTTTTCTCCTTTCAATAAATCTCCGTCAGTTAAGAGAACTCTCTTTGTCACCTTGATATTTTCGTTTCCGTAATTTCGAATCAATCAAACTAACCATCAATAATTACGAGTTGACATAGCATATATTTTCTTTTTATAGAAGTCAAGATAATTTTAAATTCTTAAACTGAAGTGTTTATGGTTTATTTGCGATCGCTCTAGAAACGTTTGTCAGTGTTGGTTTTTCAAAGCAATGAAATTATGAATGTTGATAATTTTGTGGAAGGAAATACGTTCTCCAACTTTCTCTGAGTACGGTTTGTTTACTAGTATGTTGCAGCCCTCGTACTGAGCATGGTATAAAGAAAGTGCAGGAAGTTAATGAAAATAACTAATGTTTCTGTATGAAACTGCACACAGATTCTCGATGGTTTAGCAAGGACATGCGTGATAAAAGTTATTGTGGCTGAGTTTTTTATAATTTCTTTTTTTTATAACAATGGTAGTTGCAGCGGCTGTATTGTGTTTATGAAGGCATGGTTTGAATTAATTACTTTCCAAGGGGCTTTTTCGACCAATAGTCAAATGAAATATGTATGAAAATTGTACGCTTTTTACAGGGTAAGTCCAAATACTCGTACAGATGCAAACGCAGAAAAAAGGAGAAGATTAGCTTTAGAGCCGTTTTTGAACCTTACCTGTTCCAGGCGTTCAGTTAGTGAAAGAAAATGGAGCGAAATAGTGACCAGCGCGATAATAGCGACAGCGCGAAAACAAAGGAGTCTTAGAGGCTTGGATCGGGTATCGTAGAGAACATTACGCAACCCGACCCAAGCCTCCCTCGTTTTTTCATTCCTCCGTTGCTATCGCGCCGTTTACTATCGTGCTTCGTTTTACCGACTCAACGCCTGGAATAGGCCAGTATAAACTTTGATTACAAAAGATTATCTTTTGACAGGATATGCCAACCCGTTGGCCTTTAAGGTATTTAAGCTAAGGAACTACAGAGAAATATATGGGGGGAAATTAAGTCTCTTGCCGACCCTAGCATCTGCGCAACTGCAGATGCCTCGCGTGGTCTCACAACGTACAAAAAAACGACTCATGATACACGTGTGCGTCTGGTCATTTCGTAACAGATGAGTTGCTTTGATGGGACAAGTCTTTCTCTCGGGATAACTTCTTCCTAACTGAAGACTGAGAACCAAAGATTGAAAGCTTCAATCTTTTTCTGAGCTTTTTCCTTCGTATACATTGGTACTACTCAAAATGTTTTCTCCTGCAAAAAAAACTTTGTTTCAGACAAACTCTTCATGAAGTTCCAAAAAAAAATCCTACAGAGTTAAAATAGCAACATCTAAAAACCTTTTACTTTTCTAATAGTGCAGGTAAAGCTTTTTTTTTTTTGACGCTTTGAACCATATCTCAATATTCAAGTTGTTTTTTTTTCAGATAAGTGTATGCCTAAAAGGGGTTATTGTTTTCAAAACTTTTCACTCTAAGGTGTGACCTAAACGTAATTTCTCCTTGCAGATGTTAATACATTATTTTGGAGGAAGGTGTGAGAAACAAATATCAACAAGTCAAAACAAGGGGTTCTTCTGATTTTATTCCAATCTCTCAGAGCTAAAGCTATGAGAAATAAAGTGGCAAACAGTGCAGAGAATTTATAAGAGGATCTTAGGAGTAAAAGGGCTCATCTAGATACATGTAAGCAGGCGAGTTCAGAGAGCACTTCACTCAGATTTCGTATCCACTTCCAACTAATTATTTTATCTACAACACTGAGAACGCTGATGAATTACAAAGGGGAAATCATAAACTTCGATGTATCGTTGTCGTTGAGTTCCACATTGTAATTATCATCTTCCAAAGTGTTTTGGTTGTTTCTCCTCTGGGCGAAAAACAGCTTGTAGGTGCACGTTGCCAGGAGACCGCCGAGAGTGGGTGCCACCCAGTAAATCTGTTAAAGCATAGGAAACTATGAGTTGGTTATTTTCAGTGCACATAGCCACCGAAGACTTGAATTTACAGAAATACTCGTTGAAGTTGATTGAAGATTTCTTTTTCGATTAAGTAGAAAAGCGCTGTTTTTCAGCTTCAAGCTTCTCTTCTTTCAAATACTAGCCGACTGCTAGCTACAAGTTGTGTGGAATCGTCGAGAATTTCAGAGAAAAGAGCTTCAAAAATATCAGACTACAATCACTACAGGATGTCAAAATTATATCCCGAGCGGGAAACATTTCAATATATAAAAGGTCACGCGATTACTTATCAGCTTATCACAATCGTCTGTCTGTAGAGCAATGGAAACCGCAGGTGTATAACAATATTGTCTCTCTTCCCTCACCCTCCCCACTTAGTGATTCGCGCGCTGCTCGTATGACTTAATTAAACTTCTCTTCCTTGCGTGTAATCGCAATCTTAAACTATTTACATCTTTTTACTATCTTGCGTGGCAAAGTTTCGAAGCTGATCCTAGCACTTCTTCGAGTTTTGCGGGAGGCAGATGACAGTTGATTTTCTGCTCTAATCTAACAATTGTATTTATTACGCAAAAGAGAAGTCGGTGATAAATCATTTGCCGCCCTTCTAGGATTGACAGCCGAGAAGATTACTTACCCAATGGTCTCTCCACAAATTCATAACAACGGCAGGACCAAGAGAACGAGCTGGATTCAAGCTGGCTCCAGATGAAGGAATCTGCAATATGAATCAGTGCAAGAGTTATGCGTGTATTTCCTTCAAAGTTTTCAAGATTTTGAAAGGCCTTTCTCTTCTTACATTCCTTACAGAAGCTAAAAAACAAGTCAAGCTCCGAGAAGTTATGGCGATTCTTGTTCTCTTAGTCGCTCAGGCTTTGATAAGACTTATCTTCCCTAGTCTTCTACTATGACATACGCATGTTGGAGCTGTTCCTCACCCCATGCATGAGACAAATGAACACACAAATCCCTATGGCCAGCGGTACCCCATATCCTGCCATGCCCCTGTTGGGGTCGGTCGCAGCGAATATCACAAAAACCAATATGAAAGTCAGCATGAGTTCCACTCCAAACGCCTGCGCAGTAGAGACACCATTTGAAGGAGCTGTGACACCCAGTGAGCCAATAGAATCAGTTGGGGTCATGTAGTAAACTATAGCTGCTCCACAAATAGCTACAAAATAACAGAACATCGAGAAATTAATCAGATGGACTATCATTTCGAGATATAAACTGTTATGAAGCTGTGTCAGTTTTCAGCCGTCTCTGTGTTATGACATTGTTTAGCCGATGTCTCTTCTTTGGCTATTGTTGTAGTTTTAAAGGGGGTAAATTTATCAAGAAACTGTGGTGCTGCGTCGGTGGGGGTGGGGATGGGAGATATTTGGTTTTTCAACTGAGTTGATAATATGAATTGGCCACCACAGAGTTTCTGAAGCTAACATTTTAAGCGTTAACCGTTCGTCAGAACGAAAGACAGAGGGCTAACGCTCGAAACGTCCCCTGTTAAAGTTAGTTCGTTTTAAAATTTGGGTGGAGGAGCCTTCTCGTTAGGTCTTTGGTAAAGGCCGCTTGTAACAGGTGACATTTAAGTGAACTTTTTCGGCCTCTTGAATTTATCATTTAGAGAGCGCTGGGTAAAAATTGAGTCAGCTCTCACTTAACTTCCTCTTTCTTGTATTTTTCCAAGCATAGAGACACCCGTTTAATGTCAAATGAGCTCCGCCTTCTCCATGTGCGTTGTTAGGTGGAATTTTGGAAAATTTGCATAACCTGTTGGCCGGCTGTGGTAGAGGGCCGCCGAAACCACAACATGTTTTTACATTTTCCTGCTCCTCTATCCTATACCCCATTCACACTAAAGCTTTAACAGGTTTTAAAGCTGTTTTCTTAAACATAATTGTTTTTCTTTTCTTCGTAAAGGCTGCTTGAACCGATGTTTGACGACTTCAAATGTAGTACATTGAACATACAAGTTAGTGACTACTTGAATCTTATGGAAAATTCGATCTTTCAGCTCTCTGTTTTTGAGTTTCATTCAGTTAAATCCCGTTTAACTAAACGTGTTTTGCCGGTGTAAATGGGGTACTCTTTTAGCTAGTCTGCATAAAAACATCATGGGACGGATGTTGGACATTTGCCCTGAGCCAAGATTAAAAAGTTGCCTATTGAACGTCAACGTGGCAGCGGCAAAGTGGGTTTCAAACAGAAAAATCATTTCTTGTGAAGAAAAAAAATAATTAAAAAATATAAAACTTATGTGCTTTGTTTTCCTGTAGGATTAATCTAAATTTGCAAAGCCATCATTTTATGAAAAGACGATCTCAGTGGCAATTTGTGCCATTTTTGATAACCGAAGTTGTTAAAATGGGTCTCTGAGCTCTTCTAAAATTTATTTTGCAATATATGAAAAAAGTTAGTCAGTGTAGGCTGTTATTCGAATAAGATTAATTTATGGGCAAAGTTTAAAACGTCGATGTTTTGATTCGAAAAGCAGCTTTTACAGAGACTTCTAAAACTTTAATGTCGTGTATGTTTCGACTTAATCATATTCCGGCTTGATTTTACCCTCTTGACGATTGTGTGCGAAAAGTCAAAGTTTTGTCACGCTATTCCTAAAATATCGACGTGTTTCTGTATGAAATAGATAAATCGCTCAGAGCATTGCGCCCTTTTCTTTCACTGACGTATCATTAGAGAAAACTTAACAGAAGTTCTTCCTTTCGTCAGCAAAAACTGATTGGGCTGTAAAATTGTGTATTAGATGTGAAGTTCTTAATTTTATCATATGTTCCGGTGCCTTAGCAGTGTTAATTAAGTTACCGCATGAGTGATTGTGGCATGTTATTGATTTGAATCAAGGCTGAGCAATTTTCCGTCATGATCTCAAGACTTTTGCATTTTTATTTGAAAGCACTACATTCGGTAAAACGACAGCCCAACTTTGCCTTATTGCCAGGAGGTTTATGGGGTTTTAAAACATTTTCTTCCCTTTAAAACTTGGTCGACACAGACCCATATTGTACTTCAGGGTTTAGCCTATTAGGAATCTCTTTTGAACCTTGTGATTTTATGCTCAAAGCTGATAGAGACGAGGCGGCCCGGCGGAGGTACTTATCTAGGCTTATCCGCCGTGAAACAAACGCACGAAGGCCAGCTCGCAGTATATTTGTGTCATATCAAAGCGATAATAGACACTCCTTGCATATTTAGCTGAAGAAAGTGATGCTTAAAGTCGGTAATAGCCGAAGATAAAAAAAAACTGAGCTTCAGGTTTCTCTGACCGTGCGCAATCTCTCAAAAACTCTCTAATGATCGGATACGAGTTAATCTTTTTCTACACTTTTCCTTCAAACGCTATTTGGTAAAAGATCTCGAAACAACTTTGGATATTACGATGTTTCCTTTCATAAGATCAGTCATTTCCTGACCTTCGCTTGAGTGATTGCATAGCGCAAATTATTCCCACAAGGGTTGTTTTCATTGTTTTAGCGCGTAAGTGATTATTTGTTATTTTTTCGTTCATTACATTCAGTATAGTAAAAAAAAGTGACTCGAAAGCGGCTTGGTCTGATCTCCTCGCAAAATGTAAGAGTATAGGAGCAAAATTTCTGTGGCAGTTCCACCATTTAGCAGAACCACTCATATAGTCTAATAGAACGACCGGATTAAAAATCCTTAAGGTAAACGTCATTAGCACTCTGCATTGTCACGATATGACTTTTGAAGTGTTACCGTTTCAACTTGGCTCACAAAAAATGGTTAATAACATAGATGATTGAAAGCTTTGACTAAATCCAGCTGTAAGTAGTTTAGCCGATTGATCAATAGGAGTAGATCTGTGGTTGGAGGGGGCGTGAAGACCTTGCGAAATCTGTGATCCCTTGGAGCTTGAAATGTTAAAAGCTGCTTTCAAATAATCTATTCAGTTCATTTCAAACGCTTTAAACCTTATATCGATCTTGCTCTAGAGAAGCGCTAGAACAAACATCCATATGCATACTTACCTAGTCTGCAAACAGTGTCAATTACGCCTTACCTCCGGCACACTGGGCAATAATGAAGAACACAGCTTTTAAGACTGAGACCCTTCCAACAGCCATCATGCTGATGGTCACGGCTGGGTTGAGCTGTCCGCCCGAAATGTGAAACACCGCCATCGCTAAGGTCGCTATACTTAGTCCATGACTGAAAGCAATGTGTATAACGGATGGTGGAGTGTTATTCCACGGTAACACTGTGCCACAGACCATGAACAGGAACAGAAGTGTGGCCAAAAATTCCGCGAAGACTTCGGTCCAAAATTTGCGAGATCTAAACTCCATTTTGCCTTCACTGAGATACATATTGGAGCTACTTGTTCTTTTCAAGAGTTAAAGAGAGACCGTCTCTTGCCTACTAAGTATGACGAGAATTACCGTTGATGTTTGATTGACTTACACTAAAAACCAAACATCACCTGATCACATAGATGAATAAGGCGGGATTCTCGGTAGAGCTTGTAAACAATGCTTTATTGTGTAACCAAGCCTGGTTATTTGAGGTCGGAGCGCTGAGCGGGGTTTGTTCCCTGCTACAGAAACGAAAATTGTAGAAGGTACTAATGAATCCATCAGACCATCAAATATGAAAGCCGGCAAGATCCATCAGTGGACGCTGACCGACCAAGCCCAATTCTATATGTATTGAGTGGAAAAAATTGCGCGAATGTTTCTGGCGGTCAGATATTTCAAGAGAGTTGGAATGCCTAGAAGATTCTGCGATCAAGTACAAAAAAACCACAAAAATCTAAAAAAAAAACTCTCCTCTCTTCTTGACTGCCGCATTTGTTTAAGACTCAAAAATAACTTGACAAACGGGTTTATGTCACTTCCTGGAGGTCGTTAAATCCTAAGTGGGCTTTCATCAGTGTGAGAAAAGAGAAGAAGAAAGAAACAACTGTTAGTGAAAATAAAATAACAAAAGACTCAAAAAGCAGGAACTAGACCGGCTGTATTGCGATGGGATTATCAGGAGTAGTGATATTGATAACATTGATAATTTTAATAATAGTGATAATGATCGATGATAATGATGATGATATGGGTAGAGATAATGGTGATAATGAGACCAAAAAACCGAGCAGAAACCAAAGCAAAAAAATAAAAGAAAAAACGCATAGCTGAAAAAAGTTATTTTACCACAATTGGCAGTAATGTCGTAATCTGATTGGCCACTTTGCCGTTGTCGATAAGAGTACAGACAACGCTGCTTGAGTCAACATGTCACGCAATGGTCACGCACTGAAAAAATCGTTTTAACTGACGTTGATATTGCGGCAAAAAACAAATCGACAGTGGTTTATTGTGGTGTGTACTCTATCGACAACGATATTCGTCATCACAGTAGTGAAAATGCTGTGGACTCACGAGGCGTAGCTACTTTCGATTCGTTAAGCAGAATGCAAGGTTCGACGAGAAGTTAGCGACTCAAGATTACAAAATTAGCGTCCGAACCTAAATGCTTATCATTCACCAAATACACATCCCGCAGAACTTTTGAAATTTTTATTTTCTTTTTCATGAATAAAGTATATGATAATGAAAGACGTGAAAAATGTCTCAAAATCATGATATTTAAACATCAGGCAAGGTCGTAAGAGGCTGGACATATATCAACTTCGAATCCTAATTAAGCTTATTACCCAATCAAATAACCTTATTCTTCTCGTGAAAAACGTAAATGCACAACCCTTGAAGCTCCAAAAAAAACATTAAAAACTTTCTACCACAACTGCTTGTCAGTAAGTTATGAAAGTATTATTAAAAAATTGGTAACTAAAGATAAAATTAGGCTTGCAATGGGAATATTGCCTTTCGTCATTCACAGGTCTGACTGGTAATTTTCCTTTCCTGTTAATTTCTTCGTAAGGTAGAAAAGAGAATTAGGTATTACAAACAAAAACTAACTCTTAAGTATTATATCTGTCTTTGATAGATGTATCGACGTTGCAAAGATGAGTTACTTGAAAATCACTTCTGGGAATTAAAGGTCCATCATCCTCTGGAACCTTTCCTCAAATGACACTTATGAATGTGCCTGTATATATTTTGAAAGTGTAACAAATCGCTAAAATCTAGCTACCAATGTTAATTCAGTTACTGACAGATTCTAATCAATCCCAAGGTACTTGTCCAAGGTTTACAAAATAACACGACAAGCGTGAAAACATTCTTGCTTTGTGCCGTACAAAGATAAACACTTCACAGGCCAAAACGCAAGCAAAAATGTACGTTAAGTCTTTGTGATAGAATTAAAAAATGGCTACCTAAACTTTTTATTCTAGTGCGCATTAAAAGAATCGTTTTTCGTTAAAAAGGCCCCTTCGATATTTATATTGCTAAATCGCTGCTGTTCTCCTCATAAAAAATTCTCATAAACATGACTACCTAAAGCTAAAGCCCTTTTGGTACTTTTGCGCGTAGAAATGAATCATTCTTCATAACAAAAAAGGACCATTTCATATTGATTACAAAATCACTTATGTTGATTTCTTTATTAAAACTCTAATAGCAATACCTGGTGAAGCTACTTTGATACAGGCCACAACCTTTTAAAAGCTGAATGAACATTGTAAATAAGCGTTCTACAGGAAAGTCGCGTTATAAGCGATGATAATACTCCTTCACAGTTTAGATCTTGGAATCTTGATAGTTGTCCAACTCATTCACAGAACCAGCCGTTGGGCCTTGTTCTTGCCTCGTTCGAAATATCACCTGATACAGAACTGCTGCAATTAAACCTCCCCCAATTGGACCAATCCAGTACACCTACCAAAAAAAAAAAAAAAAAAAAAACATGAACTGCAACCATGAAAATCTCCTACTCCGTTCGAAGGTGGCCTCGTACACCTTCTTATTAACTCCGCAACGAGCGGGTTGTCCTCTCTTGGTTCGCAATGCGTGCAAGATGATCCATCTCTTTTACTATTATAATTTACAATTTAATACTTTTCTCTCTTACAATTATTTCCTATTTCTAGTTGAGTGGCCACAAAGACTTTAGAGACTTTCCTGACTTCCATTTGCTCGCCATGCAGCAATAAAAACAGTGTTCAAAGGTTAGGCTTTGTTCATTTTATACATTATTTTGATAAAATGCCATGCTCCACCCTAGGCGTTCAATAAACACTCTTAGAAAGAAACAAGCGCGAATCACAGAGGACCGGTAAACAGCGCAGAGAAATCCCTCTCTCACGGGGCCCTTTTAACGGAGATACGTTTCGATATTGGACAGAATGATGGTTACAGGCACTGTTACCTACCCAATGGTTTTCCCAGATTTTGGAGGTATTCATGATGACAGCTGGACCAAACGAGCGCGCAGGATTAATGCCACACCCTGTAAAACCAATCTGAAAGAATAACATGGAGTGTCAGTAAAGTAAGCTAGACCAGACTAAACGCAAAAATAAATCTTTTGCAACGAACGTCCTAAATCAAGCGATACGAAGACACCATCCTTCCACTTACCCCAATGAAATGACACACGGCCACGCAAAGGCCAATTGACAGAGGGACTTCGTATCCATAATGATTCCTTTTCGGGTCAGTACTCGCGCACACAGTGAAAACCAGCAGGAATGTCAGCAAGATTTCAATACCAACTGCTTGACCTGCGGTCACTCCGGCAGCTGGGACAGTGGCGCCCAGTGTTCCGCGTTTTTCTTTTGGTGTGATGTATTTTAATACCGCTGAGCCTATGATACCTGTTATAGAGAAGAGAACAAAAATGCATTGTTCTCAAACTTCAGTGAACTCGATCTTTATCTTAATGCAGAGGAGAATTTTCAAAACAAAGGTATTGACTTCCATGCTGACACATCTTATCAAAAATACAAATGCAAATGATATGACGCAAAATGTTTTTAATGTACGCATATCAGTCCTGAACACAATCTTTACAACTAAGAGTGCACGAATTTTTATACTTTCCCAGTATTGGCACGTACGTCTTAGGAATAACTATGTAGGCAAACACGCAGTTAGGGCACATTTACATAATTGCGTCAGTGTAATGAAGTGTTGAGGGCTGTGAACCATTGCCCACCTCCGGCTATTTAGTTACTCCAGGGGGGAGTAATTTATCGGAAGTATTAAGAATGGATATACAGCTTCTACACAGCAAAAGGTTTAAGTTCAGATCGCAGTGCACTGATATTTTGCCTACGCATCGAAATTTCCTGGTTTTTAGACTGAACTGTTTGAGGGTCACAGCCTTGTTACCAAAACACACCTATGTGGCCTACCCACGATAGTAGCTCTCTCTTCGCCACTTCCCCCCCTCCTCAACTTCGCCATATTTAACACATAAACGACTTTTTAATCTTTAGCTGCCATGACTTGGAGGCCGAATTATTACTTCCTTTGCAGTTTTAAATTAAGCACTTGACTATATCTTAAGTACTTTTTCACACCTTATCAAAACTTACAAAACTTGTCCACTTGTAAAACTCATTACGAAAATGGAAAACATTCAACAATTGAAAAAAACCATCTTTGATAAAATTTGACCTTCAAAATGGCAATGTCTCCGTTAGGAAAATTAACTGCCAACCCTGCTTCTGCTGGGTTCAACTTGAATCATGTCAAATGATGGTTTAACAACAAAAGACCTCAGAGGATGACAAATTACTCTTTTATAAATGTTTACATTTATCTGAATATGCCTGGGAGGAGAATTATCCAAAGGTATATTTATATATATTTTTTCTATTGTTTCAACTTGATCGAACTTCCATCCAACAGGAAAATAGTAATCATTTGCATTGATGGTTTGCGCTGGTGTTCCCATTCGACACCTTTTTTCTGGCAACTCGAACTACTTAGAATTTTTTTAACCTGTAAACAATAATTAATAGTCAAATGGTAATGACGCAGCCCGGTTTTTCTTTTTATTTCACGGTGTGGAACAAATTGAGCTCCAGAAAGTACACGAACATTTCATACTCGACATGCATTGTATTTGACAGACCTGACTTTTTTAGCTGATTGTACCTCCCTCGTTACATCAGTGTTATTTACGAGCTACGAGCTTGCGGTTGAGTGCTAAAAGCACTTGAAATTTACTCACGTTCGTGCCTATCGAAGCATGTGAAGTCATGTGTGCAACAAAGAAAGCTTTCTCAGTAGAAAACATTCTAGACATTTTTCGAATTTATTGCCAACACGTTCTAGCCAAATACCTGAAATATTGTAAATATGCTTTACCTTTCGGAGATTTTCACAATCGATGTATTATTTATTACGTAATCTGTTGTGGCAGTGGCCAAAAATGCTCAAACCTCTGCCAAAGTGAAACGATTTTGCTGAATGAATTAAGTAGCACTCTAGTGGTTTTACAGGCAATTGATCCGCGTGCACGCAAGGTATCATATGACGTATTAGGAAGTCTTGGTACGTGTACTTGAGATAACATTGATCGAATGCCATTTGGCCAATTTCTTTGATCCAATGTAATATATTGGAAAGGCACCAGAAACGTGTCGGTTGTATTGTATCTTTGTCGCCGTTACCCCGATGTTAATTAAAAACTGCCACCGAACTGAAAAGACAGTTATCTTTCCTTGCAATTGGAAAATTAGCAATCGACAATTTCCTTAGCTCTAAGTTTTCGGGTGTAACAGTTTTGCGATGGAGCCATTTTCTCTACGGATAGTCATGGCAATACTTCTATTTCGGCTTAGGAATAGCGTTTGTCGTATTCCTTTCTGCCCCGAATGAGTTTTTAATCTTTCGATTCATTGAAGCGTGTGTAAGCAATAAAAACTAGTCTCGTAGCAAATATCTGCTTTGCTTACATCTCAGAAACCTGGCGAAATAACAAGTCATTTCCATAGTTATGGCCATTGCTTTTTCTGGCCTTTGATATCTAGTCGTTGAGGAAGGTATTCCCTTTCTGCATCTATCACTGAGAAATTTAGGTTAGAAAAAGTTGTTTACACTAAGGCTAAGAGTTGCTTTTAGTGTTCTCACCTCCGACAATTTGAAAAATTACGTAAGTTATCCCTCGAATGACTGACACTTTTCGAACGGCCATCATGGCGATGCTAACAGCGGGGTTGATATGCCCGCCACTGAGGTGTAAACTACACATCGCCAGGGTTGCAATGCTCAGTCCGAAACACAAAGAAATCAGCTCTGTCGACGGAGGTTGCATCGGATTCCATGTGATGGTTGTACCAGTTGTCAGGAAGATGAAAAAGAAAGTTGCGATCAGCTCTATCAGGGCGCTGGCCCAAAAGTGACGGCTCTTTAGCTCCGACGTTAGCATCATCGTGGCTGATCTTCTCTCTTGCTCTGCTTGAAATCGTGTCCAGCTCAAAATGCTCTGTGTGACTATCTGGCAACGCTTCAGAGGTCTTGGCCTATTATATGTTTGTTGATATGCTTGCGTTCTTTCAAATCTCTTGTTATGGAAATTAGGCACTAATTGCGGTATAGAAAGAACTAGAAAGTTTCAAACTACTTCTACGCGCAAATGTGGCATTTTAAACCTCTATGTAATCTCTGTTCCTAAAATTAAAAAAAAATTAAGCAAAACGCATTTAAAGGTAACCAAAAAATACTTTTGAAGGCCTTCATTAAGGAAGCGTAAAATCAACTTATAGCATCCAATTTCCCAACAGTGACCAATGATTCAATTCTCCTTTTTTTAATAATGGTAACAAAACGAACAGGTGGTGAGAATAAAGAAACTGATAGACAAACAAGGAGACATTGTCCACAAACGTCGTATGTGATTACCAAATACCAAAAGAAAAAAAAAATACTTGATACGTCGCGCCCGGAATTGGTTAATTGAGTTTCGAGCTATGCTCAATAACGCTGGACTGCAGCTGGATATTACTTGTAATACAAAATGTTGTTCTTCATGGTGGTTATATAGATACAAATAAACGTCTAATCGTTTTCTCGCAATGTATAGAGACAAGCTATCAATTGTATTAATCGTCGCCTGTCTAAGATAAACAGTATAGTAGTCGAAACCTAGCGATCAATACAATTGATAAATACTCTTTGTGGGTTGGCAACCTTAAACTCCAGCAGCTCAGCACATAATTTTCTTTACCTAATGCTAATTTTATCCATACTTAACAGTACTCGATGGCTTTATTCTCGAAGAGAATAGAAGAACAGAAGAAATTGAGTCAAACACTCTTCATGTCCATGACTAGTATATCTAAAGAGTCTTGGAGGACCAGAATCAGTGAAGAAGTAACGTTTTTGCTGTTTTTTTGTCTCACTTGAAAACACTGCCGGTTTTCCGGCTTTTTTGCTTGGCAAACTGAATGAGTCCAACTTAAACTTTGGGTGGGTCGTCAAGCTTGAGCACCCCCTTTTTTAGTCTACCCTACTACGTGATAAGATAAGATGAGAATCTTGATTCGGTATTCAGCGCGTGTGAACTTATTGAGGAAAATTAATACTGAAGGAGAGACAAATCTTCTTGGCTAAAAGGGTTTTAAGTTAACTCTCTTCTTTGTTTTTGATTTGATTCAGAAGTTTACAAAGTTTCAAATTGTATTAATAAAGTTGATGACATTTATTAGTAACTGTGACTGTTACAGAGGAGCTACATGTATCACAATATTTCGATTCCTTTCCAGGGTCATAGAAAATGGCCTTTAAATATAACAAACTCTCGAAATAATTGTTTGAAAGTTTGCACAAACACCAAAGAGAAAACGATGAACACGAATTGGGGTGGTTACGGATGGCCAGGATTAAGACATTTATAAATTAAAAAAAAAATTTAGGGTACAATCTCAAGGAAGACAAACCTTGACTTTGTTCCTTTAAGAAGCCTTTGTTTAAGACTGGCATCTAACATTGCTAGTTAATTAAAGATCACGTGCAATTTCTAATGATCCGTGAAAGATCCATGCTGCATCGTTTATACTTAGGGATGACCCTTATGCTCCCAATAAGACGATGGGTAGCTAGTGGTAACAGTCTCGCCGCTTCAACTTTTCAATAAAAAATGAAAAAGTTGTCGGTGGTGTTGCGCGATGAGCCTCTAGAGACCTTTTCCGTTCTTGGGACCAACCCAAATCTAGTGTCTGAAGTTTCACTGGCCGAAATCTCACTCCTTATGTTTATTACGTAATTGCCGGCTACTAGTATTTAGCCCCTGTGGCTATGTTTGATAATATCATACATATGAGAGTTGGAATTCTGCCCTAAAATGTTCTCAAACCTACCAGGGGGGCGCCGTTGGTCCGTAAAACCAGACAAGAATAGCTGAGTTGTTCCTATACAAAAATTGCTTTGCTGGCATCATTTACATATCTATTAATCAACCCTGACATTCCTTAAGTGTATCTTGCATGGCGAGACGTTTACTTTAAAATGATTGATTATGTGTCCCTAACAAAGCACTCCTTTATTCTCCAGCTTGTGGGTTTTTTAAAACTTTTTAAAACAAAAGTCTCGTCTAAATTCCGATTTGAGATAAATTTTGAATCTTATCCTTTGATGAGGAAGATTGTGATGTGTCTTATTGCAAAAATGGATGCGCATTTCAAGCTACTATCGTCGATTTTGGAATCCGCGACCACCGAGGCATCAGTGAAGAGAGGTAACAGCGAGATACCGTCCTCTTTGGAGTAATACACGAAGACAACAGTTGCGATGGTCATCTCCAGTAGAAGGAACAGTAACATCGATGGTGTCTGATGGGCATAATTCCCTCGCTGATTGATCAAAAGTTTAAACTTGAAATTAAAATGTATCCCTCTAAAGATAAATCCTTTGCAATTATTGGCATCGTGCTATATTTGGAGACAATAGAATATGCGTCAAGGATACTTAACCATGATTGATGCACTACACTGATCGCCTGCTGAGGTTTTATAGCCCTTTTATACAGGGAATAGTTCTGTTTCTGGGCCGGATGTAGTCCTTTCCTTCCTGTGCTCTCTCTCCCGACCTCTCGTTGTCAAGGCTGCTAAGTTGGTGTCTCCTGTCGTTAGGTTTCTCTCTAATAAATGTCATATTTGGAGAGAACTTAATATAGGCCTTTTTCCATGCCCGTGACACCTCTTGCAAGTTCATTATACAGCATGTTATTTTGGTTTGGCCCACTACATCGACTAATGCACGAAAAGCGACATTGCCATAATTATCCCTCCGTTATTGGATTCCGCTGCTTAGTCTGCAGAATTATAAGTAGCGATATTTGTAATCGGTGTTCTTCAGATTTCAGAATTCTTTGTGATGCCTTTTTCTATTTATTTATTTATCTAGCTTCGCCTAATTATCTCAGGCAGGGATACCACTACAGCTTTAGCCAATTACAGTGGATCCCGTGTTAACAATGACAAGGCCAGACCCCTCGGTTTCCTGTGCAGCTTTGATTGGGCGACTTAGATTGATGTCAGTGCCTGAATTGGATGACTTATGTAATTTTCCACGATTTTTACGGAAGTGGATGGTTTTACTTCCTACGAGTCGTATACCTCACAGCCTCTTGCAATTTTTTCCCCCTCAATATTCATCTTTAGTTCTTCACACTTCCAGTGGTGCAATGGGCACTGAAATAACTCTCTCACTCTTATCAGCTCTTTGAAATTCGAGAATCTTGCGCTCATTAAGATTTGGACTCTGCAATCTTCCATTGGATGGATTTGAGTCGCCGGTCGTATCGGTTTCCATCCACGCTCCAGTGCCCCTTGTTTGAGAGCAACATCAAACGATGAAGCACGCGATCAGTGTAATACCATTTCAAATCTCTTTGTTTCTCTTTTGATAGATGCATGAATACATGAACTGATGATGATTCGTCTCCTTTTGACATATGGTGTGCTCGTTATGTCATGGTAATAATGCAAACGAGAGAGCATCATCCGGTTCAACCTTATCCCTCCATCATCAATATTTAAATACATTTAAAGCTAAAAATAGGAATGCTGTATTAATTATAATCACTGCAACTTCTTTTAGGAAATAATTTTCAATACGCACCAGGGACTGCTTACGGCTAAGTTTGCAAATTTCAAATTACCCCCGTCCGAACTACGATCAAGAAACTAGTTGTGTTGAGTATAATTTGTCATATAGATTTCAAACAATTAATTCCAATTTAATCCGCGAATTATCATAACTATATTTTCAGTTGTTTTTATTTTGAATAAAACACATCTACCAAATGGTTGACATATTATAACGCTATGAAGGTTCAGTATTTGACGGAGGTGATTTCCCTAACGGTTTGAGGGACGGCTTGCGTGCATTTAAACAATGTACCAACGAGAGGTTTGTCGCGTAGGCAGTGACAATCTAAAATGAAAAAAACTTCTCTCTTAATTACTTGAAAACTCGTATATTTGCCAATGAATAATTAAGCGAATTCAAGTTGAATATGTGAAGACAAAGACAAAGACAAGACGTTTGCAGAAACTTTCGTCCACAAAATCCATTTACCAGTAATTAGCAGTGCGGTATTTTTGTTCGATGACGCCTAACGCGTATTGTTCAGCTTCTACTTATCGCCCAATAAAAACAACCAATGAGAAAAGCCTGTTGAATCAATTTACCGGAGCCCTGTTGTGATCACGTATAACAAGTTCTCCCTAGTCAAATGATCGCCAAGATTCTTGATCCTATCTGAGTTCATGAAAAACGGACCAGGGTCTCGTAAATGTCGTATTTCACGGACAGTAGAAAAATATGGCAGATTCTGACTCTGGTACCCATGTAACGGACATAAGTGAAAGTATCCAGGACGATTTTGAGTTCAGAAAAGAAGGTACTTTGCATAGCTTTCTATTTAGCAGATTATAAAACCACGGCTTCCTAATTTCGTCTATTAGCACTTGATGTTCTCTGCTCAATACTCCTTCGTCAAAACAAGTCTCAATTAGGGCCTCTTTGTTTCATTGAACTTTACGTCTACTTAGAGACTATTTTTTCTAACCACGCCACGTTCGATGGCAAGGTTCATTTTCCTCAGTAGCTCAAAACTGCTCTTAAAGGTTGAAATGCTGAGCCCTGGAAACACGAAGTTTAAGACGTCACTAAACTTGGCATCATTGCATATTACTTCAAAATGGTAATATCTACGTTTCAAGGGCACACGGGCAATGAACCTATCAAACTTTGAATGATTTATCTCGATTAAAGTACTCTGTAATTCTCTCTATGTGAGTCATACAGTGAGCTTAAGTTGTTCATTAGGTAAATTACATGATTCAAATTTATCCCGCGGAAAAGAAAACCTCGTTACTTTCAACATTCGCCTGATAGTACCAAAGAGTGAAAATACACTTTATCGCTTGTATCTCGATTTTGATCCAATTTCGACGGAGTTAAAACCGCTCTTTGAAATATTCTAAGAATTCACTGCAGTCTATAAAATTGAGTTTAACAGCACTGAAGAGATCTGTAGTGTAAAGAGAACTTGAAGTGTAAGCGAAAGATTGATCACTTAAATTAATGACTATACATTACAGCCGGTGAGACTTCACTTAAAGCATAGGAAAGTTTAATTTTTTCGTTTTCGTGGAAATGTCTTTCTTAAGGTTTAAAAGGCGAGTAAATTGTATATTCGATGAACTCGGCCAAAAATTATTTCTTTGTTTTTTCAAATATAATGCTTTCATCCGCTGCTTCGATGAGTCGTTTGTTCACCAGGGAAAGAAAAGGGAGCTTCGTTTAAAGTTTTATTTGGCTTTATTTTATTGCAAATCATAATCATAGTTACCAATAGAAATAATTAACTTTTGTAAAATATCAAAACACGAATCACTTATCAGGCAGAATGCTTTATGCATGCTGAAGTGGCATGCACTTTTCAGGGATAATTGAGTCATTTCAAAGCAACGGGCGATCTCATCAGGAGATGATCATACAACTGGCCTCATATATTTTTACCGCTGATGTTTCTCGAACTTCCGAGCGATGAAAAAAATTTGTTAATTATTTCATATAGATAGTCATGTGTATTTTTGAAGCTAGCTAGTATTCTGCATTTGGTATTGTGATACCCACAGAAATATTGAATGGAAACAAAAAATCGTTATGCTCAGCACCAGCATGTATATTATATTCGAGCCTTTCTTAACGTCACTCGGCGTTATAGCATGAGACTACGGTGGTTTTTGTACACAACAAATAAAACAGGATTTTACCTAGGTTGACATGTACTGCACAGTTCTGTTATTGATATTACCTTTTGATTAAGTCTATTGATTCCATCTTTAGAAAATTATCTTTGATGCCAAAAAGATGCTTCAATTTTTTTATTACTGGCGGCATATATTTTCCTCCAATTTAGCCTATTAAGTGACCCTTCCGTTCACAGATAAGGTAGATTGTCGAGAAAGTTAATTAAGTTTCGATTTTTAATCCCCGATGTTAAGCTAGGATGGTTCATCAAACTTTTTGCGTTAGCTTCAAGTCCTGCAAAATGAGCTAATGTAGTATCGAAATCTAACATATGTTTGCTAATAAAATTAGCTTCAAGAGGGGAATATTTGTTGTTTTTAAGACAGCTTGATTGAATTTTCTTTCCTCAGCTATGCTACAAACAGTGACGGAAATAGGACGCAATTTATCAAATGAAACCATCTCTCAGAGGAATTCAATTGAGATCAGTGGAGAAGATATCTCGTGGAATAGATCAAACCCGATTCCTTCTGGTCAACAGCGTCGAAACAGCACAGGCAGTACCCCTCGCTTAATTCGTCACGTGTCTAGCCGTGTCACTTCACCTGCTCCTATAGCGCAAAGTCGAGTGTCATCTCCATCTCGTTTTTCAGTAGCACTTGTATCGGGATCTGCTTTTCACGTACCCATTCAAGCTCCATCGCCGGGTCGTCACGTGCCACACCGTGTCGCATCTCCTCCCCGACTCGCACCTAGTCGTTCTGTATCACCCACCCGTAACCAAACAAGCCGATTATCGACTCCAGTTCGACACCCGGCAACTCGCGGTTTATCTTCTGCTCAACTGCCATCCAGTAGAGGAAATTCACCTGCTGGGCGAGTGCCGCGCCGTAGAGCCACAAATGCAGGACGGGCCATTGGTCGAGTGACAACACCAAGGGATAATTTGATAATCGCAAACGTTCATGCAACGCCTAGGAGATACAGAAAGGCTAATGGTGTTGTCAACTCAGCACAGCACTCTGTTCCTAGCAGAGCACAACAAATCGCTGCCCAAACGTCACCCAGTTATGGTGGTGCACTCAGCGAAGGGGATGGCGCAGGATTTCTGAGGACTTTAGATAGTATCCCAACACATTCGGGATCAAGGAGTGCGTACGATTTTGTCGACGCTAGTAAGCGGAAACCTTCGAAACGCAAGAGAAATGCCAGACAATTTGATATCAAGGATATAGACCTTTCTGCACTTGAAGAGCAAGAAGTATTAAACGATCAAGTTGACGACAAGCCCTGGCTCCCAACTGGAATCTATGCAGTGTTCTTAATTACACTGTGGACTGCTGTTCTGAAGCTTAGTGATGGTGTAGAAACAAACGGTCCTGTTACTTGCTCTGCTGGCGAAGAAACTCGTCTTTGGATATGCGCCGCCTCCTTCTCGCTTGCACAAGGTCTCGCTGAAGCTTTTTGGCAACGAAAAAACATGCTTAAAGTCCTTTTTAGTATGCTGTGCCTCTTTGCGTATTTCGTCATTTTGCATGTGCAACCGCTATCATGTCGGTTCGGAGAGGACAGAGTCACAGATATAAGCAAATGGCAGTCTGCTATAAATTTTTTTGTGAGTGCGTTGTTAGGATTGGGAATTTATAAGCACATTTTGGAAACGATACAAAACCAAAGAATAATCAAAGAAAAAAGAATTCAAAAGGGGCAATGGGAAGAGGCTGAGGACTCAGAGTTTGAGGGATTACCAGAAGGTATAATATAACTGAGTGAGCTCCCAGATACATCATGACAAGAAGCTGATGTTCAGTCAGTACGTTGCAGTCAACGCCCTCATACAACTTTTATCGTGGAATATTAAACTTGGCCGAGAAGAAACTCTGCGAAATGACAGACATAAAAGCGTTGGAGCAAAAGGTTTCCAACAATTTTTCCGTTTCAGCAGTTAGCAAAGCGCAGTTATTTTAAGAACACTATATCCAAACTGAAACTAATAATTGCCTATGAATAAAGCGGGTACGTTTCTTAAGAAAAAGTGGTGCTGCGTTGGTGGATGGTATTATAAGATGATTTGCTATTATCAACTGAGTTGATAATGTAAATTAGCTATTATAAAGAGTTTCTTAAGCTGACGTTTCGATCGTTAGCTCTCGATCAATGCCTTATAGTAGTTAAGGTAATCCTTGGACTTTGTTAAGAAAGCAGGAAGGTGCAAGCTGAAAAAAAATTTCAGGCAGAGGACGTTATATCTTCATGGATAACCAAATGAAATAATTTAATCCCTCCTAATTCTTTCTTTCAAAAATGGCCCCACTTACCTCGAGATTGAACCAATTTGATCTTTCGTCAAACCGAATCACCTGATATATATATGGAATAGATAAGGCTAAAATAGTGAATTTAGTCCCTGGAGGGCTTGACTGAGAGGTTACGGTACATAAATTGCTGTCGGAGTGGGACCTCGAATCGGCTCTGAGTAAGTGAAACCTGTAAAGATGCACAGAAATAAGAGCATGTGTATAGTGTGGAGCTTTGGTTTTACTTAAATTGCTATGTGATTTGTCCCGATAAGCAAAATCTATCGAGAGACTTGTAAAATGTCATTAAAACTTGTTGGTTAGAATTTCACGAGTTACTGGCGAATGTTAAGTGTTGTTGGTGATGGCTCTTGACTTGAAAGAGCGGTTCATGCTAAAATATTGTGTTTTTTAACGCCTAGCCTACAACTCTAGGTTCTCCTCTCAAATTTGTATCTTCAGTTTTCCCTCTATTGAATAACCAGAAATTTCTCAAATGTGTAAGTCACAGCGAGGTTTCTTATGAAAAGGTAGATAACGATGTTTCCTACGATCACTGAATAACCGTTTATATCTTAATGATCCAGCAATATATTGCACCTGATTTTTATTGTAAAATAGAAGGATGCCATTTCACGAAACCGTCATTGAGGCACTCACATACAGCCATAAATTATTCTCAATTGTTTATCATATCAACGTTGTTCTAAATCTGTCTTCTTTTGTTTATTGTTTTTTTGATACTGGTAAACATCTCTTTTCTTTACAATTTGTTTCTCAAGTCTATAATTAAACGTGCATCTCTAGGACTTTCGTAAAGAACATTTGGATCAACCCCTGTGAACGTAAGTACAGAATAATTGGCAATGAGAACCAACGCCTTACATATTAAATTACAGCACCTGTAAGGGCGGCTTTTTCTTTTGGCATTTTGTTAACACTCCGCTAAGAACAACAATCGCAAAGTACGGGAGACCTTAAAAAGACAAAAGAAATTTTAAATTTCCCTTGCGTGCCCAAAGTCTTTTTAAGAAAGAGGCGTGGAGGTTCGAGACTAAATAGAGAGCACTACACTTCCTGTTTCTCAAGCCTTCTCGTACATATCTGGTGAGGTCTTTGTCAACGAAACAACGGTTCGGTTTTTTTTCCTTTTCGGTTATAAAATTAAAGCGAGTTAAACCTGGTAAGTCGGCATTGTTTCGTGTTATTAGGTGGAGAGACCGACTGCTGTGACACCCTTATCAATAATCGCTCGCCAAGGACGTGGCGGCTTCAGTGATCTCTTCACCAGTAATATCAAAGCTTTGTCCCGTTCTCTATATAACTGTGTCCTTTGACCAAGTGCAATACTTTAGCCAAGCAGTTCACGGCCCCTTAGGTGTGGAGACTTTGAAAAGGCACTCACCCTCTGAACAAAAAGTCTTATTTCTTTCCAAAGCATCTTAAAATGGATTTTGTTAAATGTAAGAGTGAATAGGAAACCATATTGTTAAATATATATACCTATCATTCTTTAAGGGTAGTACCTATATGTGTATATTGTGGCTGAGTGTTTGTCCTTTCTTCACTGATACTTCTCGTCTAGTGCCGGATGTCACACAAGTGCATGTAGAAGCATGGCTATTTGATGACGCAAATACAACGTCACTGTTCAAGAGCCCACAAATAAAAAAAGGTGTATATTCTTTCGCTGATCAGCGAAAGAATTCAACATCACTTGCAACTTGCGCATTCATCAAGTGCAAAATTAAATTGCTGTCTGTGAAAGCTTAATTTTATGTTGTGACCACTCAAGCGCTGGTTTTCATCATGGTGCGGATGTTTCGGCCATTCTTCTGGCAAGGCTTTTATACGGATTAAGTGCTGTCTTTGTGATTTGTATTGACCTGCTATTATTCAAAGAACAATATAGCGGAAAACAAAACATATCTGCATCACTAAGCACGAAGTAAACATGTAAAGTGTTTTCATCATTTTGCATAAGTATGTTTTGGGATGAAGTAATAAGCTAAGGAGTTTGACGTTAATTCTGTTGGTGTGAGGAGCACTTACTCTTCAAGGAAACATGGCGAAAGGATTGTTTGCGCTTGTTCGCAGAGGTTCCAAGTTGAATTACTTAGACGACGCTGGAAGGGATTTGTCCCAAAGGAAGCAAACTGAAGTCCATCCACAAAATGAAGCTCATAGAGTGAAAAGTATACCGAGATCAAGAGATCATTCAAGTAAAGAAAATGATACTCTGGAAAGCACCATTTCGAAGGAAAGAACATCTACCGAAAAAATACTTTTGAATTTGAATTTCCAAAAGTTATCTATAGGACGCAAGATTGCACGGAATTCGCTCGCTAACTCAAAGAGCACCTCATTAGCGGAAACTACTCTGACAACGAAGGAAGTGAATCAGGATCTTTCTGGCAAACCCAAGTTGGTTTTAAGCGTAGCAAGCGGTTATTTTGTCGGCGAATGTAACAGTTCAAGCATAGAGACCACTTCAAAGAAAGAAGAGAGTGCCGGAAAAATAGTGCCTTGTATTATTTTACCCGATCATGACACGGTTAATATTCGTTCAACGGCTTGTAACAACTTTGAAAATCATACTTGCTTACAATACTCTAGGAACTTTGGTTCGCAACCGCATTTACGTGGTAGTGCCGAGAAGAAAAAGCGTCCATCTAGTTGGACTGAGTCTAGTCCAGGACGGAATGACCTTACCGACAAAATATCGAAAACTACGAGCGTTTTCGTATCAAATAAAAACCTGGGACTCCTGGGAGAAGCAGTGCCTATTTCAGCGTCGCCTTCGCAGCGGAGAAATAAAAAAGAGAGTTCGTTAAGTCCAGAAAGCCGGCATCTGAGTAGACTAGTACCTAGTTTAGATCGGAGCGGTAGAGTTGTGGATCGTTCTGTGAGGAGGGCTAAATCATGGGGCAGAGGAGATGAAGTTACAGACTCTGGTATTCAACACAGAAGAAAAGTTGACATTTTTCTTCCAACAGTGTAAGAAATATTCGGTACTTAAGCTTGATAACTATACCGTTTATAGTATTTTATCGATGTTATTGTAGATGTAAATGTTTGTAAAAACTTTTTATCCAGTTGTGACCATCAATTAGTCAGCAATATTATTTGTTAAAACTTTTATCTCTTTGCGCAAAAAGCATTGACAATAAAGAGCAACAATATCGACAAAAGGTAGAAATTTTTTAACCTTTTTTTTAACAAAACGATCGCATTTTTATTTAAAGAGAAGAGGGACTGTCAAATAAAAAACCAATTACCGGTAGTCAGCACTACTATTCTCCCTAACACCCTAAATACATATTCCCATGTATGCATCTGTGAGCATTTGTGGAAGATCTTAGTCTCGGGCTGATCAGTCGCCTTTTGGTGACTTTCAATTGTAAAACGGTCGCCATTAAAAGTTGTTGGTCGCTTTTTTTTTTTCTTTTTTTATCTGTTGGTTGCTTTTTTCCCCTCTGTTATCTGTTACTCGCCATGGCGACCAAGATGACTTAGCTTATATAAACTCATATTTAAGCACTAGAGAACTTTTTCCGTGTTTACATAGTAACTCTCATCTAAACACAAGGGGGGATTTGGAAGTAACCGAGAAAGTTATGCAAACCCGTGACGCAGTCGAGGATTTTCATAATTTCTGAGGATTCTTCCAACCTCCCGGGTGAGCATTTAAAAGTGACTAAAACTTGCCCGCTTTGGCAGCCCAAGAATATGGTTGAGAAGTTGAATCGCTTATGGTGCTTTGTGGTATTTTGCATTCCCGATGCGAAGAAAAAAAAGTTAACGGATATCATCGCCAATGTGAAAGTAGTTTTATACGCCGAGAACTTCTCAGAGAAAATAAAATCATATGAAAAAATTTCTACGCCAAAAGGCGGCAACCGATCTGCTGTGCGATAGGGTGGGGGTTCAGGGAAGAAGAGATTGCTAGATTTAGGAATTTTTTCCTCCATGTCTTATATTTGTCATTTGTTTTTGAAATTACTCTGCTAGTATTGCAAAGGCTTGGAGTTTGAAACGTTTTTCAAATTGTACCGCCAAACACAAAAAGCGTGACGTCACAACTGCGCCTACATACTGACCGGTTGACTAATGAGAACGCGCTTAATACCTCTGTTGTTTTAATGATAAATGTCATGAATTTGTACACGCTACATTCGCGCGCTGCACTCTGGTGAAGGCCGGTGAGATGAGAACTAGATAGTTGGGAATGCTAGAAGACAAAACTTCGTTTATCTTTAGTGATATTGGGATTAACTACAGTTGTATGAAGTCGTTGCATGACGTACCAACTGATCTGGATCGGCGCTGTGGGCCTTATTCTCAGAGGTTCACATGCGACAAGTGTCATAATTTAGGATCACCCCTTGGCCACTTACTCAAATTAAGGGACAAGTGTAACATGTGTTCTGATCTAGGATGGCAAGCTCCTAAGAGTAGTTGTTACGTGTTCCTCGTCTCTAAGTTCATGCTACTGAAACTGTGGTAAGCTGTAGCATCGATACGATTTATTCTCGTATGCAGACATTTTCAGTATAGGGTTGACTTTTCATTTCTTTAGGGCCCATAACACCCAATTTTTTTTTCACGATTTCCTCGTCAAGGATGACGGCGTGTAGAGTTTGGGAATGCCGTCTTCCAGTACCAAGTCTAAAATCTTAATTATTTTTCTCTTTCCTGCCCTCAAGGTTTATGCATGGTGTCTGCATCCTTCGTAACCTCAGAGAATAGTCACTTCGCATGTCTACCGGCTGACTGATTGAACACAACTGTACACAATAGTTGCGTGTAGACCTCTAGCTTCGGTGTCAAATGGGAGGATATTGTCCCAACCAGTCATTCAAAGATAATCCTCGTGAACAATTTTCTGGAGAATTTCCTGAAGAAATTCCTTGACATGTTATCATGACGTTTTAAAATTGGCTCGAAGAATGTTTAGTGGAGTAACAGGCTGACCTTCACAATGGAACGAACAAAAGTGCAAGCTGACATACGCTGGCAGCGTACCGAGTTGATAATTTTTGTAATTTGTTTAAAAAAAGATCAGAAATGACCTACTTCTTGCTGTATATGTGTTCATCGGCTCAGTGCTCAAGTGCTTTGGTTGCATGAATGAAAACTGGTCCTAAACGGAAAAAAACCCATATTGACCGTTCTGTGAATCAGCTGTTGTTATTGAAAATAGTTTAACAACACAGTCATTTGCTCATTAATAAACTGCTGTGTAATGTTCGCAAAATTTATGAGGGTGTATTCTGTGGCTTTTACGTTCCTCCCGATTAGTCCCCAGTTATTTCCATATAATGAGCAGCTACAACCCGGGTAGTTTGGAAACGCGCGATGTGATTCCATTTTCCATCATCCAATTCCCTCCTACATGATATGGTTTATGGAGACGACTTAGGAGGGTGTATCCTCCTTTCATTTTTCTTTGTTTTCTTCCCTTTTATTCCAAAAATAAGCTCATCAACACCTCAGATGCCATTTGGCATTATGTGTCAGCACAGGAAAAAGCTACACACCTGCTATAACATGCTAATTTGAAGTTTTCCACAGCGGTCAACACTGAATAGATTCTCATTGCTCTTATTTCCATCGTTCTCTTTTTTTTTCTCACGGGGCATTTGACTGGCAAACGTTATCTCATTTGTGTAGTTGACAAAAGCAGCTGATGGTCGATGAACCTCCCTTCTCTTTAGTAAAAGATGGCTGCAGCCATCTCCTTAACAAAACAAAACCCCTCTAGTCTAAAACATACTAGTTATGCTTGCAACTGAACGACGTTAAAAAAAAAAATTTTCATGAAATAAAATTTTGTTATCCAGTGAGCTGAACAGCGTGTCTCGACCCACGTGGGAAGCCAACTATAGTATACATTGAACAGTTTGGATATTTCGCCATCTGCAGACCATTTCGATAATTATGTTTATTCTTGTTAGCTGTTGCTTTTTTTTTCTCTGGTGATACTTTTATTTCTTCTTCCTTCTGGTTGACCGGGCTTGAGAAGGTGTTATACACTTACTTAAAGTTTGAAGTTGAACTAAGGAAAGATTTGTCGCTTAATTGGATGAAGTTAGCGGCATTTCGTTTCTCTTAGAACCGCCGACAATTGCAAATTGAAATTTAATTTTGAAGGACAAATACTGACAGCTGATCTAAAGGGAGGTCGTACTTGCTGAAATGAAAAACATTACCAATAGAATGAAGAATTTGATATTAATTAAATTTTTGATGTTAATAAGCAAGGAAATTATCGCTTTTAATGCGGTTTGAAAACGGACAACCTATATCATGCCTTTTATCTTTCAATATAAACTTCAATCCGTTTTATTTCTCTATAAACCTCCTTGTTTGATCGTTTCAACTCCATATAAAAGGCGTAGGTGATCCCTAATGTACTTTCCTTTTCAACTGAAAAGCGACATAGTAATGTATACAACAGCAAATGTTGAAAAGGTGCCAGGTGCTTTGACAGAAATTGCATAATTTGCAACCAATTTTCTGCGAAAATTGATCGGGTTTTCCACAAGACCACCCTGACGCTGACTCAAAAACCAAACCTCTTAAAAAAAAAAAAAAAAACAACGTTGAACCAAGATTATCTCTTGTTACCCAAATTTTCAAAACATTCAGTTTTCCTTGTTTTTTCATCTCTGAAGTTTTCGACTGAGAAGAAAGCGGTGTTCTTCTTATCTCAACTTGAGAATTAAATTTGTCTTCATTAAATATTCTTAGTTGTCTTCAATTTCCCTTCTTGTCTCACAACCTGGTCGTAAAAAAAAATATGAGAATGTCGAAAATCCTCGCGAGAATATAAAATAATTTGTGCGGGAAAAACATAAAAACGAGTTTTTGTTATCTTATTTTACTTTAAATATTTTTTTCCCGTAATTAACATAGACGACACTTAGTACAGCTGGTAAATTTCGCAAGACAAAACAGTTTTCCTCGAAGTTGTCTTTCTTAATGTGTGATTGTTGTAGCGATATCTGTGAAGTGAGATCCAAATCTTTCCTGATAGCAGTCTCTCCGGCGCTGGTTTGCACCTAAAATGTCATTGTCTGACCGATGGAAAGTTTGAAAAGAAATATGCTTTTTTCCATTTTCGATAAAAGTTGGTTACTCCCTGCAAGACTCTTTCGTGTCTTGTGAATCGTTATTGAAAGCCGTCCTCTGTAAAATATTCAAAGCGTTGACAGTGATATTTTCAGTTGATGACAGTTAATGTTTTATTCAATACCAACAGGAGTTCCCTGAAACCTTGCTGTATTAGCATAATGCTTGAAATAGGCGGACTTGTTTTGTTTGCGATATATTTCTCGTATCATTTAAAAAAATACCCCCTTGACATTCACTCGAAGACGACAATGTCGAAAGAAAAAGATCGCTAGGGTTATGTGAAATCGGATACGACGGTTTCATAACCCGAAAAGTTGGCCGGAAAGTCTTTTTTTTGTTTTTAAGCAGCCAGGGAAAAGATGCGATGAATGAATTGAACTTCGGGTCTTACTTAGCGATGGTGACGTCACCTTTGTCAAAAATTAAAATGCGAGAGGAACAATAAAAGCCACCAAATAAGAGTGACAGCTGGTTAAACTCAAACCGCATAAAGACTTTCCTTCTGAAAATCTCCTTGAAGACGGGGATTTTCTTATAGTTAATTTAATAGAAGTTTCCATATAAAAATTCTCACCGGATAACACCAGAGTCAAATTCAAGCAAAGGACTATCCATTATTGGTGGAACGGACTTTCGCTTCAGTGTCCGTCCATCCGACGCGCTAGTGTTGGGGCACCGTTGCCTAGAAGCCAGGACAAAACTAGAGATGTGTAAATTTGAAGACAACGTTTTGAAGGCGATCAGGAAAGCGAAACCGGAGAATGGAAACTACCGCTCAGTTTTCTATTCCCCCAGGGCTAACTGATCTACTCGAGGAATTTGTCGTCAAGTGCATTCAGGAGAATCCAAGCGATTTAGTCGAGTTCGCCGCTGATTACTTCGACATGCTGCGCCTTGGAAGAAAGAAGAAAGAAAGCAAAGCCGGAAAAGAATCGGCCGCATCAAAACCCGAAAAAAAAGAAACTGTAGAGGATAAGGAAGAAGTGCAAGAGCCGCCGAAGATCCCTGCTCGTGGAAGACGCAGAGCCGTCGCAGCTGAAGCGTACAACCCTAATGAAAACGACACGGAGGTGAAATGTGTAGTTCACCCAAAAACAGATGAACAATTACAGCGCTTGAAAAAATCGGTCGAGAACATTTTGCTTTTCAAGTCGTGCGACCGAGACCAGCTTAAAGAAATTCTAAACGCTATGTTCGAGCGAAAGGTGAGCCCCGAAGACGAAATTATTCGGCAAGGAGCCGATGGAGACAATTTCTATGTAATTGATAATGGCGTCTTTGATGTTTTTATAGAGAAGGACGGCAAAGAACTGAAGGTTCATACTTTTAAAGATGAGGGCAGCTTTGGCGAGCTTGCGCTCATGTACAACTGCCCCAGAAATGCTACCATTATAGCTAAATCTGAAGGAAGCATTTGGGCTCTCGATCAATCCACCTTTCGGCGAATAGTCGTTGGAGCTGCAGCTAGAAGGCGACAAATGTACGAGGCCCTTCTCGAGAACGTCCCCATGTTAAAGGAATTACAGGCTTACGAGAGAATGAATTTGGCCGACGCTTTGGAAACAAAAATCTTTGACGATGGCCAGTGTATCATTCGACAGAATGACGAGGCAGATTGTATGTATTTTATCGAGGCCGGCACGGTTCGCGTCACGGTATCAGATAAAGAAATCTCTCGCCTGACAAAAGGAGCTTACTTCGGAGAGGTCGCGCTGGTGACGAAGAATCCGCGATCCGCCTCGGTTTTCGCAGAGGGAGAAGCAAAGTGCGCGGTTTTGAATGTAGATGCGTTTGAGAGGCTTCTAGGACCGTGTATGGACATCATGAAACGAAACATTACACACTACGAGGAACAACGCAAAGCTTTAGGCTTAGAATAATGGCTTGATGAACCGTAACACCTGCTCCAGTGACTAGTAGTTTAAAAGCGAAAATTTTAGTTTACAAGCACACAAAACCGAACTTGGATTAGCGTTTGGCGCAGTATTTAGCTCGCTGTTTATAAATGAAATTATCCTGAACCATTTCTTTAGTTTCGAAACTGAAATTTTGGGAAACATGAAATTGCCAAATGTGATGAGTTTTTTGAGGATAAACCGCTCACCAGGGTGTTGTAATTATGCATGCAAGTTGCGGTAATTTTGCAGTTTTAGTGCCAGAACTGGTTGTTTTTATCTTGCGTGTTGTGTTATTATTGCTGTGTTCGGTTGTTCTGATTGTTCGTGTTTTGAACAGATCAGGTTTCCTGTTTCCAGTGAACTTGGCGTTTCGCTTCCTCAGTAAAATATATTATTCGGAACTCGGCGATGAAGTCGCGCTGACTTCTCCATGCGAAAATTAGATGCATATACAAAATTAAGATGGAGACGTGCTCATCGAATTAACGAGCAAATCCTGTCGATTCAATATGGCAAAGGTGGTTTCGCTTTCGTCTGAAAATCTGTTAAATCTATCTGGCTCGCAACGGATGACCTTTTGGGCAGCACTGCCTGTTTTTTAAAATAACCGCAGATTAAAAGAACACTTCACCATGACAAAATAGATAGCTTAAAACGTGTATTTAGTGTGTTTAAAATGCAAGATGGCCACCATATACTGAACCAAATTGCAATTTATCTACGTTCTTTGTACACAACTTGAAACGATCCATCCTTTGACTGAATGAGTTCCACGCTGCCAAATCATGGAACAGTTGTTGATTGAAATTGTATATCAATCCTTTTAAACCGCGTAATTAGAATATTCATGTCTGGCTTTTATTCAAATTACTCGGACCGAACCTTCTATTTCTAAGTAAAAGGAATTAGGGGCTAGTTTTAATAGAATAGTTGTTTTGATTGATTGAGTGACTTAACCAAAATTATAAGAAGAAGTTATTTGCTTTTCTCTTACGAGAAATGTGTATGTCGTTCAAAGTTTTATTAAACCACTGTTTTATCCATCGGCGATCGTACCTGTTGTTTTTCTTGTTTATCTTTTTATCATAATGCTTCATAATGCTCTTTCCTGTCGCCTTGTCTCATCTTAAACTCTAAATGGATTATTCCTTTTCAAAAATTTGTAACCAGAGAAACGGAATCGTTGACGACGGTTATTTCCTTTTAAGTAATTTCTGTTTTCTTTCTACTGAGTAATAAAAAAATTTTCCCTTTAGTTGGAATTGAGTAACAATAGAAATACATGTAACGGTGAACATTTTTGTATTGTTTTACTTCAGCCATCTTCCCCTTTTTCAATGTCTTTAATTCTGTTGTATTCTAATTTGGTTATTCACTTATTTATTCAGTTTTTCATTTTCCCCTAAGACTGTAAATAAAGGTCTTATATAATTAAATGAAAGGCATTTTCTTTTGACAAATAATTAGTTTTTATAAAAAAAAAATTCTCACTGTTACAGTGAGTATTAATATTTCAACAAGTAAACGTTTCACGTTGGAAAAAAGAGAGAACAAAATTCGTGGGTAACAAATTAATCTAGGTTATGCTCTAACTCACCAACGAGTTCTCGATTGACAGAACTCCTCACAAGACTCTGATGATGATTTCCGCCTAGACTGTCGATACGTCAGACACCACTAACGTCAGTAGTCTTTCTCAGGACTAACCTCACTCGAACGATCACATTTCACGGTCAAATGTTTACTTTAAGTTCAAACCATTTACTGTACAGCAAGTTCTCTGTGGCTCAGTTGTAGAGCTCGGCACCGTGGTCCAACGTTTGCAAGAAACGAAAAACATCCTTATTTATTTTATGACCCTCATAAAAATTTTATATACGTAGTTACCGTTTGTTGGAACGTCTGAGACCAGGGCATTCAAATTTTTGACGACCTGACTCGAGATATTGGCAGATGAAGTGGGGGTTTTCAAAAAACACTAACGTATTTGAGACATGACGTGTGACCTATCCATCTTTTGCAAGCCCAGCCCATTAAGTCACTTGATGTTCGATTTCTAGAGGTGATTAAGTTTAGTGAGATTTGTTATCAGGGAGCTTATTATCTGAAGCGAAAATCAAGAATAGGCGGGTAAACTGAAAGGGCGCTCAAATGGCAATAAAGATACAAGTATAGGGCAGGTGGCTTGTATTTTGACCAGCGCGAAGCAAAGTTCAATTTACTTTGCGGGAATATTGTCCCCGTTGTTGCTGTTGCTCTAATCACTTTTTTGGGGCAGGGAGTGGGCAAACGTATCAGTATAACACACCTGAAATGATTGAAAGATTAGCGGCGACTCATATTAAGGAACCTAAAGTGTCTTGGCGGTTTGTAACAACTCTTGAAATGAGTTTTCCTCATGCCTCTCGCGCATCTCCTTAAAAATTTACGATTGCACCAATTTTCCTTCAAACAAGATAAAGTGGCAAGGAAGGTGTCGGACTAAGAAGTTAAGATTCAAAGAAGGTCGCAAATATTTCTTCGTCCCATTGTGACCCAAGTCATATTTTCCTTTCTTGTTGGTTGGTTTTTACCGTCATTCAAAGGAATAGAATGCGTCATTATTATTGCCGAGTATTTATTCCTTAGAATATCCTTGACTGCTATTATAGATAACGTATATTCAAGCCAAGAAAAATTGGATTGCTATGTATTGGCTTTTTTTGGCCTTTCTCACAAAGCCTTCTTTACTTTCTTTCTTTCTTTCTTTTCCTTTTTCTTTTTTAAATTCAAATGGCGTAATCTTCTTCTTTCGGCCATTCAAGACGTCTGAAAAATGTCCTGTCTATGAATAGCAATTAGCGTCTGTCATTATCTGTGTTGACGTGTCTCCTGTTTCTGTTGTATCTGATAACGCTTGTATGGCAGGATATATGACAAGTTCTTTGACAACAGCAGATAAGATATCTGTAATTCACTATTAGACAAATTATTGGTACAAACTAAGAACTGCGTCTCGAAAGTAATTCAGGATTGCAACAATTACATTTGCTTTCATCACTTTGTCTGATCCATCGTCAGGAAAATACACTACCCTTAAACTGAACGAATCGCGACTTGACACTCAAGTATTCCTGTGCTTCAGTTCAGGTGGTTTGGGTCTTTACTCATCCCTGGCTCTTTGTAATACTTGGCTTTATTACCGTCATCCATTTTGAAATCACTGGCTCTCATTGGTGCGATTTATTCACGAATGGCACCATTTTCTCCACTAAATTGCATCTTTTTCCAAACTATTGATGATAATTTACTTAAATACAAGAACAAACACTTATTTAAAGAAACCTATCAAATTGCAAATAAAGCTAAAAACAACTTTTGCAACTTTCTTCTAATCAACTCACTGCTGGTTCAACAAAACATTTGCACAGACTATGAACATCGTGTATATGAGCGACTGAATTTTGCGATTTCATTATGAAAGTAATTATAAGTGTGATTTTGGTCTGAAATCACGCATATGATTTCAGATCAAATTGCACTCCTCTCAGTTTCAGTTACCATTTTTAATTTTCATTGGCTGTTGTCACCTGACCCGGGCCACAGTGGGAAGTGGGGGAGTGGGAGAGAGTGTTATCATCAATGTGCTTGTCTTTTCTCTCCTTCCCGCCTTAACCCTCCTTATCTAATTTTTTTCTTTATTTGACGACCAAGCTAAAGATTACCATTCCTTTCACTCCGTTTTTGCACATGGTACTGCTGACATTACTGATCTTAGCAATGTGCTACTCTCTTGTTATGTGTGAACCCAGTCGAGAGAACATGATCTTATGTTCTCTCGACTCAGTGTATGATGGCCCGAGTCTTCAATGAGTTCTTCGTCGTTTGTAGAGCTTTTATACGGAAAATCTGAACTGGTTAGGACTCAATTCCTGAAGGAGGGTACTCAAATATTTTCTTTGCTCATTGCAGATCCTTTGCACTGTGCGACGCGCTTCTCATCCACAGATTCTTTGTGGATCAGTTGACAGAACATCCGAGTATAAAATCGGAACTGGCTGGAGTTTGATTCCAAGTGGGAGATGCATAATTTTGTTTGCCATGCCAGCGACTAGTCTTGAACTTTTTTTTCTAAGGAAGAACTTTGTTGACTTGTGAAGCAGTGGTAGTTTGTTGATGGGGTTGGTGATACAAAGATAACAATTCTCTTAACTGGACAGCCTTGTTTACAAAAATGAGTACACTGTATCATTGGGTGGTGTTTGCATAAACCACTCATGGTTAGCAAGAGAGGATGTTTACCATGGCGTTGTGGTGTGGCCATTTTTTATCGTCGTTCGGATCTTCTGCACTGCGTCATTTGGTGTTCTGGCATCATCCACAAGAGTAACAACGTTCCATCGGGACATTTTCGTTCAATTTTTCCTAATCATTTGCCGGTTAACTCTGCAACTAATGTTTAAATCTCGAGGCATTTGAAAAATTGTTCTGCAGTTGTGAGTTAATCACTGAGAGAGATGAGCGTAGATAGTGTGAGTGTCTGTCAACTTCAACTTGCAAAATTCTTGTGATAGTGAAATAATCTTTGGTGTGATTGTTTTGAGGATAACGAATTTCCTCTTTGTCCCACGCTCGTAAAAAATGTTAAAACCTTTTGTTAAAGTTCCTTTATGGTTTTGTATTTATCTGTTAGCGTCAATCGGTCCTTTCTTTGCGTTTTTTGCTACATTTTTAACGAAATCCACGCTCCATATTTGCGTCAATAATTGATTTTTCTTTGCGAGCAGAACCATAGGGAGGTCAATTATTGATGTATTGTGAAATGATGAAAATTTTAACATGCGCAAACTCACATACCATGCATTTTTAGGTTCAAATTATGAGGCTGGAAATTACTTTGCTTGAGCTTTACTGCCGCTGAATCAATCCCTAATTTTTTTTTACGTTCCTCGTCATTTTGACCTTGGTTTTTTTAGAATGGGTAAACTTATGGTAATGTTTTTCTTCGTGGCATGTTGGACTTTTTCCTCCGGGAGGACGATTCGCGACGTCAAAATAGGTTTGTGACTTTTGTTTTTTTTGTTTAGTAATCAAATCTGTTTCGTAAAGGGAATGTGACAAAAAACAGAACTTTTGTAAGTAAGTGAAAGTGGGTAAGGGTTGTTTAAAAAACGAAAGGAAGCAAGTGACATGGAAACAATTATAGGAAATACGAAATATGAACCAAAACCAAGGGGAAAGTAAAAAGGAAAGACGTTATTTTTGGCTTCATTTTCATATTCTGTGAGTGCATGCGCGATTCATTTACTGTTTTGTCTCTCGGATGAACCACTGATGTTGAAAATTTAGAAGGGTACTTTTGAAATAGTTACATCTGCTCATGTCGCAAACACAAGTTGCTGAACAATAGGTTTTGAGCCGTTTCTTCCCTTCCTTAGTTGGACTAAGTCTTTATTAGTGAGCTTTGCATCCCATTTAATGCTTAGTAACTATATAGAGTCAAATGAGGTGCTTTTTGTCATATGTTACAGACTTCAAACACCATTTCAAAGAGACATATTTAGCATCAGTTTCGTTCCTCGAGTATATATGTATCTCTGATAATCGTGTACATTGAATGGGAGACTTTAAACTTAGGATGTATATAAGTATCTTTCTCTACGAGTGAAACATTGCAGGGATGAATTAATCAAATAAAATAAAAAAGTTACATTGGTAGTGATAATTATATTTAACAGTCGGTGCTTTGCTAAGAAGATTGCAATTTGGGAGGTGGCTGGATCAATTGATAATATCAAAAGAGATCGATACTGCACCTTGATGGTTATTTACAGGGATTTTGTTCGCGATTCCTACGCTAGTTCTTGAGAATTGTGCATTTCAAACCTAGTTATCATATATGGACACAGACGTCTTCTATTTTCTTTAACACGAAAGAAGATAAAGAAAGCAAATTTAATCACAGGGTGAAGATGGCCTTCTCAGTTACCACTTAGACTAAAAGCTAAAGAAAAAGAACATGCGATAAAGTCAAACGCGAAGAGAGAGTAAAGTGCTTTTGTTTAGCTCCACGATTGCGCTTCACGCTCTCATTAATTATCGCCTCAACTTTTCACCACCTTCTCCTCCCCTCCAGGTGTGTTACACCGTAGGGAGACAGCCAGCCTTCATCATGTCCTTAAATATGTCTTCGAAAGCATTCTTCCCAGGAAACTTATGTTAGAAAACATAACGTTTACTTTAATCGATGAACAAGTTGATGGAAAAGATCTTCTCTCAAGCGGTAAGTTGTTGTTGGAATTGATTCTTCAACAATTAAAATCAGTTCTGAGTCGATAAATTATGTCACAAGTTAGGTAAGAGCCTATTTAAGAGTTATCTCTCTTAAATAAAACCTTCGAGAAATCTGACAAACTTTTTCAACTTAGCTGTTCCTCTTAGTTGGAGTTAACTTGAAATAAAGTGGATGAGGTACAGTGCTTTGTTTACATGTACTTCTCATAATATGAGGTAAATCCATAAATACGATCTGCCAAGCTTATGCTCGCACGATTTGCCCTTTCCGGCGAGCGCTAGACTTCAAAGAAAAAAAAACGCAATTTTTTTGAGTAAGCTAATCATAAATGAAATGGTGTGTCACAAATATTCGCAGTGCAGTTTAACCATGCACCCCATAACGTCAGTATGGATATCTTCCATACCGTTCCCTACATATTTCCTAAAGTGCTAACTTTAGGAATTGTATATATGTCTGTGTAATTAATGATCAAAGTTCGTTTTAGCCCCAGATGCATTTGTACCCTTGTCTCGTAATTGTCCACAAACTTTAAATTGTTCTTGTCATATGTTTGTAGATGTCCTATCGTCTCTGTCTCAAGTGATAGCCATCATCGACTTGGCGAGCGAGGATAAGAAGGCCGCAACTCTCAGTTCTATTTTACATGTACCGCTGATGATGATAGATTCCATTTCAGAAAATTCGGCGAACACTTCTGTCATGTCGATCAGACCTCCCTATCACGTTGTTATGCAAGCTCTGTTCGATGTTATGGACTTCTTCAATTTTTCCAGGATAGCGGTGGTCTATGACGGTACAGCTGTTTGATGAATATTTTAATGAATCGTCTCATACGTATATAGCCGTGGTTAGAACTCTCGCGAGGATCGATAGCCTACATGTCAACTAACGTGGCCCAAAATCCAAAACCTAGCATCAAGTGAGACTTTTCCTTATTTTTACCACGTATGAATTTATTTTTCTATCTTTGTAATGCGCTTAGAACAGGACTGGATAAGCGCTATATAAGTAGTTATTATTATTATTATTATTATTATTATTATTATTATTATTATTATTCCTGATTTCTGTCTCTCCGAAGATTGTTTCTGGTGGCAAGTTTTTTATCCTTTATAAAAATTGGCGCCCAAAGTAATCGAAATCTCAACTTAAGAGAAAGTTTAGTCGGTGAGAAGGGACTCAGGATCACTGATTTTGCTGTACTTCCCTCTGTGATTGGTCGAAAACTCGCTGCACTAAGTCAACCAATCAAAAACTAATTGTCTGTTCTGATTGGCCATTATAATTGATTTTTATGGTTTTGATTTTAAGAAACTTAATCGAGATGGGCTGCATAACCAGGGTATTGGCTGTTTTAAATACATCCATTTTTGCTCCTCTCTTTTTAGCCCGCCGAGTCAGAGAGGCATCCTATTTCTACGCCAAAGCTAAACGATGGCCACGATTTAACATCAAAATGATACCAGAACTAATTTTGAATGACAGAGAAAAGTTACACAGCTCTCTGACTGAGTTGTTCAGGTCACGCATCAAAGAAATAATCTTATTATGTGATCAGAGGGACCTGTATCACATTATGAATGAGGTAACTTGTCTATTTACATCTTTGTTTTCATTTCTTAGTCACTTTTGTGAGTACAGAGCTAGTGAATTAAAGTTAAAGTTTAGTTCCACTTTTTCCATATTTTATTCAACTCTAACAATTAATAAATCGACGTTGTAGGCGCTATACGTTGGAATTAATGACAAAGACTACCGCTGGATAACACCTGACTTGGTAATGTATTGACTTCGCGAGAACCTCTAGCACGCTTAACCCCCCACGTGCGTTTCTTATTTCATTTTTGCCTCCTTAGTTTTGTCTCTTTTGGTAAAATGATCTTTGCAATCTTTTGTAAAATTTAAAGAAAGTTTTCTACGCTCTAAATACGAGGCGAGATATTGACATTTTTTAAGTAAAGATATCCATAGCTGATATCACTTACATGGAAGATTTTCACTCTTTCATTCCTTTTACTTGTTCTTGATTACCAAGAAATCGTTGGGCGAGAATATGGCTGCTATCACATTACAACTTAAGTGGTTTGTCTTCTGCTAGTTGGGGTTTTCATAATTTCGGGAATTATTTGTTCGTGATTTGTTGTGTGACTGCTTGTAATCGAGCTGGAGTAAGTAACCAACTTACACTAGCATCCAATGCTTATTTTTCGACTTGTTTATGGCCGGAAGCCAAAACTGTGAGACGTATTTATTGGCCACGATTAATGATATGTCCATGTGTAATATCGTCCGACTGTCTTTTTGCGGCTACCTGTAGCTACGCCCTAGATAGACTACTACTTGTAAGTTTAAGGTCAGCAGCATTCTCTCTTTACAGGAGGTGGCTGGAGCAGGTCAAACTTACAATCATACATATCCCTCGTTTCTTGGTATGGTGGGACTCAGGCTCCATATTGTTAACGAGACGTTAATCAGAAACTTGAAGAGTCGTGCGACCGGTGGAAAAGGAGCCGAATTCTCTCTGGTGAGAAAGCAGTTGCATTTTTGGACGTTGTGTGGTAATTATAATAATGATGATAATGGGACTCTATTTACGGTTGGTAACACTAAACAGTTACAGAAAGATAAAATTGTGGCCCCGCCTCTAAATTATAGAAATTAAACACGGTTTCAACACAAAGTGTTAAAAAAAACCCAACTGGCACTAAGGAGGCAGACCAGTTGGCTATGAGAGTGCAGTCAATGAGTTGAACACAGGGTAAGCGAGAACAAATCTAGCGAGTAGCAGGATAGAGGGTTTGAACCGGGACCACCAGGTTACAAGCTAGGCCAGCGCCTTAATCATTTGGCCACACTGCCTCCTCCTGTCGTTGCACGTTCCAACAAAATGTGGTCTGATAACGAAATGGCCTGTTGATTGTGTGGTCATGTCCTGCCGCACAGTGATCATGCCATATTGTATCGAGCTCTGCCTTCGCACGTGCTGTTGTGCCGTTCAACGTTGTGCTGTACTGTACTGTTTCGCGTATTATTTTGTCTTGTTATATTGTGCCTTGCTATGCCATCGCGCTTTTTTGTGCTGTATTGTGGCGGTTCGCGTCCCATTCTATTTATCTATGTTGTGTCTCTTTTTTTGTGTCGTTTCGTGTATAGCTCCTCGTTGAAACGAGCTGTATCGTCAAAACAATTGTTGTTAATGTTTATTTATGTGTATTCCTCTGTTTGTCACTCTATACTGTGTTGTTGAAGCTGGCGAAAATATGCCTGTGAGAAAAATGCCTACTTTTCGGGTCTCTCAAAGGGACGTTGGGTCGATATTTCTAACATCGCACAACACGTGACAGACCATTTGACATTATTTGTACACTAGCTTATGAATAGGTGTGAAAGTAAGGGTAATTTTAGCTTAAAACATATACGATACTGGTCACATTTGACATCTTTTGCCCAAAGCCCGTGTATGCAGCTGTCCATGACGTAGCGCTTGTGGTAGGGACGGCAGTGGTGAATTTATTCAACACCGATCCTAGGATAACAAGGATATTATCACGTTTAGACAATGGTAATTGCGCTTTTCGGAGCAAATCAAGTAAACGCAGGAGATTGGGATTGAGACTGCTCAAGCAGATTAGGAAGGTAATGTTAAATTTTCTTTTGAAAAATGAAAGATTGCAAATGATAAATGTTCTTCTCTGCCAAAAAAAAAAGCTCTCAGAATTTACCGTGGTCAACAGTTCTTTGAGCTCTAAGTTTCGTCACATTATGTTCAAAGGTGAAACTATTCCACGGAGAGGGTCTGACTGGCGAGATACAATTCAAACTTCGTACGGGTGAACGAAGAGTACATGATGGCCTGGACATTGTGAACATTGTTCAAAACAGAACCAAAAAGGTTTGTGAGTAAATTACAGTACATAAAGAGTAATGCAAGCTTGTTCGATCACTGACCAACCTCTCATGATTATCATATCAGTGAAAGCAAGAGAGACCTAACTACTCTGAGAGTGAATTTCAGCATATGTTTGTATGTCTAATTCGCACATTCTCTCGTTTGTTTTCACTAGCTCGGCTCTTGGCAACCTGAACCTGAAAGGATAGATCACCGTGTGTCTGTGAATAACGAACACCCTAAGTGGGTGGGAGATTTCGCACACTTTGTCCAGTGCAACAATCCGGGGAACAACCTGCACTACGAACCAGAACCGATCCCAGTGCTAAAAGTTATAACAGTGTTGGTGAGAATACTCTGTGATTTTAATCCTTTAATTTCTAAAAGTGATTAACGTGTTTCCAGCATATAGTTGTGGAAGAAATTGCAGACATATCTGCTTCATATAACATCACACTCTGAATATCAAATTTTGTAGAAATGGACAGTGACAAGAAAGAAGAATTATGAACCAGATCTTCAGGGCCAATGGATTAAGTAACCTACATATGATGTACACAGGTGTAAATTTTCATGAGGGTTATGATACACAAGAAGGTTCGGATCAAAGTCAGTATTTGAGCAACTGCACATCTACCCCTGCCCTAGCTTTCTATCAGTTGACTTTTCGTTAGGTAAGTGGTGGAGTAGGTGCGCAGCTGCGTTGATACTGACATATATCCGTAGGTTTCATTGATAATACCTCTCTGGCAAACGTCAAACTTCCTCCCGATGCACCTGGCAGCTGGGCGTCCAGTAAAGTTAATATTAACCCTTTAAACCCTAGGAATGACCAGTATCTAATTTCTTCTTACAGTAATAATGCTGAATCATTCACTATGACCATGAGAATAAAGGAAATGATCGCAATCCTAAAAAGCTTTGACTATTAAATAAATTCTCCTTATCACTACCAAAGGAAATGTATGGAGAAGAGTACAGAGAATATAGATACTGATGTTGAGGTGTAAAGGGTTGATACAAAAAAGCTTAAATTAACAATTGTTTTATACGTCAGCGTGCGTTCATCGAGATATGAAGGACGCAGGAAGTTTGAAGAGCACGAAAGATGCGTAAGAGTTGCTCGAGGCGTAGCCGAGAGCAACTTTAGCTTCTTGAGTACTCTCCAAACTTCCTGCGTCCTTCATATCTCGATGAACGCCCAGCTGACGTATGAACCAATTGTTTTATAACATTTTCAACCCGATGGAAAATTTTTTTTAGAGCTAGAAGAAGCTAGAGCTAGAAGAAGCTAGAGTGGCTATCGGCTACGCCTCGAGCAACTCTTACGTATCTTTTGTGCTCTCCAAACTTCCTGCGTGCTTCATATCTCGATGAACGCACAGCTGACGTATAAACCAATTGTTTTATATCATTTTCAACCCGATGGAAAATTTTTTTTCTCGAGGGATTCGTTTGCTGACGTAACGAGCGTGCACAATAGGAATATGAAGCACGCTCGCGCAATTGAATTTGATTAGACAAATTTACCAGCTATGTTATAAAATGCCTTTGAGTCTCTCACTGTTATTTCGTGTACAATTCAAAACCCAAAAAGGAGGCAGTTCCACTTATATACGGAATGCCTCGCATGCACTAGTTGCACCCATTATAATCAACTATATCCTTCGACAGTTTTCCAATGTATTCAAAAGGTTTTGGAAATAAGTGTAGCGAGCATGAGAAATTATTTCTAGAGATCAAAACAGAGCCATCATCGCTGGGTTTTTTCTGTAGGCAACCGCCACTTCCCTCCAATCAACTTGGTCCAAGGCATGCTATGTTATTTTTCTGGAGCTATTCTTGTCTCGGTGGTTACTGGTTATTTAGAAACGCGCTACGCCGCAGCATTCTGATTCATTTTAGTGTAACAGTGTTTCGCGTCTAAATAGAGTAAATCTTTGAAATAATAGTTAGCTAGGATGGAAAAACACCAGGGGAGAGAGGAAATGAAAGGGTGACGACGGCGAAGGTTAGCAGGGACTGTACATGAAAAACACGTAAATGAGGGTCAATTTTTTTAAAGATGAACTAGTCATCCATTGTCATCATAGATTCAGTCATTGAATCCTTTGTTTCTCTTAGGAACCTCCATTTGTCGAGAAGGTGAATGAGTCCACGCCATTACCAGATGGGATCATACCTAAAAACCAGCTTCAGGGTTTCTGTATCGATCTGATTGAAGAAATATCCAAGAAGGCAAACTTCGACTATGAGATTTATCTGGATAATAGCTACAAAGGGATGGTGGACGCGTTGAAGTCTCAGGTAGCAATTTTTTCGTTGACTGTCGAAGCTAATCGGGAACTGCATCAGTTTTGCCTCGCTTCGCGTTGTGATAAAAATACTATAGGAAGAGACTCTCCTCAACCTCTATCAAAATTAGGGCAAATTTTCAATTGAGTTATCCGGGATTGCTTAGTTTTTGCTTTACTTCGCTCTGTGATTGGTCCAGAAAACTTGCACTACTCTTAACCAATCACATGAAAAACTGAAATCACTCACGACTTGGTAGCTTGCGTTTTCCTGCGTTTTAGTCAGTTTGGTCGTTTTTACTTTGAAATTTCATTGGCTCTTAAAGGCATTTTCTTTTCTTCGGATTGGCTGTTGTGATTGCTTTGGTTTGGATTTTACAAAACTCAATCGAAAGGCACTTTACCGACTCGGTGTAGATGTGTTGCCTAACTGCATGCGAACTGAACCGATTATTTTTTCATGAACAATATAAATTCTTTCATATATTAAGTCAATAGCTCCTATGCGTCTATTAACAGCAGAGGTCTTCTTATTTTTCATTGCACTCTTGCAAGATGTGAGTAGTTTTTAATACTGGGTATGATAGCAGGGATCATCAAGTTCATTTTCCATAATCTGGCATTATCTCACGACTCTCTTACCGAAATTCGGCACTTTCCCTACCTTTAATCTCTGGTCTAATGAAAAGCCAACTAAGATGTTTTCGCCAAGTGGCAAAATGCAACTCCTCGCCATCTGCTATAGCCGTTCTTGCGTTAAAAGTTAAAAGATTTGCTTTGGCTTTGAACCAATGAGTTTTATAGGACTTTTTCGTTTGTTATTGCCGTAAATGTCATTATTTAAGTTCATTTGGCTTGCGCGATCGAATTTGGTACCAAACGATTACCTAACACTTCTTGCCCTGAATAATTTGCTTTGCCATTGTTTATCCTCTTTCAGAAAAAGGACCTTGCTCTTGCTCCAATCACAATAACGGCAGAGCGTGAATTGATCATCGACTTCAGCAAACCGTTTATGGACTTTAGTATGAGTCTGATCATGCGCAAACCTGGAGAGCCTCCGATCAATATATTCGCTTTTCTTCTGCCTTTCACCAACAATCTGTGGCTCTCCACGATTGTAGTGGTAAGGTTTTAGAATTGTTCGGTACCATTTTACGACGGGAATTTTAATTTCCATCATCTTGAATGTTCTAGGTGCGGGAGATTTTAACATACCAAGGATCAAATCACTGGGAGTACCTCGGGTTTGAAGATCTAAGATCAAATTTCAATGACTCATGAAAATTATCACTTGCATGATTTATTTGAGGTCTGAGATTTCCAGTGCTGTTGTTGGTTTAAGATACCGGAGTCACCAGGGGCTCGAGATATCTACAATGAAAGGCAAAAATAGTTGGCGCGCTTCCTCTTACTCGGTGATTTATAATCCCCTACTCATCATACCAGACAGAAATCTCGTAAAACGATACTGAATAAGTGCCCCCCCCCCTTTTCTTCCCAGTCAATGTTGCCTGAAATTAGCGAGGATTTTGTTGACACCAGGCAACATTTAAAGGGGGGAGAGGAGGGAGATAGATGAAAGTTATAGCAAAAATTAAAAAAGTAGTGGAGTTTGCCAAGACTTTTGCCACTCATTGTGGGTTCTAATTACGGAGATCTACCGGGTGGAAGATGATGGAGACCTGAGATATCTGATGCACCATGCTTACCGGGTATAACTTGGGTTTAATACATCGAGATTGATAAAATTCAGAGAACAGGGATACACTGGGTTTAAGATATCAATACATCGGAGCTAGAATTACAGTGATGCGCACGGCATGCCAGGTGTCTTTTAATTTCAATGTAGAGCTTTGCCTTACAATTGCGAGGGAATAGTACATCCCTGTTAGCAAATGGTAAACTTATCAACTGTTTCTGTTCGCAACGTCGCACGGAAACGGCTGATCATGATGAAATTTTCATAAATTCACGGCAAAAAACGTTTTCGAACGTATGCGCGCCTGTTTGTCTTAACCACTATGCGTTTGGCTCTTTTGATGTGTGCACCAGTTTTTTGTTTCAGCTACGACACTTTTTTTAAACATCACTAGAATGTAGTAACTTTGTTTTGCCAAATGAAATTTATTTTTGAAGGTTTTGTTCATCACCGGAATGATGTGTGTCATGGACTATTTGAGCCCGTTTGGTTACCGCGCTCGAGCTCGTGATTCAGACGAGGAGCCTGGAAATGAGTTCAACCTGTTGAACAGCTTGTGGTTTGCTACAGCTTCCGTTTTACAGCAAGGTCCCGATAACACTCCTCTATCTCCCTCTGGTCGCTTGCTAGCTTCCTCCTTTTGGTTTTTTATATTAATAATGATAACAACCTACACGGCAAACCTGGCTGCCTTCTTCACAAGTACGTTCGACGAAATAGAGATATTTATTTTATTACGTCGAAAAATGCTGCTATTCCTTAGATCGAGATTTCAAAATTAATTAGTTTAAATTTCCTTTTCCTTTTCCTTTTCCAGTTAAACGAGAAGTGCAAACTATCAATTCCCTGAAAGAACTGGAAAGTCAAAACCAAACCACATACGGAGTCCTCAGAACCGGCTCCGTGCAGAAATTCTTCCAGAATTCAGAAAATCCTATTCACATGAGAATGTTCTCTTTTATGAGAAGTCAGCAAACTTTCGTCAACTCTACTGCTAATGGGGTGAAAAAAGCGAGGGCAGAAAACTACGCTTACATAACAGAATATCCCTACTTGGCATACTACAATCAACAGAAGCCATGCAACACGAGGTTACTGGACAACCTACTTCAAGCTAAAGGTTATGGAATTGGGCTGCAGCAAAACTCACCACACACAAATAAGATTTCTGTTGAGATCTTAGAGGTGGGAGACTCATCTTTTTCGGTTATCTGACAACACATGTCAAGTTACTTTTAGATTGAGAATCCAGGAAGTTGTACATGATCCACTGAAAATTTTTCTCTTATATACAGCAATGCTAACTGCTATAAACACTGTTGCAGTGTAATACTTTTGTCCAAGTTTAAAGTCAAACTTTCATGATCATAAGTCTTATTTTCTTACAGCTACGAGAAAATGGCTTCATTGAAAAAACACGGCGAAAGTGGTGGGACGAGCGTAGTCAATGTCCAAAACCATCTAAGTCCAAAACTGGGAAAATACATAGTCTTGACGTCGATAACATGGCTGGAGTGTTCTTAATCTTACTCAGTGGTGTTATCCTCTCAATATTTATTTTGCTTATCGAGATACGCTACAAGAAGCTGGCTGCGTGCTCCACTAGTGGCCAGGTAAAGTTGTGCTTCGTTCACACTACAGCGGATAAGATATAATTGAAAACAAAACTATTCTTAACATTCAGGCTTACCTTGTATATTGGTGCAAATTAACTGCTCATGGGAAAAGGAGGAGGTCAAATGAAGGAATTACAAATGATGGTTTGAAAATATTAGGAAACCGGGTTTCCCTCATTCCTCTATAAAGTCTCTGATAGATTGGACAATTAGTGCCGTCAGAGAGTGAATAGGAAAATCAGAATTTTGTTTAATTTCCACTAACGCACTCTCCGTAGAACGCTCTGAAGCGATATCTGAGAAGAAGTTGCAAGGCGGAAAAAGAGGAAAGTGACCATTTGTCTACTCCCGCCATTCATGTTAACCCGGTCACTCCTGACAATCCTGTCACACCGGTCACACCAGTAGCGCCGGTCACGCCGGTTCGAGTAGCTGTGGTGTTATCCCAAGGAGACAAGGTTTTAGAGCAATTGAAGGAAGAAAAAGGCAAGGGCAAAGGTTGGAATAAATGGTTTCAAGGCGTGGGAAAGATTGAAGGTAAAAAATACGTTACCTCACCTTTGAGATCGAGCTCTGATCGGTTTCTCTTGCTTTATGTACATGGCTTATGTTTTAATAGAAGAGCGGTATAAAGTTTGTTTTTTGACGGATTCGCATACAAAAAAAAATTGGCAATTGCCGTAGCCAAGCTCTTCTTCAAGGTCCTCCGTCACACCAAACTCTAGAGGAGAATCCACTACAGTTCTGTCTGGTGTAAGCAAGACAGACTCAGAAATGGTATACTGACACGGAATATGCAAAACGATGATAGTTGAATTTGAGACAACCCACCATTACTCCTTGGTGTTTTTTTCAGTTGACTGTCATTGGGTTAGGGGAGGGGTAGGTGTGCAGTTGCACAGATACCGGCTGACTTTGGTTGGTCATTTTCATGTATGTGACATTTTGGGTTTTTTTTTTCTGATTCCAGTGTCTCGACGATGAAGACGAGAATTTTGGAATGTTTGAGGATGTTGGATGACGCATGAATGAAAACATTAAGCAGCGATCCATGTCTTCAATCTCCATTTAAGGGCATCAATAATTGAGAGTAAATGTTAAGTGCGAATAACCGCTGTTCAATCATTTATTCTTTTCCCTTCACGCCATGAAGTTACTTCGGTGAATAGGTTTATAGTGGATTAAAAAAGTTAACTGAGGTACGAGTTAGTGGGCGTGGATCGTTTAGGAGTAATTTTCCAAGGTTTGTGTTAGTTCGACAAAACAGTCGAATTTTTTTTACGAGTGGGACGATCCTCCCACTCTCAGCTCAGTAGTGTCTCCCGAACACTGTCGTGCTATTTTCAAGCACAAAGTTGACTGGAAGAAAGAAAATATCTGCGATGAGACAGTGACTGAGTCTACACGAAATTCTTAGAGCTAAAATTCCAGTGAATTTATGGCATACTGTGCAGAGAATTGATATCATGGTTCATCATGATGAAAATTGACCTTAGGTAGAGAAAAATTAAAAACAATCATTGGCCAGGTTGTACAATCACTGGAAAGGCTCAAATAGACAAAAATAAATAAATAATATGATTAAAAATAGCATATTATCACGGATCACGGTAAAAGACAAACGCAGAAAATATGGACCGATAAGCCGAGAGGTAACTTTTCGAAAGCTGCAACAGTGAATCTTGGTCGCCTGTTAGTTGGAGTGATATACATGTATTGGCGAAAAGGCATTAAGGAGACAAGTCTTTGCGATTGAAGTAACTTTTGAAATAATAAGAAACTACATGAAGAAACCGCACGGTGAACATCCAGGGAAACAAACTTATCTTAACACCCAAGGTTAAAAATAACTTAGCTGAAATCGACCCATCTTGGCGTCATTTTTCTCCCCTTTATTCCTCTTGATTATTTCATTAGTTAACACATGGTCTGCCTGAATTACCTGCGGGTCCGTGCTATTATTTCAATTTTGTCTAATCAGCGTTGAATGAGGTGTGTGAAATAGCGTTTGAATATGATTTTTACGAGAGAATGTAATTAACATGAATATAATAAACACAAACTGCTCAGTGGTTTCGAGATATGCTTATTTTGTATCGCCTACGTGGGGGGATTTGGTGGTGTCTGAGGATGGGGGGGAACACATGGTTTCTGGTAGAACAGGGGGGGAGGGGTATCAGTCGTCGCTTACAGAGTATAAATGGGGGACTATAGAAAACTGAAAAACCTCATGAGAAAAGTATCAAATAAATTTCATTGTAGCACGATCAAAATTCTCTAAATACAGTAATTAAAAAGACCACTTTTATCTGATTCATTGTATAAAGAGAAACTTCTCCCCCTTCAACAATGTATAATGCTTCATTACACCTCCTTATATTCGACATTTCATGCAGTGTCACCACGCCCTTGAAAAGTTTACAGAGCGAAAAAACTCAACAGGAGGGTAAGCGTACTAGGATTCGATTTTGATGATATCGCAATAATTATCCCAAAAAAATTTGACCAACGTTGTTTGGGAGAGATGGGGGAGCATTTGGTTTAAGTAATATTGTGTTGTGTTCCATGATTTTAAGTCTCCATTGTCTGAAATCCACAAAACTCAACATTGTTTGCGGTAGGAGAGGGGAGGAGAAGGATTCGACCTTAAAAAGATCGCGTTAAGAGTTCTTGTTTAGCCTTCCTGAAGCGTGCGTGTGATGTACTTGCGGGAGCATCGCACGCAAATAAAGGATTAATACTGATCCTTTTAATGACACTAATGAGTTAAATCAGGACATTGTTCAATAAGAAATCTGGAATAAGACTCAGTCGTTTACCAAATTTGCGTCATGATATTTCAAGCTCGACTCGTCCCGAAAAAAGAGACGGGCGCTAAACTTATTGTTGTGTGGTTAAAGTTTTCGATTATTTTAAGATGGCTTGTCTGTTATCAATTTTTGTGTGATCAAAATCATCACTTTCACAAGTATTTTACATGCGACGAATTTTTTTTATTTGTTATCACCAAAAGGTTCACTTTCCCTATGACTTTCGGACTTCTGTATTTCATCTCTTAATGGATTTGAGCATTCTGTTTTGACTGTTAATTTGGTTGCTTCGCTTTTGTCTTTTCAACTCAAATTTCTATCGATAGCTTACATTTCATGTCTAGCTGATTCGTCATCGCATGTACGTGAGGTGAACGCCCGCAAAAATCATACCGTTGCTCGCCATTGTCTGTGAAGATCTATAGAAGTAGATGAGAGTTGTTTCCTGATTTAGCATGAAACAAATTGCTCGTCATGCATAATTTAGCGCGTTTCTTATTATGCAAACACGTTCGCAAAATTTTAATCTTCTAAGACAGATGGTTCTAGACACCGTTTGATAGACCGTACCTTTAAAAGCTCGCTTCAGTAAAGAACCGATCATTAGTTGACTCTCTCAGAAGAAACTTTCAGTTCCCTTTTTCAAGTCGAAAAGGGAGACTTTGTGAAGATCGCTGAAGGTCACTCTATAGAAGAGGTTAAAACGCTCAGCCAATTTTACAGTCTGAGGCATTCTGCAAATCGTAGGAGGTCCATCATGTACAGAGTTGTCAGATCAAGGCTTCTTCACATCTTTCTACTTCTGGTGTTGGTGAACCAAGTTTCACCTATGAATATCAAAATAGGTAAGAAAAGCATCAGTAGATTTCATATTCTTCATGATTACATTTAATTACAAAGTCATCTGGGAGAGCTAATGGAGTTAATCACACTAAAATACGCCATTATTAATAAACCTTAAATATGGATTTGAAGAATATATATTTGTTGTGTATACACTTCACGTTTAATTGTTGTTGTGAGCTTTCAAGTTATTTCGAAGTTGCCGATCAGTGAAAACTGATCAACAGAAACAAGGCGTGTGACCTCTTAGTAAAAAATATGCTTACGAAGACTGATTATTATGCCACTTTTCAGATTTTTTTTTTCTTTGTCGTAGAATTAATGGAGTAAAGAGTTTAAGCTAATTCGCTGTGGTTTTTTTTTTCTTTTTAATTTATAACTCTGCCTGTTTTTACGAGCCAAGCATCAAAAAGAGAGAAGAAAGTAATTAAAGAAAATTATTTTGTGAAATCAATCATCAGGAGAAACTGAAAGCTGAAAAGAGTGATAGGCTGAAATTTTCGTGCAGATTCTCTTGCGGTTATGAAGCCATGGCCTTACCGGAGAGAAAGGACCCACAGCCCAGAGAGCTGCTTACTCAATTTGCTTCATTTTTGATCACCTAAAAATCTTGATTTAAGTCAATAGTTTGAGTTCTTTCTAAATCCTTTTTATGTCTTTTGGAAATTTAAGCTACGAACATAACACAACGGGGAGGCGAGACACTCCTCTACTTTTATGGCTATTTAAGTACTAATCACCTCAAAAGGTTTAGTTATTATGGCGTTTTGTTCTGAAAACGGGTATGGATTCTGACTGTTGTTTTCTTGAACTTTGTTTGGTATCCAGGCGCATCACAAGAGCTTATAGACGCATTTGTCTTTTCAACTCAAAACTAGTAACAGAGGAATGAGGATGATATTTATTTGAGTTGGGTTTTCCAGCGAATTTAAGCAAGACTGGAATGTGGAACTGATGCGAAGCTTAATTACTTTACAATTGACAAAGCCAAAGTAAAATTAACAACCGCGACGTTTCTTTTAGTTAAATCGGGTGATAAATTCAGAATATGAAGATGATGAGAGAAATGTGCAAAAAAAAAAAATTTATATGGTAACAAAAAAGTTTTGGATTTTAAAGGCCAGGAGTGAAACGTGTGTGAATATCAATGTTCTGGAGTGAAACAGAGTCATAATCTGGAGAAAAGACGCTCCTTTTTTAGCAAAAATTGCGAGAAATCTCTTCCCTTTCCTGGGAAGAACTCATCAATCACCGTGACTAATTCAGAATTGAGGAAATCAAGCCTCACCGCTGTTGAAAAAAAGTGATTAATAAATTATTAGAGAAAGATGGTAAAAGATGATAGTAAGGTGATTTTAATTTTTGGTTAAAAGGGGTCTTTGATCAGGCGTGGATTGCATTGTCTTTAGCCTCTCTAATTCAATACAAAGTCCAGAGATAAATATTCAAGTCATATGCTAATACTGGCATGTCCACTGTTAAGAGTTTCTAAAGCTTAAGTTTGGAGAGTCAGCCGTTCGGCAGAGTGACGAAATATTCATGTTACACCTTCGTTCTGACAAAGGGCTAGAACTCAAAACGTCAACTCTTTGCGGTGGCCACGTCAGTATGATCATTTCAAATTATCTTGCAATAGCACCCACCGACTCAGCACCACAATTTTTTTCAGCCTACAGCCGGATTCGGCGTAATTTTTCAGAGGTTTTTACATCTTACAGGCGAACGGAAACAAGCACTAGGTGAGCTCGAAACGCGCGTCACGCGTGAGAGGAGGAGCGCGAAAAAATATTGCGCTCCTCACCTTGCGCGTGACTCGCATTGCGCGCTCGCCTCGTGCTTGCCTCAGTTTGACTGAAAAACGCAAAAGAATTACGCTGTGTCGTCTTTTACTTGTATGGGTAAATACGAATCCAAAGATAAATATGAAAATTCCACCCTACTAAATTAAAACGTCCGCTCAGTTTATGATACGATGTTTCGTATTACAATAACATACAATCACTTTCAACCCATGGAGCACATCATACTTTCTTTAAACTTCTTCGCGCTCAATTATGAAAAAGTAAAAAAAGCTGCTCAAAATGACACCTTAAAGGAGGAACATAGAAATCCCTTAGCTGGACAATGCAACTTAATAGTCACTTGTCACTCCAAAAATCAAACCATTCACATTGAGGGGGAAGGATTTGGAACCAAAAGTACCCTTCCTCTGTACACTTCCTAAAACTAATAAACCACTTTTATTCTCCAGGTGCCTTATACAGCAAAAACTCCGAAAGGCTTTTCAAGTTACTCGAATACCTTTTGGCACACGAGCCACGGGAGCTTACCTTAAAAAAGACTTTCATATTGCAACTAGTGCCACTGAACGTTGATGGTGAAGATCTCCTCTCTCAAGGTAGGTAATAATTAATGATTCCCTTGATAAGTAAAGGAGAATCTTTATGGGCCGAATTTGAGGAAAGCAGCCTTATCTCATCCCTTCAATTAAGTTTGAGAGTTTATGTATTCCGAAGGAGTACCGTTCTTTTCTTTATGATTGATGGGTGGATCGGTGGTTTTTGAGCCCAATGATCTCAAAGCAGCGGCGAATATCTAGTCCAAATGATTTTAAACAGAGTTAAGGTTTCACTAAGCATTCCCCATAAAACCATAAAACTTCCCCCCCCCCCTATATCCAAAACAATTTTGGGAGGTGCGAAGAATGGTGCCCATATAAAGGGTAAGCCATGCCATAGTGGGTCTAAATTTTCCTAATATTTGGTGCAGGCGTTGTGCTCCATGGTAAATATTTTTTATTATGGGGCAGTGCTTACGCAAGGCAGCGCCTGCTCATAGCAAAATTGTGTTTGTATTCTTACATTTCTGTTAGTTTCAGAACGTTCTTAACTTTAGCTGATCAAAATTAAGACTATTGCTTGAAGCCAAAATGATTTATTTCCACAGATGTGGCGAGGAAATTAAGTTCTGTCTACGCTATCATTGACCTTGATTGTAAGAACGAAAACGTTCTTGCTCTGAGCTCCCTTCTTCAAAGACCTTTGGTTAAAGTAGACAACATTGACGAAGAAACGCCACACAAGTACGCGTTATCAGTGAGACCGTCGTATCGTGATGTCTGTGATGCTCTGTTTGATATGATGAAGTTCTACTCATTCACAAGAGTAGCCGTTGTTTATGATGGTAAGAATAAGTACTCGTAGGAGAACAGTCATTTATCATTAATCGTCGCCAATGTGTAAAGGGAGACTCTAGAAAATTGACGGCAAACTTACTGCCAATGAGGGATCATAAGAACATTACAGAACCTTATGGAAGGATCAGGTAAATTTTGTGGTGACACAAACAGAATCCTCCGAACTCCACCCCAACCCACCCCCTGCCGATAAAATTATGACTAGTCCTTCATCACCCCCTTGAAAATAATTGAAAATACAAACTGATTTGGATAAAATTGGTTATGACTGAAATCGCTTTTTAGAGCGGATGGGTATATAAGAAAAAATAAATAACAAAACAAAAACAAAAAAAACAAAACAAAAAAACAAAGGCTTTGCGTCACTGTTCTTTGATCTAGACACTTGCCATTCATATGATTAAGTGATTCTGGCGCCGGTGATCGAGTTGTTTGAACGAAAATCATTTTGTTCGTTGATCTGTTCACCCTTTACTCCCTCACATCAGCACGCATATTCTCCATACAGTTCTCCAGACAATTCTTAAGGTGTTGACAAGGAGAAGTTGTTCAACAACCAAGAGCTTCTTTAGTTGGTGATCATTCCCTTTATTCCCTTGACCTTCATTTTTGAATCAGGGGTGATATTGCAAAGACTGATTTTAGATGTTAGACACTCCTAGGGGGTCGTAGGGGAAAAGGGTTGTCTCGTTTTTGTCTGATCAAATTTTTACTGTTTCTGAACGTTTCTTCAACGTTACTTTTGCCTGTTTTACATGTTTGAGCTTCTTAACTTAATTTCAGCTCGCAAAGCGAGGCAGGCGTCTTTGTTCTTTGCAAAGGTTCGCAAGTGGCCAAGGTATAATGCAGAAATGATGCCAGAGCTTCCTCTAAACAATCAGTACAAAGTGAGAGAGGCTCTCACAGCCTTACTGAAGGCACATATCAAACAAGTCGTTCTATTTGCTGATCAGAAGGACTTGGCAACCATAATGAACGAGGTAACGCAATAAAATGTCATCCGTCACCAGCAAAATTTACACTCACTTATTAAGGATGATGCGAAAACGCGATTGCTGAACTCAGTTAATTACTTAAAACGTAATATTACTTTGATCAATGCGCTATGTGAGGCAATAGGCTATCAGGGAAGAGTTTGTTTACTGGCTAATCACCCGGTCAAGTTTTAAAATTTCATTTGCAGACAAAATTACATTTAGCGGCCGTAGTTAGTTCTTCGTGCGGTTTATTGCTAACCGAATTGATCATTTTAAACAGGCACTATTTGTGGGAATCAATGACAAAGACTTGAAGTGGATAGCCTCAGATCTGGTAACGCTTGTCTTGACTTTTTTTATGTACCTTTCCCTTTAATCAATGTGAATTTTAAGCTTCATTGATTACGTAGCTCGAGATGTCAGACCCATCAGTAAATCACTCAATTTATGGGAAATGGAATAGGTCAGTAGTTCTGTAAGAAGTTGTCAGTTGTAATGTAAGGAAGCTGGCTCTTCATTAAGTTACACCTAAGTTACAAAAGATCTTCTTTTTAGACATACTTTGGTCATTCTCGGATGCACCACATTTGATAGGGCCAAAAAATGTTAAAATTGAAATGTAGAACTGATCAAAGAACGTGGGCGTAGAGATGTATACACTCTCTACGATGGTAAAATAATTAAATGCGTTCAGACTGTTAAGGCATCCTCACCGTGAAACAATAACATGGTGCCTGACTATAGAATTTTCAGTTTTTATGACATAGAATGTGCAAATGTGACTGGCAACACCTCTTCATAGGGTCTTGAAGGGTAGTGAAGAATATTTTGATTCCTTAAACTCTATATCTAACTGATTAATTAGTGGTTGAGAGGAAGAAACGTCTCTAATCTTTTTGTCCTTTATCAATTCAATCTGGATTTGGTATCAATAGGAAGTGGCAGGTCCAAACAAGACTTACCCCTCCATTCGCGGTCTGGTTGGACTGAGTCTTCATCTCGGTAACACCTCAGCGGCGAAGAAATTAGAAGATATATCAAAAAAAGTCATTGTGCCTCGTGGAGCAAACCACTACTCATTGGTAAGAAAAAAAACAAAATTAACAAATTGCTCAACTTTGTTTGCGAGGTTTTGATATTTTTATTTATCTATCCATTTTTATTTTTTGGGGGGTGTAGGAAGGGGCTGTTTTTATTGAAAGAAGATGTCAGAAAATTCATGTTTCGGTGGGACATTTGCAGAAAGCGTTGAAAAAATTTAGAACGCACTTATTGTCGTACACCGTTGTGGTCTGCTTGTGTGACTCCATGACCTATCGCAAATAATCTTTATTTTTTGTGCGCAGGAAATGTACTCCGCGGTGCATGATGCAGCATCTGTAGTAGTAAAAGGATTAAATATATTCTTGTCAAACAAGACCAGGGTAGATATGGCAATTGAATTCTCGCCCAGCCAGAAGTGCCCTCTACGAAGCAAGAAAGATTCAATGGCACAGGCAATTCTAGACGATTTCAAAAAGGTAGAGTGTTACTTAACAATTCCCTGCTTTATCACTGTCAGGACTCCTGTCACTGTACATTCTTTCTCGCTGAGTCGCTCCGTAGTCTTCGATCCGTTGTTCCCAAATCTTAATTAGCGTTAAGTCCAACATAAAATTTCCGAAGGTAAGGCCAGGTTACTAATTTAATCCAACATGGCGACTTCCTCTACGGTTTTACAGTGCGAAGGAGCTGAAAGATTCCGAATATTTGCATCGCTAAGATCAAAATGGGACACAAAGATACCGTTTGAAAATTATATTTGTAGTTCAACGAAACAAATGGCCGAGGTTCAATTTTGCATTACCTCAGACTTCACCTTCCAAACGATTTCATAAAATGCTTGTGAACGTCTCCTTAAAGCACCCAAACCTAAATGAAAACAGATTTAGAGAAGCATTTTTGTCCGGGTTTCCGGAGACAAAAGGACACAGGAACGTACAGACTCCAAATTGACTGGATGCCTGAATAAGCTCAGCTTCGAGCATTTGTTGATTTTATGAGTACGCCTTGCTTACGGTACGTGAACTTTGCCAGACGAAATTACATGAAACAAAGTTAGTTCTTATGTACTTTTAAACTTTTTGGTAACAATAATTGGACTTTGACTGTGTTTCCAGGTCAGTTTTAAGGGCTTCACAGGAACTGTAGCATTTAAACGTACAGGGGAACGGAAAATAAAAACTGGCATGGACATTTTGAATATTCTTCCGAAGGAAGTAAAGAAGGTAAAGTTTCGCACATGTAGTTATTGATTTTGTTGAATTGTGGGACTGTTATTTTCCCTGTTTTTTTTTTCGTCATGGTTGTATATTTAAATGTGTATCTTTGTAGGTATGAGTATTAAATGAAGGGATGGGATGATCTGGTAAACACGCATACCTAAACCTAGTGTGCTCTTGCTGTGGAATGGGGGATAAGAATTGGCAGGATGATCAGCTGGATCATATGCTTGATTTTCGAGATGTAACCTAATTTTCGTTTGTATACCCCCAATCAACTGAGTTTGAGGTTCGAACTTTAAGTTACAGACCAAGTTTCCCCCCCTGGATTTATAGCCCAGGTATGAAATGTACTGTCCATAGATCAGAATGGAAAGAAGGAGGTTGCATAACTTATTGCACAGACCCTTAAAATGAGATTAGTAAGATATTTATTATATCTCTCAGTTAAAATAGAGGGGGAGTATTTAAATTCCAACAAACTTATGAATTTAGCTGGCCACACAGTGAAATAAGGCCAGCTAAATTGACCAATCATAGTGCACATACTAACAGGGAGATATAATAAAAGAGTTGACAGGATGCATGAGCACTAGGATTACAATCTGAATTTGTGAGATGTAACTTACTTATCATTTATGATTTTAATATTTTAACTTATACTTTAGATTGGTTCATGGAAACCAGAGCCGGGAAACAATGGACACAATGTTTTGCCTGGGAGTAGTGAAGAGCCTAAGTGGATCGGATGTTTTTATGAGTCTGTGAAATGCCATAATTACAATCCAGATCCCACAACCATTGGCCTTACACCAAAGCTACCAAAACTAAATATTACCACAGTGCTGGTGAGAATACAATGTTTTGCTACCCAACCATTTGTAGCCTGTGTACAGTGGCCACCTTCATGTACCCTCCAAAAGATTGATTTTTCTTGGAGGGTGGAAGGGGGGGTGGCTGTGAACAGGCTATCATTTGGATGATACAGTTTATGAGTGAAGGGTCTTCCCATGTTGTTCCTAACTCTTATGCTTTACAAGTATAAAGAAGATAATATGAAGAAGAACTTATTTAGTGACACTTGGTGTTGGATTCTTCTGTGGTTACATGTTAGATGTGATTAATTTTTCAGAGTTTCCAACTATAATCATGATAGAAAAATTGCAATTTATTTTTATTGTAGAAAGATACCATCAGTGATTGAAAGAGAATATCGCTAGTTACTTATGACCTATGTATTTTATAGCACGATTTAATGTTTAATACTATTTAAAACTCTCTTTTTTTAACCCTTTAACTCCTATAAGTGACCAACACAGAATTTTTCTGTACAATATCAGTACAATATCATGCAAACAAATGACAAGAATAAAGAAAAATGTAAATTAAAGTCGATTATTACCTGGTAGTTGATCCAATAACAAATTCTTGGAACTAACATAATAACAATTTTATGACAGACAGTAAGGAGAACTACTAATGGGATCTTGGAGTAAAAGGGTTAATTTGTCTCTGTCATAACCCATATATTATTTCAAAGCTGTCTAGAATTCCACGTTGTAGTTCTCAACAATTTCTATCAATGGTATTTGAAGAGATTAGTGGAAAATAGCCCAAATGAAATACATGAAATCCAACACCTCAAGATCTTTGCTCTCCTGAGGAGTGAATGTTTGGTGAAATTCATCCCAAACTCCTCAGATAATTAAATCAGGAATGAATATTCCATTGCTGCTAGTAAATCTTATTCTCTTGGATGGAAAGCACTGCACAGGATTTGATGAGTATTTGATGTGACAGCTCTGATAGGGTATAAACTGATGAAATGTTTGACCTTACCCTACAGGAGCCACCATTTGTGGAAAAAGTAAATAAATCTTCCAAACTTGTGGATCTAGCTGGAAAAGTTTCTAAAGGAGATCTTCAAGGATTCCTCATTGATGTGATTGACGAACTGTCTAAAGAAGCTCAGTTTGAGTATGATATCTATTTGAGACCTGACAGAAAGTATGCAAATGTGATTGAGGAACTGAAAAATCAGGTGAAGAGTTACACAAAAGTGTACACATGTCATTTAAATTTTTTTTTTCTGACTATATCAGCTCGTATGCTGGACATAACTTGTAAGGGCTCCATCCATTTTAGTGGCTGAGTTGTGAAATTGTCAGTGTCTTGTACATTTATCATGGCCTCTCCTCATCCATGAGTAGCATAAGATACTTTGGTTTTACGAACTGAGTTGATAATGTAAATTGGCCATAGTGAAGAGTTCCTAAAGCTGACATTTTGAGCATTAGCCCTTACTCAGAGCAAATGAGTAATGGTTCTTTGTGCTAACATATGGTAGTCTGCAGTGGTCTCTTCCAACATCTAGAAAGTTTGGAAAACTACAAAACTGTGGGGCAAAAGTTTATCTTTCAAATTGGTATACTTAACCCCTACAACATCAACAAATGCTTTTCATTCAACTAATTTATTCTTGTGTTTTCACGTAACCATGTTTCCACCAATAGCATGGCTGCATCTTTCTGTATGTAAACTGCACAATCCACAATTATACTATTTACTGTGACAAAAGGGCCAACTGATTCGTGGGTGGTGTTCAATTTGGTAAATACAGTACTGGGTGTATCCTGTATGGAAATTTGATGAATGCTTGGTGCTGTATTTGATATATGGATTTTTGTTTTAATGTTTCCTATCAGGAAAAGGATATGGCACTTGCACCTATAACGATAACTGCCCAACGCGAGCAGGACATTGACTTTAGTAAGCCCTTCATGGACTTCAGTTTGAGTCTTATTATGCAGAAAGCAAATGAGCCAGCCATCAACAACTTTGCTTTTCTCCAACCATTTACTGGTCAAGTGTGGCTGTCCACCATTGGTGTGGTAGGTGAACGTACTTGATTCATTGAAGCATACATTGTGCATACATGTATAAGGCTTGTGATTGGGCTTTATGGATCAAAGGGAATTACCGTAATGATACTATATAGCACCCTCCTTCCAATAAGCGCTCCCTCTCTAATAAGTACCCCTCCCCCCATAGAATGTGTTTTTGTTAACAAGCGCTCCTATTCTAATGAGCTTCCCTATTGAGTAAGCGCCCTCGTTCGAATAAGCGCCCCCTGTCTAATATGCGCCTTCCCCATCGAATTTGTTTTGGTTGATGAGTGCCCCTATACTAATAAGTGCTCCAATTCCGTTTGAGTTATAGCACCATTAGAGTACATTTTCGTTGAGATCAACCTGGGTTCATCTTTCTTTAATTGCTCACTTTAAGCCCCATAACAAAAAAGTGATCTTTGTCTCAGTCTCTCTGCTGTTATGTCGCCGTGAGGGTACAGTTCTTTTAAACGAAAGATCCTGTTTTAAAATTTTGCGACAATTGCTTGGCATCAAAGCTTTGTTTCACATTCTGCTGTTTCTCAAAAAAGAAATAAGCGCCCTGTCTCGATTAAGCGCCCTCCCTCGAGGTACCATAGGTAAATAAGCGCTGAATCGAATCATTACGGTAAAAATTAATACAGTGCACGTGGGAGGCTGCCGACATTTACAGAGAGAGAGATCAGAAATTTAACCCACCATCATCATTCCCAACAGTCTGAAGTTCTTAGAGGTAGATGTGTTTTCGCCTTGTCACGAACGTGCAACGGAGGGAAAAATCCCGGTCCCTATGAAGAATCGAACCTCAGACCTTCGGATTCCACGCACCGATGCTCCACCGCTGAACTACAAAGATTCTGCGGTGAGCTAGGCCATTACTACTTGAAAAACATTCAGCAAGTGAATGACTCCCAGTTGTCACTTCGGACAACGACCATATTCAGCCCTCGCACACCCGGCTTTCCCACTTTGTGTTTTGAGACAGGATCTGAGGTGGGATGGTGATGGGGGGATATGCCCTCTTTGTGAAGTAGGGATCTGTAAGAGGCAAAACGTTTCTCCGCCACCTTATTTTTTAAGGTTTTGTTTATCACTGGAATGATGTGTGTCATGGACTATTTGAGCCCATTTGGTTACCGTGCTCGCGCTCTTGAATCTGACGAAGAGCCTGGAAATGAGTTTAACCTCTTGAACAGTCTGTGGTTTGCTACAGCTTCCGTTTTACAGCAGGGTCCAGATAGCACCCCTCTGGCGCCTTCTGGTCGTTTGTTAGCCTCTACGTTCTGGTTCTTTATCTTGATCTTGATATCTACATATACGGCAAATCTGGCAGCATTCTTCACGAGTAAGTATTACTTTTCGTAGCCAACTCCAAATAAATCTCACCTACTTGAGTTAGTGGTTTTTATGGGGGAATTCCGCCGGAAGAAGTACACCAAAGGGGATGTTTTAAAAGCATCTCTCTGTTATTAGCCAGGACGCATATTTTGCCTTTCCGTTCTTGATAACAGCATGTAAAGGGATGCAGTAATTTTGTTTGTGGTACAATGTACATAAAAAGGATACCCTCTCAGTCATTAAAACTTAGATGCGGAGTATCCGTATGCAAGACTACGTCAAGTACTAGTTGTCATGACCACTTACAGTGTATACATGTCATTGTTTAGTTGTTAAATCACCGCTTGACCCTAAGGGGTGACATGCATTTAAATTTCTCTGTACATTGTCACCCTTGAATCAAATATCAAGGCCACAAGACTAAAAGAAATAATCATCAACTTATGAAGCTCTTGATTGTTAAACAAACTCTCCTCATCAGCACTTTAGGAAATGTATAGAGCACAGTAATGATGTTAGGGTGTAAAGTGTTGAAGCAAGAATTCATTACAGTTCCTGTAAATGATTTTCCTCCTTAGTCAAACGTACTGCTGATACAATTAATTCGTTGGAGGCTCTGGCGAACCAAAACAAAATAAAATATGGTGTTATGAAAGGGGGTTCAGTGATGACGTTCTTTGAGAATTCAGAGGATTCGCTGTACAGAAAAATGTTCTCTCACATGAGAGAATATAAGACCTTTGTTGATGGGACCAAAGCTGGAGTGGAAAAAGCGAGGACCGAACAATACGCTTACATAACGGAATACCCGTACCTGGAGTACTACAACCAACAGAAACCTTGCAATACAAGACTGTTAAAAAATCTGATTCAAACCAAGAGCTATGGGATTGGACTTCAGCGAAACTCGCCATACACTAACAGAATTACAGTTGGAATTTTGAACGTAGGTGTTATGAAATAAGCGACAGAGATTTTTTACTGTCGGGGGGAGGGGTGGGGGTGTCAGAGGATTTCGGTCGTTTCGCAATTAAACTTACCTGATTCTCCTTCGGCTCTGCAGTATTGTAATGATCCCCGTCATTGACGGTCAATTACTATATTTCTCCCTTTATACTTTGTTGTTGACGAGCTCTCCCCCCCCTCCCTAATAAGTGATGACTGGTCCGTTAAGCCTTCTTGAGTTTGACGAAAAAAACAAAACGAACAAAATTAAAATAGACGGAGAGTATTTGAACATGGAATCCTACTCAGGCTAAGTAATGGAGAGGAAAAACCCCGATTAAATGCGCGGTTGACATCGTATGGTTCTTCCCTTCATTTGCAGCTGCGGGAGAGGAATTTTATTGAGAAGACTCGTCAAAGGTGGTGGGATGATAGGAGCCAGTGTCCACCGCCTTCAAAGTCCAAAACTGGCAACACGCAGAGCCTTGACGTTAACAACTTGGCCGGTGTTTTTATTATTCTGCTGGGTGGTGTGGTGATCTCTATCGTGCTTGTCATTATTGAGATACGCTGCAGGAAGCTGGTGGATCTCTTGACAAATGGGAAGGTAAGATAGAACTTTTTTTTTTTTCCTTTTTCTAGTACTTGTTGTAGGGAATGGGTAAATTAGCTTAACCGGAATTTTTCTTCTTAAAAAATTGCAGCGTTTTGGTCTGACAGGTAAAGAATCTCAAACAGATTAATAAAAAAAAGTAGTTAGAAAGCGTTTGTTGTTGAGCGAGTGTTTACATTCAATTTTTTTGAAAATTCGTTTTGATCCTGTCGTAATTGACAAAGGACGATAGGTATTTGAATTCTCGAATCATATTCATTGTACCACGCTCGTGATGAATGATAAAACCTCTAAAACTTTGGTAATCTTCGTACTAGTTTTAGTTTTCTTTTGATCTAATTTTTCCCTCCTGTTTTTTACAATCTCACTAAATTTGAGGTTTACCCAGTAATTTGCAAAAAGAAAAAGCACTGAGACTGTATTGTTATTATTATTACTATTGAGACAATGCTCCTTTAATTAATCTGGCCCCGGTTGTTCGAAGGTTGGATAACGCTATTTATTGGAAAAATCGTCTAAATCTGGTGGTGGATACCGCAAAACGTTTTACTATCACCTATCCATTGGATAGCGTTATCCGCCCCTCATACGACTGGGCCCTGGACGTTATTTTGATTGTTTTAGCGGACGTCAGTTTCCTCTGGAGATGAAGGTCTTTAAAATGATATGGAAGGTTATTGTTAGATTTACCTGCTGATGTTGTTTGAAAACGAAGTCATGATCTTACGAAAGAAAACAAATTCAACTGCACCTGCATGGAGGGGGAAATGAATTTCATGATACAGAAATCAAAAGAAAGCTCGCAATTAAAAATAATGCTTTTCGAATTTATCTTTGTAACACTTTTTACATAGATGTCTCTCTTTACGAGAAGATCTATGATGAGAATTTTGTGGACATTTTTCAACATTGCATCTCTAGAGTGCGATTTAGTATCGGCGGAGGCAAGGCGAACCCAAAGAAATTGTATTTCAAGCAACATTTGACAGGAAAAATTGTTTGGGCCCTTTGCGAGTTGTTTGATTCCTAGCTTTTTGAAATTCATTTCCTTTATAGCGAGCCATAAGACACCGCTTGAGACGGGAGTCGAAGGAACCATCGGATGACCCTAACAACACCCGCGTGCGTGTGGGAGTGGTTTTGTCACAGGGTGATAGGGTACTTAAACCCATGCGTCAGAATACGCCTCAAACTTCTGGCTGGAGAAAGTTGTTTGGAAAGGATTAGAGGAATTGAAGAAGATTTAGGAATTTACATGTACGTGAGCTCTGTCCGTTATCAAACATTATTTACCGCCTGGAAAAAAGGGGGGGGGGTTATTAGAGGATTTTGGGGTCGTGTGACTATACGATTTACCTGAATCCCCCCTTCCCAAGGTATTCTAAAATTCTTATGTTCCCCTCCCCTCCCCTCTCGCGGCAGTTAATTGGCAGTCAATTTTACATTGTCTCCCTTTGTACAAGTGACTTTCGACGACTAATACCCGTTTCGTTCCCCTGAAAACTATGCCATGTGATCCCCCCTCCTTTAGATTCCATTTACCCAGTGACCGTTTTATAGTGATTAACACATTTAATGTTTGCGTCTGTTGGTTGGGATTAGTTAGTTTCGATTTATTTTGCTTCCCTGTTCTGTTAATGGTTCGTCCGTTTTTGTATTTAGAGCAGAGAGCAATTTTTAATCGAGTGTCGAAAGTAGTCCAGAATTGCTTCGTTTTTGCTTCACTTCGCCCTGTGATTGGTCCAGAAAGCTCGCGCCACTCTCCCAACCAATATGATTCTAAAGTAAAACCAATCTCGACTTAGTCACCTCAGTCCCTCCGCGCTTTAGGCAGTCTTGTCGGCTTTACTTTGAGTTCTCATTGGCTCTTAAAGGTATTTTTCTTTCTTCTGATCGGCCATCGTAATTACTTTGGTATTGGTTTTACGACACTCAACCGAAGAGTGCTCTAACGGTTAATTAGACTGAATTTTGCTATCGTTGCACCCTAAAACTGGTGGCCAGCTTTAAAATGTAAAGGGCAAGCTAATAAAGCTAGCAAAGTCTGTTCTCATTCTTATATTTTCCAATCCTTTCCATCAAATTGGATAATATAAACACAGTGTTCCGCCCGGTTTAATGACTGATCATTATTTATTGCCGGTGGGAAGGGGGGAAGGGGGGGGGGAAGGGGAAGGGGAAGGGGGAAGGGGGAAGGGGGAAGGGGGAAGGGGGAAGGGGGGAAGGGGGAAGGGGGAAGGGGGAAGGGGGAAGGGGAAGGGGAAGGGGGAAGGGGGAAGGGGGAAAGGGGGGAAGAAGTGGAATGGAGTCGAAGGATTTTGTCTGTGTTACGATTCTTCCATAAGGCTCTGTAATACTCTCATGATTCTCTTACCCCCCCAAATGATGGCGGTTAATTGGCAGTCCATTTTCTATAGTTTCCCTTTTAGGTTCTTTTGGCGACTACGACTGATCCCCCACAATCCTCCATATCCCACCCCCATCCCCCCTCCCGCGATAAATTATGATTGCGAAGTGGCTTTTAATGTGATATAACAAAATATACTTATCTGTTTTAGTGTCGTAAAGCTGAAGAAGAAGCAGATGGTGGTGAAGTTATTCCCACGGAGAACATCCGTTTTGTTGAACCGAGGGTCACAGTTCCATACATGATTAATTTGCGTCCACACTATGACAAGTATGCATTTGCACCCGAGAGTAAACTCTAAAACGATAGCGCAACCAGTGTGAACTGCAGCATATACGTATGGATGTCTCACGAATAAATTGGTACCTAAGTTAAGTTCCAGTGAGTCAAGTGAATTTTAAAACGGAATGATATCACCTGGGAACCTATAACGAGTTAACAGCTTTAATTTAGCTTATTTAACTCATTGCCTGTTCAAGATGCAATGAACTTTGAGGGAATGTAAAAGCAAACAGTTGTAGTCTACATAAGGATGTGATCTTTGTCGCAATGATCACGCAGCGGTGTGCTCTGACAAGGGAGTGTTACGTGACATGATGGCGTGACGTGTAGTTGAGTGTCACTCCAGTAATCTTTGGTAATTCTTCAAGCTATCTAATAAGGGGCTTTAGGTTAATGAAAATGCAAAAATTTGTTCTTTTTCGAAGGGTATTATGTTGCTTAAAGGAGCTATGGCTATGGCTATGTATTTGTTAAATGCGTTTCACATCGCCATTTTCTATGAATTGTTGGAATCGTAAGAGTTATGGCTTTAATCCGTGACAAATATATGAGAATCGAAAGTAGGGCAAAAAGATGAGAAACAGTCGTTGAGATGATTAAAGCGGAATTTATGTCGCTCGTACAGAAAGAGATGAGGGTGGCTTTGATGGTCGATGTTTTAGTTCAAAACATGGTGCATATCTTCTGTACTACTTTTAAGATATCATAAGTGTTATCTCGTATTCTAGTGCGTTTTTGAGTCATAAATCGTCATCATTTTTTCTTGTTTCCCAGTCTTAAAGGTTAATAGACATGTTAGATGCCTATTTTGTGGAATTCTCCTCCTTTATTTGAATCATAGAAAAAAAAAATGATAGTATCTTGCCTTGACGGCCATTTCTCAAATTAAAAATGGTCAATTATAATCCAAAATAAGTATTGCATCCAACAGCCACCTCACACTGATAAGCAGTAAAAGGTTCTTTCAATTGTAGTGGTAACTGTTTTTCGTTAATGTTGGAAGTTCATTGATAGCATTTGGTTCATTTTTGATTTCAAGGAATTTCAGTAAGCAGTCTATCTGCTGATCATTACCTAGGTGTATTATAGTCTTAAGGCCTGGTTCGGACTGTCGAATATTTTAGACCTTTGAATCTTATCATTTTATAGTTAAAGTGATGAGTGAAAAAACTTTGCTGGACTCGTTTTGATCATTTGGCCTGTGGAGATCCCATGTTAACAGAACCGACATAACGGGGAACGTAATTAAAAGATGACTCACATACAAATCCTCATTAAATTGACCCATCTGGCAAGGAAAAACTTAAGTTTGCACAATTTTAGTTTTTCGTTTGTCTTTGAATTAAATTGAACTCCTTTTTCCACTTTTGCTTCAAAACGTTTTGTGTTTCTTGAAAAGTACTAGTATTCTGCTGGAAAACTGTTGACGTGCATATGTAGTTCAACGATTTAAATTTTAACATCACAGCTCTTTCAGGATCCATAAGACCCTCTCAAGAGACCTTTTCAAAAGGTAATAAAAAGATATTGTGCTGAAAATGAATGAAAATTATACATATGTGATATAAATTGGAATAAATGAGTTCAATTCATCAGCCCATGAAAGCATCTAGATGAGAGTGAAAGACAAGTTCGAAAAGTATTTCATTGAAAAATCTTCAATGAATGGAATATTAAAAAGAGATGCACATAAACAGGAACCACTTAGCTCTTGTCAGATCAGAAAAACTAATTCAATATTATAAGTAACGAAAGTTCCATCCAGTTTCATTAAAAAAGGTGATATATTCGTAACTGCGAATGTAAAAACCCCATTTATCAAATGAAAATAAAAAAAACCTCTTACTTCCATCTGTCTCACCCATTCAGTTACCGATGATCATTAGTTACGTAAACATGTGTTTTAAAATTAAACACTTCTGTTTAGTATCTAGTTTGATGAATAAGAATGGCACTGAGCTCAAGGATTATGAAATGTAGTTCATTAGTAAGAGTCAGTAGAAAGTAATAAGTATTTCATATTTTCTTCAATTTTTGTCAAGGTCGCTTTTATGTCGGTATACTTCTGTAGACTCTTGACTTTATTAGACCGTTTACTCTCAACGCATTTTGTCGGTAAAATTGGAACTGGAAAATAATTTTTAATAGTGAGCGACTAGGAAGAAAAAACAATAACAACAACAAGAAAATGAAAGAGCATAGTCACCGTCATTCGTTTCTGCTTCTTGGCGGCAGAACAAAACGTTGTAAGGTCTCCATGGTAGTGACTGCTTTTGGCCAAAAGACCGCAATAGGTACAAATAGCACCAAAAAAAAAACATGAAAAATAGTTTCAGTGATATTTCCAATATGAAAACAATTTAAGAGTTGAATAAATTAAACACTGAAAATTTAAAGTCATTTCGAGCTCATCTATAGGCAATTCTATACATTACAATTTCTGAATATATTTTCTATACCCATCAAAACTGTTATTTAGACAGGTGCAACCAGAGCATTGTCAAGTGGCAGCCCTCTCCATATTTATGTTTCGTTATAGTTTCATCTAGCCTTCGACAGGGACAATCCGTTCTGACATTTAACTGAATTTATTGTGTAATATATTTTTTTGTTTTTGTAGTGCTTTTCATCACTTTGCTTTGCCTTAATACCAAAATACCCGTTTAATGATGGCCTGTCCATCAATTTAAAAATGTTATGTTCGTTTGGCTCCGTGTGGATAGCTTAATCAGACATGATAACCTCTGGTGAAGTAATTGTAGTTTTCCTTTTCTTCACGGTTCCATCATCTCCTCTTGAAACATTAACAAGCTCTACTGGATTGGAACATCTAGTAAGCTCGCCCACGTCGATTCGAAGTGAATTTCTCTCGAAACTATTTTTTCTAAAAATCCCGACAAGAGCTTCGCGAAAAGCTTTACTGCGCACCCAATAGATAACTGGATTTACCACGGATGTGAATCCCACTGAAAATGTTGACAGCATTCGGGCAAAGCGCGGAACATTCACGGTCACAAACATTAAAAATCCTAGCACTATTGTTGGAATATAGCATAGAGTAAATAGACATATCACGATGAAGATTGTGTTGGTCAGTTTTGCTTCTTGCGCGTTTATCATCTCCAACTGCCTCGATGTCGAACCTTGGGCAAACAACTGATGGATTCTGCGCTTTCTTGTTTTCATGGCTTTGAATATTCTTGAATAACAAGTCACAATTACTGTTGAGTTCACTATCAAAAAGGTGAACGAAAACATGTTGTACGATGAACTGGCGTCGTGGTCATGAATACAGATAGCGTAAAAAGCCTCAAACTGATATCGTCCCAACCCGAGGAGTGGCATCGCGGCAAACGCACATGATGCGGTCCAAACGATAGAGATCAATGCTAAAACTTTTTTCACTTTAAATACTCCTCTGTGTTTGACTGGGTGAACAGTTGCGTAATATCTTGTGATGCTAGTAACGGTAAGTGTCAAGAGACTGCAAGAGTACGAGACATAGCTTTGAAAAGCCTGGATTTGGCAAACGCTTCTGGAAAACATCCACTTACCACTGATAAGGACAGAGACTAGCAGAGGGAAGCTGATAACGGCACTGAAAATGTCTGCAGTGGCCAGGTTCAACAGGAGATAGTTCGGTACCGTTCTCAAAAGCCTTTTATGAAAAATTGCCAAGCATACTGTAAAGTTTCCAATCAGTGACAGTAACATGAAAATGACGGCTACACTTGATTCCAAAATGAGTACAAATTTCGAGCGAGGTGGTAGAGTCAAAGTGACATCCATTGTGAGGAGCAAAGCTATTTTACCGTAGTCAACTTTCTTCTTGGTCTCAAATCCAGGTTGTTCATCTGGCACTGATTGATAATAGTTCTTTGCTAAAACGAAGTTTCCCAGCGAAACCAATACTTTCTCCAATTTAAATTCATCAAATGGACGTAATGATTGGAAAAAAGGCATTAACTAACCTAAAAAAACATTTTTGTGTACACAAAAATGACAGCTAATATCCTCCTCGGAAGTACACGGAAGCTCACGGAATAATACAAATTAAAGGCAGTTTTGTTTACGCCAAATTACAATTTTTGCAGAGGAAAGCATCTGCCTTATTCATTAATCGAGGATCGAGTTCCAAATGTACTTCCAAAATTTATATTTATTTTCAGTGAAAGTTGGCAAAGATTACCCAGCTAGCCAAAACAGACAAGTGGCTTTTATGCATATCGGAACTAAGAACAGACGAAGAAAAGGAAGTAGTATAGTCGAAATTTACCCATAACGGACACGTAGGAGGATTTTTTATTATCAAAAAATTTCTGCAAAAGACTTCAGTGGGATTTCTTAGAGATTGAAAGGATCTCAAACGAGTTCTGTTTTTAATAGCTCAAGCTCTTAATCAGCTTGTGTATCATATCATATTTATAATGCTGCTCGCAAGTCATGGTCACTTTTCGTGCGAATCATCGGCGGCAAAGCGTTCTTAGTGATGGTTACAGTTTCTCAACATCACAAGAGTTGGCGAAACCTATGCAGGATTAAATTGTAGGCCATACGTGCGTGCTGCTAATATTTTTTTTTTGGAAAGGATGCAGATGTTTCCTTTAATGGAAGGAAATGCTTTTAGTTCCAACACTAATTGATTCAGTTACGGTCAGGAAAAAGAAAATTAGTGATCAAGAAATGCAATTCTACACTACAAAAATTAAATTTTATGCATAAAACTACATATTTATCCAAATGTGGTTATAACATAGTAATTTAAGAGGCTAAGCGGGTGCCATTTTCAATATATATCCTGTTAAATATTTCCTATGCAAACCATACATACCGAATTGATAAAAATAGATAACGTAAGTCAAATATGGCTTTGTGGGATTGTCAGAGTGCCGCTAATTACTGTTAGCTTTTAATTTCTTGTCGCATCATTGTAAGTTAACTCGAATCGCTAACTCTAACAGGATTCAATTTTTCCTGGGTTTAACCAAATTTTTCCAGTCATTTACTATCAGCTAACTGGAACTCTTCGTTAACTCGAACTAACATGACTTTCCCATGGATCGAATTTACCCTGATGACTCGAATTAAAGTAAGACCGTCGGCCGATAAACGTCAGAGAGTGTCAGAACACAGCTGATTGAAACGAAAATTACTGTTGATTGTGTCAGAATTCATTACAAAAATTATTAGCCATTTTAGTTAAAATTACTGAAAAAATTGTTAATAAAGTTATTGATACCATTATTGATAGAATTATTAATAAAATTATTGACAAATGATTGAAATTCAACACCAATCCCGATAACTGGAACCCCCGCCAATCACAGCCAATTTTTCGTTTATCTTGGGAGTTCGAGTTCGCGGGGTACTGCTGTATATTAGCGGGGAAAGGTTTATGCAATTGCTCTTTCCCTAAAAGTGTGATACGCCTGGTGCGCGAAGAACAATCTAACACCATCCCTAAAGAAATCGGAATGCATGCTAATTTACAGAGGATCGTTTACCGTCCTCTTCGCACACATATACCTCGGAGGCAATAATTAAGAATGGATAACACAAGAGGGAACTCCCGGGCGTGGATATCGATGACAAGCTGGGCTGGTCCAATCATATTAAGGGACTACTGAAGAACTTTGTCAGCAAACTAAGTCTTATAAAGAAGAGCAGATTTTTACCCAAACAAGATTTTTTAAATCTGTACTTCAAAGTTATAATTCCTGCAGTCGCTTACGCTATATCCGTATGGGGAGGTACCATTCGGTAAGACGATTTAGACTCACTTAAAAGACTACACTGCAGAGCAGCAAGAATTATCTCCAACTTTCTCCAGGTTATACCATCAGTGGAAGTCCTTGTCAGGGCTAAATGGGACGCTTTAAGAACTTACTATAAGCAATCTTTCCTGAAATTAACTCATAAAATGCATTACAACGAATCACCACCCTGAATGAGAGCACATATTGTATATTGTAAAAATTTCACCTCTCTTATTATCTAAGAAATAGCCCTTAGATAGAAATTCCACTATTCAAATCCAATTCCCAAAAAATGTCCATATCTTACAGACGTTCAATTTGTTGGAATCACCTGCCGATTAAGGGTAGGAAGATGAACAGTGTGAAAAGTTTCTCCAGAAAGATTAAAAAACCTACCTTTATTAGGGTCATCGACTTTTCTCATTTACATCGCAGATAATACCGGCTCCATATAAGAGACTTCTAGCTAAATAATGTTATCAACTAAATAAATTATGAATTTTAGATCTGGCTCCGGTTTTTGGAAGGTTGGGCAGCGCTATCCACTGGATAAATCTCTATGTGGTGGATAACGCTGTATGTTTTGCTATCACTTATCCGCTGGATAGCGATTTATCTGTTGGATAACGTTATCTGCCCTTTATACAACTGGGCCCTGAACATTAATCAGACAGGATCTTATATTGCAGATATATATTTTATGTTCGTATGTAGACTTTTAATCCTTATTTTACAATTATTTTTCGTGCAACTAATTATTCATTTACTTGTTTATTCACGAACCCTTATCGTGTTTTCAGGAAGGAATTATTATCATTTATCAGTTGAATTGAATAACCTGCGAAGTGAAGTCTCATTCCCTTCCTAGCTGAACTCAGTTGAGGTAATAAACAGGAAATTTTCCCTCCCAATATCAATCATAATCCAGCGAAAGGGTAAGGCGAACAGATAATCTTCTCATCTTTTAAAGAGTATAATTTCCCAAATTTTCACAACTGGTTTACATGTAATTACATAGCCGCAAGAAGGAAGATTTACGACGACGGAGGGATGCGGCGTAGGCTCGCCTGATATTCACTTTCGACACAAGCAAAGGGGAAAAAATCCAGGCGTAGGTACAATGATTGGTCCTACGGCTCAACTGATAGAAGAAGTATTGGTGATCCTCGTTCAAAAAGCAAAATGATCGGATAAATAAAGTCCTTATTTAAACTTTTTTCATCCTAACATGCAGAGGTTATGCTTGTACTTTCGTTGAAGTTGCGTTATCACAGCGGGATGAAAAAAAATGCGTGATTGGCTTGTGCCTGCATCGCTAATGAAAACCAGGTTTAGCAAATATATTTTTCTGTCTTTAGCGATAAGCCCTTTGACTTTAACGACGATGAAACTGCAGGGCCTAAATGTAGTACAACCACAACCGTGACGTAAGATTTGACAATGTAGAAGAACAGGATAACATTAGTCTGGTCAAGAGGACTGAATCGTTGTGCTCTCCTTTGTTTCTTCTTTCTTCTGCTCGCTTGAAAAACAACTAAACAGAAATGACAACGTTCCACATGCTAGTGTGCTATGATTCGCCGCTTTCGACGAGGCAGCTTCGAGAAACATTTTTCTTGAACTGGGCATGGGTTAGGGCAACACATCGCTCTTTTTAGGGTTGACTGAGAACTTCGAACAACATTTCAAGTACGAAAGATGTTAATTTGCGAGCTCGGTAAAGTGATAGAAAAAGATTTATTTCGTCTTGTCTCTGTCTTATTCTTTTCACTCGTATGACGCTTTAGACATTGCTTCTTGTAGCTTTGTGCAGGACGTGTCACAAATGGACTTCGTAGAGGAGTCTCTGTAGCTCAGTGGTAGAGCAACAGAGCGCGAAATCCGGAGGTTTGACGTTCAAGTCCTCTTGGGGACACACTTTTTCTTTTCCTCTTTCCTATGCTCGAGACGAGTCGAATAAACTTCTTCCTCCACCACCTTTAAAACCTATTTTACCAATTCTTTTACTCTTATCATTCTTGATTCTTAAAGCTATTGTAGCTGGATGCGCGATGTGGCTAATCACCTAGTCAATAAGAACTCAGAACCCAAGTTGCTATCTCCTCAAGTGATGGTGCTTTTCATTTATTTTGTGTATTTGTAATTTTTTTTTTAGGTCATAAGAGAGGAAAAATGCGTTAATTTCTTCATGTTTTTTTACTTCACCTGTAAATTATATTGCGTAGTCATCATTTTTGTAACGCCTCCATCGTAAGAGAAAAACAAACAATTGTTCATTTATTTACGAATTTCAAATTGAAACCATAAATATTTCTTTATTCATTACATATATCTGTTGCTTTTAATAATAGTAATCTTTGAAATGAGCTCTTTGCAAAGGTTAAAACAATAATTCGTAAAATTTAGTAGTTGTAAATTTTTCCTCTTCCCACACGCCAATCCGTCACTAACGATGCCTTTCATTAAGCTTTATTCTTGATTACCTGGCTGAACGTGCAAACAAAATTCTGCACCAATTCTGTGACGTAGCAGCCTATAATTGGCTGCAGTTGTTAATCCATATTCATCAGAACTTGTAGAATTTTCAGCAAACCGCGCTGTTCGTCGTAGAGTAAAGACGTGTCGTCCGTCATGCTAAACTTAACGTTGCGTTCCGGGAGGAAGAGGACATTAGACCTAGAAAGAATAGCAACGAAAGCACTTTCATGTCACTAAAACAGCAGGTGAGCATTGTCTTTGGAAAATATCGGCTTAAAAAATACAAACAAGTCGTATTATCCCAGTTCATCGACGTAGCACGAATCGTTCACTTGGTCTGTGCCGCGGTTCTTCAACCGAAATTGGACTGACTTAGGACCTAAATTGGCTTAGAGAAAAGCAGAGCCACTGGAATTGTCAAATATGCTTAGTAAAACGCTCCCATATAAATGTCTTTGCTAACTAAATTTATTGCAATTGGGGACTATCTTTATTTTGTATTTGAATGAGGTCACGTGGAGGTGTGATAACTCTTCTACTCAGTGACCTTTGCTT